TATGTGATACCAGACTAGATAATTGCAGAGGACCGTCTTGGCCTTATTCACTATCATGAACCTGGTCTTTCTGTGTTCCTTGGTGACAGGAAGTACTGAGTGGCAGGGTGCCCTGACTTTCCCAGGGCCTTCGGAGAGAGGCCTGGTCTGCTTAGTGGATTGTAGGCATCCTCCCTGAATGAAATGCCTCAGGAAAAATAGGCTAGTTATTTCTATTTCCCTGGTGAGGTGAAGCTCATGAAATGCTGAGATGATGAAGTTTATAAGCCTCAAGAAAAAAGTTACAAGAGCATTGGCATGCTTCTCTCCCTCCTTCCTTCCCTCCCTCTCTCCCTCTCTCTCTCTCTCCCCCCTTCTTCACTCCTCCTACCTGTTTCTGTCTCTTTCTGAATTGTAATATGCTGAACATTTGAGGGTAAATAGCTGATCTTAAGACCCCTTGCTCCATAACATATTGTGTGTAGTTCTTAATAATAAGGATGCTCTCCTAGATAACTACAACACGAGGGTCAAAATTAGGAAATTTAACACTGAAACATAATCATTATATAATATTCAGTCCACATTAAAATTTTATCTATTGTCCTCTTTAATGTCCTTTATAGCACTATTTTTTTCACAATCCGAGATCATATGTTGCCTTTAGCTGTCATGTCTTTTTGGACTGTTTTAATCTGTTAGTTCTTCAGTTTTTCTTTGTCTCTCATGACATTACTATTTTGGAGGAGCACAGGCCAGTTGCTTTTCAGCCTGCCCCAAGTTTTGGTTTATATGATTGTTTCCTCATTATTGGATTTAGGTCATGAATTTTTGAGGAGGGTTACCATATAAGTGATGTTGAATGTTCTCATGCATAATATCAGGAGGTTCTTGATGTTGGTTTATCCTATATTTATTGATATTAATATTGATCACTTGTTTAAATTTTGTCCACCATGTTTACCCATTGTAGATACTTTTTTACCCTTGGTATTTATAAGTGATTTGTGAGGGGATACTTTGAGATTGTGTTAAAATCCTGTTTCAACACAATTTCACCCAATAGGTTTAGTATCTCTTAATGATTTTTCCATGAATCAGTTATTACTATCGTGGGTACAAGGTAATTGTTTTAACTGAACAAATTAATATTAAAAAAATAAATTGCCCTAATGAGCTAACTAATTAAGCAGCATACTTTGAGAGAAGTCTCTCTCTACCCCAAACCCATTAGAATTGTTTCCAGAAAGAATTGATTTCCTATGCTAACCCCCCTAATCACACTTCATTTAGTGGCCTCATTTTTTTTTGCCTCCATGATGGGTCCTACACGCTCAAATGCAAAACCCCTTTAGCAGCTTAAATTCAATATAAACACCTTCATGAAATAGTACATATAATGTAGATGGTAAGTCCTTGATATATAGACATTTTCCTCTTTGTTGATATAGCACACACATGTAAACAGATGTACAATGTTTATAAACTTTTGACTTTCCCACTAGATTTCCATAAACAGCTCTGGAGCTTTTACAACTAACTAAAAATACTCATTTCTTATGAGTTATTACATTATACTGATAATTAGGATGTAATGAAATGTAAAAATGTAAATACTCTATTTTTATATTTCATCTAATTTTATTAACCCAAGAGTTTAAAATGTTGAAATATGGTATTTTATTATAATAATCATAATCATAATGTATGAATTTATTTTGGATTATTTTTTCTGGCACTATCAAACTCTCAACCTCTTTCCTCTCATACTCTCCTTAGTCCATTAGAATGTTCTATTCTTTAAGGTTTGTGCATTCAGTTACTTGCATTTAGATGAAAATTTGTTGGGGAATAAGATATTTATAATTTTAAATGATCTTTCCTTAAATTATTTATATGCCTCCTTGAGGCGGCATTAAGGGGAAGTTGATATAGAAACTGAGGAACAGAGAAATCCAATTATATCATACTATGTTTTGGCATATCACTGGACTGATACCTTGGGAATGTTTGTAATATAGTGGACAATGGAGTAGGCGTCTCAAATCGGCATCAAGCCTTCTGGAGTTGTCATATAAACCTTGAAAGGTGAACTGACTTGCTCAAGTCCCTGTGGAGCAAATGGTCAAGCTGAAGCCAGAATCAAGGTCTATGGACTTCCTTTGAACTCATGACGTCTCTAAGTATTTTCTGTGGTCAGAAAATAAAAATAGATGTGTATCCTTAAGTCGCTCTTACATAGTAAATTAAGCATACACTGTAGACATGGGTCCACAGGGAAGCAGGGTGACTACACTGACACATTCTGGAAAGAGGATCTCAGTTGTTGGGTGAATGCTATTTCTGTGCATCACGATGTCATTTCCATAGAACATCCAGCTTAAAAGGCCCAAGACTGAAAAGTGACTTGGACACTTGCTTCAACTGTTTGATAAGTGTAAAAATAATTCTTAAAGTTTCCTTAATTTCTTATCGTTTCTGGTATGTAAAATTTCTCTCCCAAAAGAGAGTGTTTAGTTCTCTAAACACAAAAGTAAAGTTCGTAATGCCATTCCCTGGAGCACCAAATATAGTGTTTTAGACATAAAACTGCTCTTTGAAGACCCACTTGGTGGATAAAGGACCTTAGGTCTTGAGCTCACATTTTTACCCTGGGGGATAAATTGCTCACAGGTCTTTATTTTACAGGAAGTGGACTCTGGGGAGTTGAACAACAGCCTGGACTTAAAATCTTTCATTGAAGGGTTTGAAGCAGATGTTTGAGGTGCAAAGCCTCAGAACTGGAGTCAGGTTACTTGGGACACACCCTGACAGCGCAGGCTCCGTAGCTCTGGTATGCTGCTTCACTTTGGGGCCTGATTTCTTCATTTCCGTCAATGAAATGAACAGAGTAAGGTTTGTTCTGCTGGTCTTTCCCAGGTTTGAGGTGAGAAACATGGAGATATGAGTATAGTAACTTACAAAGCAGCAACCAATTAGAAGTGAAAGTTAAATGGATTAAATAAAGAATATGACTCAAAATACACAGAACAAACTGCTTCATTAATACACAATGCAAAGTATTAGTGTTCCTCTACTTCTGAAGATTCTAAGTTTCAAACTAGAGGACATACTTTTTTACTTTTACATAGTGGGTTTTCAAGAAGACATTTTCTATTTAACAAACACTTAAAGAGTGCTTTCTGTGTGCTAGGCATGGGTACAGTGCTTTACAATAAGGAACTCAATCCTGATGACCAGATTCTGAGGTACAAGATATAATTGCCCCATTTTAAAAATGAAGAATCGGAGACGTGGAGAAGTGAAGCAACTTGCTCAAGATTAGCTCTTATGCAGTGGGTCTTGGACTCAAATCCGGTGTTCTCTCTCCAAGAATACTTCCTCTTACGCCTGCACTTCTCTGAGGATGGCTGTGAGGTTGCCTGGCTGTGAAGATAAAGAGGAGGTTCCCCATGCCAGTTGAAACACCTCATTCAATGTGATGGCCATGTTATTCTCACTATTAAACATGTAGACTTTCTTAGAGTAAAAAAAAAATAGAAATGGAATTGGGAGTGGATATTTTCCTTGGGGGCCTTTGGAAAGGGACCCACGTGTAGGAGAGGGAAGTCTGAGGCTCTGCTTCTTCTGGGAATGTATAAAATAGTTTCAGGCCAGCTAGACTTTATCAGGCAGATGTGCTCCCGAGAGATTTGAATATTTCTTCATGCCACAGATGTTTATTAGGCCATCTGATGCTTGTATAAAAATACCAGCAAAATCCTCCAGAAATGTTTATGTTCTAGCAAATAAATTCACTGTGGGAAACAGAAGTTCTGCCAGGCTCTATAGGCTTTCTCATTTGATTGCCATATCTGGACAACTTTAAACAGGGAAGTCTGAGGTATCCACTCTGGGTGTTTACAAAATTCTTTGTGAGTTGGGTCAGCAAAACCATTTTCCATGAAATAATATGGCAACATGTCCTTCTTTACTTTTTATAAAGCTTCCATCTGGGGAAAGACAGTTGGGCTTTTTTAAAAACTCAACTTTATTGATATATAATTAATATACAATATGATGTACTCATTTTAAGTGTTTGAAGACATAATTTTTAATTTCAATTTTTATTTTTTATGCTGTTACAGTTATTCCCACTTTTCTCTCCCTTTCTGTACCTCCACCTAGCCCCAAGCCAATCCCCATATTGGTGTCTGGGTCCATGGGTTGTGCATAAATATTCTTTGATTAAACCCTTCACCATCTTTTATCCCATCCCGTCCTTTCCTACTCTGATTTTCCAGCAGCTGTCTATCTGTTTTATGTATTTAAGCTTCTGTTACTATTTTGTTGGTTGGTTCATTGTGTTCATTAGATTCCACATATAAGTGAGATCATATGGTAATTGTCTTTCACTGACTGGCTTAATTCACTGAACATAATTAAGGCCCTTCCATGCTGTTGCAAAATGTACAAGTTTTTCTCTTTTATCACTGCATAGTATTCCATTGTGTAAATGTACCACAGCTTTTTTATCCATTCATCTACTGACGGGCACTTAGGCTGTTTTCAAATCTTGGCTATTGTAAATAGTGCAAATAAACATAGGGGTGCATATTTTTTTTTTTGGATTTGTGTTTCAGAATCCTTGGGGTATATAGAAGTGGAATTGCTAGGTTAAAAGGGAGTTACATTTTTAATTTTTTAAGGCTACTCCATACTGTTTTCCACAGTGGCTACACCAGTCTGCATTTCCACCAATAGGGCACTAGGGAACCCTTTTCTCCGCATCCTTGCCAATACTTGTTTATTGATTTATTGATGGTAGCCATTCTGACAGGTGTAAAGTGATATCTCATTGAGGTTATAATTTGCCTTTCTCTGGTGATTAGTGATGTTGAGCATTTTTTCATATGTCTATGGGCCCTCTGTATATCCTCTTTGGAGAAGTGTCTATTTAGGTCTTTTGCCCATTTCTTAATTGGCTTGTTTGTCTTCCTGGCATTGATAATTTTAATTATGAGGTTTCTTTTTCTCTCCAGGCACACATCTAGAATGGAGACTTGGAAGACATTTTGGGAGATCATCTTCCTTGCAGCCAGCTTTGGCTTCATCAACTCACAGAGAACTGGTAATGCATCAGATTCCTAACCCAAAAGTGGTGACCTTGCCAGGAACCTAGTGGCAGTGACCATCTTAAAGGGGCTTCATAATTAACAAAAGGGAAATGGTTCTTTAAAAATAACTTAGAATCTGGAACCTTATAATCAACAGTGGGCCCCTTTTTTTCTTCAGAGCTTAACCTCAAGTGACAAAAAAGATATTAAAAAACATTGTATTTCTAAATGTATTACCAAGCTTTCAAATGCTTTGGTAAACATGGGCCTGGTGTACCGATTCTGCATTCTGCTTTGTTTCCTTTGGCAGAACAACTCCCAGGGGTAATGGTCATCACAAGATGAATAACTTCCCCAAATGCTGGTGACACCTCTGAAATTTTTTGCAGTCATTTTAACAGATTGTTGGGACTTTTCAAGATGAAAGTCTCATCAAGAGAAGAATAGTCAAGTAGCCTGAAGCCCCACAGAGACAGTATCAAGATTTAAATATTCATATGTAATTATACAGATTGTTATTTGTTGGGAAAAGACATGACACTCTCCAAATTTCCCCTTTGGCTCTGACTCCCCTCTCCTGTGAACAGAAACTGTGACTGTCAGCCTTTTCAATGCTTCAAACACTTTCTCAAATGACAAAAAGCTAGTGGTGGGGTTAAGAAAGTAGCGCTGCATGAAAATGTAATACAAGACTCCAGGCGCACATGATGGAGGCAATACTTATTTACCCAAAAAAAATTCTGCAGCTGTGAGCTTTCTCCTGATTGGGAAGATTAGAAAAACACTTCATGTCTGTGTCTGATCTCTTCTGAAAGAGATGTTAAGGGGACAAACCAGTTAGCCATCCTTGGAGCACTCACTGAATTCTCTCCTCTTAACAGGGTTGCATTTGAAAGGGGTAAAAGGAAAGAATGCTTAAAGGGCTTTAGGCTCATATATCATCTGCCTTTTCAGTAGTTATGATTCTACTTGGCTTTCTGACCAACATTAGGCAAAATTCCAAGAGGTGGTGGCATTCAGGACTCTGGAAGTGACAAATGAATTCAGTGTCTGGGGAGTATAGCAACCTCCTCAGCCCTTCTCTCTCTCGTCATTCAAGTACTGTTGTCTCCATTTTTCCTCTACCACTCCTCTCTACCCCTTCTCTATCTTAACTTTCATGTGGTCTCTGCCTTTCTGTAATGTGGACTTTTAATTTAATCTTCCCTATCCAGTCCAGGTTAATAAATGGGACTGGTTTCCAATATTGGCTCTTTGAATGGATTTATGAGTTCCTTTGCCTTTCTAGGTCTTATTTTCCTTATCTGTAAGGTAGATGAATTGGATTCATTGTTCTATACTTAAACAGTTTAATTCAGTGACTCATAGACACATGTGACTACTTAAGTTAAAATTCAATAATAAAATTTAAAATTTAATTTCTCAGCTGTACCAGCTACATTTCAAGTGCTCAATAGGCACATGCACCCAGTGGCCACAGTATGGCATGGCGTAGTCTCATAGAGTCATTTCTATCTCTAGAATTTTCTGATTCCCTTAGTTGGTTTCATTAATGTTCAATATGTCTTCTCCTTTCTATCTTTGGGTGACTACTCCATGCTTGACATGCAAGTGGTGGACCAACAAAAAACATGGTGTCTATTTCCATGGAGCTCACAGTCTAGCTGGTGAAATTGCCATTAACTGAATAAGCATACTAATGAATAAGTTATATTACAAACTGAGATAAAAGAATGTAATTCTGTGGGGGTTTACCAGATGAGAAAAGAGAAAGGATGAAAGGAAGAAGAAAAAGTCAGCAGGGGCAAGTGGGAGCATGGAAAGTCTGAGAATCTGGACTAAGGAGCCTGGAACGCAGGGAACAAAGTGGAGTGGTCGGAGAAATAAAGCTAGAGAGATAACGCAGGGCCAGCCCAGGCCAGTATTTTAACCCTCCTGGCACGAAACCAAATGCAAGATGTGTTTAACCAGTCTGAGATCATTATCCCTTGGGTTTTCAGCCACTTTAAACCATCTTTAACTGGTTTCTGCTTTTGTTTCTCCTGCCATCACTAATTTCTGTGTTCTTTCATCATCACAGATAATGAACTTGTGAGGTATTGGGGGAGGGGAGAAATCGTGTGGTTACTGAGAAGTAGGTAGATCATAGTCATCTCTCCTTTTGATCTACACAAGCACTGCACTTAATCCACATTTTACTTCTTATCAGAGGAAAGCAAATTTGGAATTGGAAGAGACCAGGTCATCTGGTCAATCTTTTATTCTAGAGAAACATGATCTGAGAAAGAGAGAGGGTAGCTATTTGGCTCAAGTCCTGCAGCCACCTGGTTGGTGTCAGACCCCTTCCACGCTGCAGACCAGGATGGGCCCAGCTGGAACACCACTCGGTCGATCACTGTTGGGGGCGTGGTTCCCAGAATTAGAGCTGGGTTTGGGAGAAACGAGGGCACAATTTGTCCTTGAGTTCAGGGAGCCGAAGGACAAATGTGACTCATTTATGGTAGTGCCACCAGTCGAACTAAAAGGGGCTAGTGGTAGCTAGGGAATGCTAGAGATCATAGCTGGAAAACTGATGTCTTACATCAAGTTCTCTAGAAACAGAGCCTTGAGCAGGGATTTGGTGAACGTGTTACTTGGAAGGAGTACTCTTTAGGACAAATCTGTAAGGCAGTGAGAGAGGTCGAGACAGGCTCGTGGGAAAAGAAATGAAGCAAGGACACAGCCTCAGGCAAAACCCAGCCGAGTCCTGAGTAAATAGCACCATGAATTGTTTCAGTTAGGACAAGGGCATCAGGGATTTGTATCCCCAGGTGTTCAAGCACTGGCCACCCAGGGTGGTGGAGTTGATGTATCTTTCTAGTTGTTTCTATATGAGGCTGTTCCATTCAGCCAGGGGCAGGTGTCTGGACAAAGTACCATACAGGAGCAGTTAACTGTTGTACTTTAAACAACTGGGGCATAAGTGTGGTTGCTGGCAGAGGAGGTTTCAGTGGGGTATCAATGGCATTTTCTACTGGTAGAGAGATGATTTCTTTTTCTTTTAAAAATATCATTGTCATCCCCAGTTGTTGTGGCTCAGTGGATTGAGCGTCAGCCTGAGAACTGAAAGGTTGCCGGTTCGATTCCTGGTCAGGGCACATCCCTGGGTTGCCATCCCTGGACAGCCCCTGTTGGGGCTGTGTGAGAGGCAACCAGTCAATGAATCTCTCACACATCGATGATTCTCTCCCTCTCTTTCTCCCTCCCTTTCCCTCTCTCTAAAACTAAATTAAAATGTTTTAAAAAATTTATTATCATAGTTGACATAAAATATTATATTAGTTTCAGGTGTACAACATAGTAATTAGACATTTATATAACTTATAAAGTGATCACCCTGATATGTCTAGTATCTATCTAAAACCATACCTAGTTATTATAATATTGTTGACTAGATTTTCTATGCTGTGACTTACATCCCCATGATTGTTTTTATAATTGGCAATTTGTACATCTTAAGCCCTTCCCTCTTTTCGCCCATCCCCCTAACCCCCTCTCATCTGGCAACCATCAATTTGTTTTTTGTATCTACGAGTTTGTTTCTGTTTTTGTTTATTTTTTTAAAGATTCCCTATATAAGTGAAATTATGTGGTATTTGTTTTTCTGTGTCTGACATTTCCCTTAGCATAATATCCTCTAGCTCCTTTGATATTATTGCAAATGGTAAGATTTCATTCTTCATTTTATGTCTGAGTAATATTCTATTAAATGTATGTACCACATCTTCTTTATTCCTTTGTCTATCAATAGATAGGTTATTTCCACAGCTCAGCTATTTTAAATAATCCTGCAGTGAACATAGTTGTGAATGTGTTTTTTTGAATTAATATTTTGGATTTTTCCAGATAAATAGCCAGAAGTGGAATTGCTTGGTCGTGTGGTAGTTCTCTTTTTAATTTTTTGAGGAACCCACATGCTGAGACTATACCAATTTACAATCCTTCCAACAGTGCATGAGAAGTCCCTTTTATCCGCATCTCACCAACACTAGTTGCCTATTGGTTTATTGACAACAGCCATTTTGACAGGTGTGAAGTGATATGTCATTGTGGCGGATAATGGCCAGCAGTATCTGTGGCCGCTGCAGATGCTTGAGATATGAGAGAAATACACATGGACTACCTAGTCCTGTGGAGAAATAGGAACAGAATGGCTAATCTCCCAAGGGTGGAGTGCCGTGCCTTCCCACCCTAGTAGGCTTTTATTAGGAATACAGATACAGTTTGTTGATTATAGTCTGGCAGGGAAGATCAAACAAGTAGATAACTTTCAAAGAGCTAAACGGGCTCACGCTGAGTTGGGGTCTTATCACCTAAAAACTACAGAACCTAAAGGGCTAGTTTCATTTCCTGCCCATGCCTTCATACTCTAATTAAAAGTACCCTCCAGCAAAGTAAGTTTCACAGGATTTTGCATATTCTCTGCTTTAGGTGGAATTACCCCAGGAGGTCCACAGTCTCTAGTTTGGGTGTCACCACCACTTATCAATTGCCACAGGCCTGAGTTGGGGAGAGGAAACAAAGGCAGCCCGAAGATTTGGATTTCTCACAGGCAGAATAAGGACTCAGGCTTTGTCAAACTGAGGGAGTGGGGATCGATCACCCCCTCATTTCCACAGCCCCCTGAGTCTTTCCCTGGGGGCCTTCTCACATGATCATGCCTGCCTTAGATCCATCCTCCTCTGAGGAATGTTACCCGTCATTGGCTACCCGACCAAGTAATGGGGGCCAGGCAAGGAGCAGGCAGCACTCATGCCAGGGAAAGAGGCTTGTTTCCTTATTGTCCCTCATTCAGCCTTGGTTATGGGGGGTTGCAGCTCCTGAAACCAGGCAGGGTGGACCCCAACATGTCACTGTGGTTTTAATTTGCATTTCCTCATTAATTAGTGACACTGAGCAGTTTTTTATAGGTCTATTGGCCATTGCTGTCCTCTCTGGAGAAATGTCTGTTCAGATCCTCTACCCATTTTTAAATCTGATTGTTTGTCTTTTTGGTGTTACGTTGTAGGAGTTCCTTATGTATTTTTGGATACTAACCCCTTATTGGATATGGCATGGGTGAATATCTTCTCCCATTCAGTAGGTTGCCTTTTTGTTTTGTTGACGATTTGTTTCCTTTGCTGTGCAGAAACTGTTTAGTTTGATATTGCCTCAATTGTTTACTTTTTTTGTTTCCCTGGTTTCTTTTATTAAGAGGTGAATGGAAGGCCATGGTTGGGGTTCTAACTGAAGGGTCAAATGTGTGTTACAGTGGAACAGAGGGTGGCAGGTGAACCAGGGTAGACAGTGGCAATGAGGGAGCGAAGGTGATCATGTGTGTAGACTGCATGCACATTAGCTATCCTCAAAGAGCGGTGTGGGCAGACCTATGGGTTGTAAATGCAGTGATTTGGGAGGGATGTATTTACAACCAGTAGCTGCCAATTTTATAATGTTTTCTCTGAAACTGACTTTCTTCCCTAGGCTGCAGAGAGGCCTACATGGGAGATGTCGTATTTCTAGTGGACACCAGCAATGACTCCCAAAGTATCAGCAATATTCGGCGCTTGTTGTATAACACAGTGAATAACCTCAATGTCAGCAGAGAGATGATCCGCGTGGGGCTGGCCCAGTACAGAGACGTGCCCCATTCCGAGTTCCTACTTTCCACATACCGCCACAAAAGCGATGTGTTGAATCACATTCGGAGGTTGCCATTGAAATCTGTGGGCCCTGGGGGCAAAAAGATGGGCCTGGCCCTGCAGTTCCTTCTAGATCACCACTTCCAGGAAAGAGCTGGGAGCCGAGCAAGCCAGAGAGTGCCTCAGGTCGCCATAGTGATCAGCAGCAGCCCAGCTGAGGACTCGGTGCAGGAACCTGCTGAGGCACTTAAGACTGCAGGCATCCTGCTTTATGCTGTTGGCCTCAGAGGTACATCTAAGGCAGAGCTCAGGAAGATTGCCAGCAGTCCTGAGAAGAAGTTTCTCTTTTTTGTCCCCAGCTACTCTACTTTGGGCAGCCTCACCCAGAGGCTACAGAAGGAGCTCTGCGATACTTTCGCAAAGGCAGCCCAACCACTTGACCATGTCTCTCCAGGTACAAAGGCTTTTCCCTTTTTGTTTCTGATCTAGAAGTCACAGAACTCAAGGCTTTATCTCTTATCCACCCCATCCACTGTCCTTATTTTTCCCACGTATGCATGTTTGATTTTGATATTAAAATTTCACTAAACCAACTGTACTATATACTGTTTTGTAATCATTGACCCAAACTTATCAACTCCTTTCTAAAAAAAGAAAAAAATCCCGTGGGTTTTATGTCAGTTCTATATAGGATGTAGGATAAATCCATTTTTGATGAAAGAAATATCTGTCCCTATGGTATTAGTATTCCTAGATTAATTTACCCATATTGCCTGGATGGGGGGCACATGGGGGTGGCAGGAGGGAGCTTAGGTCCCCCAGGAGGCTGGCTTATTCCACTACCAGGAAGCTGGCTTATTTTACTAAGAGGATGAATTTAGAGAAAAGAGAGGTCTGAGTTCAAATCCTGATTCTCCACTTTCTGACTGTGAGATCTTGAACATGTTACTTACTTTATCTCTCTGGATCTATAAATTTTCTTTCTAGGATGATATTACCTGCCTTAGAGACTTGTTGAAAGCATTAAATAAAATTATGCAAGTAAAGAGCTTATCACAGTGCTTAGTATGTGCAAGAGACACATTGATCAGTTGCCTCTTGCACATGCCCTGAACCAGGGACAAAACTCACCACCAAGGCATGTACCCTGACTGGAAATTGAACCCATGACCTTTTGGTTTATGGGAGGATGCTCCAACCAACTGAGCCACACTAGCCAGGGGTGAAAATTCTTTATAGATTAATCACTAAACTCTAAAAAAGCTCCAAATTTTGAAAAGAGAAAGAAAAGATTTCCTATGGGTTCCATCAAAATCCACAAGAGAATAGACATTTCATTACTTAGTCTTTGTTTTGGTATTTCTACATGGGTTAGGTGAATTGGAAGAAGTGCTTAAACTTTTGCACCATGGGTGTGTGGTGGTAATATTGCATTTGTACAGCTGAATTATATATCTTTTTTTTTGTATAGTGCTTCCAGGTGTACAAATAGGTTTTACATACATAGTAATATCTAGTTTGCTTGGTGCTATGTAGTTTTCAAAACCTGTTTGCATTGCCTGTCTTACTGATAGATACACAATGCTTTATTTTTGTTAAATACATAAGTACATAGGACAATTAGTATTTGTTCTTACATGGATGCATAAGACAATTAGTATTATTTGCATTTTTCATGTGAGGAAACTGAGGCCAAAGGTAACATAACTGGGTGGCAGAACTAGGACTTGATCCCAAGTCTTTGAGAGCAGGTCCATTTCAATAGAAAAGTGTCTTAGATTGTATTCCACAGGAACAAAGCCTGAGGTAACGATGGAGATGCACATCATTTGTTATGGAAGATCTCCCAAAGGAGGTTGGTAAGGATGTAGGGGATGTAGGACAGAAAGAAGAGGAAAGAAAGGAAGGGTGTGACCTCAGGCAAAGGTTCCACAGAGGGTAGTTTTAGCCTGATCCTACAGGAGAACTCAGGATTGTCTTGACCCAAGGCAAGGAGCTAGGCTTTCATATATGGTAGGCAAAGCAACTCCAGTACCTGAGGAGAAGTCCTCTGAAGAGAATTCCTCCAAAGAGCAGTGCATAGAAACAGCAAAAAGGGATCCAGAAGGACCTGGGTAGAGCCCTGATATTGTCTGCTACTATAGATTATCTTATTTTATCCTCAAGACAATCCCATGAGATTGTGAGGGCTGGTATAAAAATTTCAGTGCTGCAGAGAGAGGATTGGGTCCTACAGAGATGAGTGATAAATAGCTCAAAGGCCTACTAAGTGGTAGAGCTATAATGAGATGTATCATAAAACCTGGGATACTTTCCAGCTTTCTAACCTGCTGGTGCCAGCACACTCCTAGAGATGAAGTTTATTTCCACTGGAGAGAGTGCAGCCCCTTTCTCAGCATGCTTGCTGCATTTATAGAAGTGTTTTTCTCTTAATGAAAGGAATTGTCCAAGTGGATTGCAAGTTTGGAGGTATCAACAGAGCATGACAGAATTCTCAGAAGGTGATGGAGTGGAGGGAAGGAAAGGCACAAGGGATGCTGTTACTTTTCTGAGCACAGCATCATTTGGGGTGTCTGAGGACCACTGAGCATAGTTTGCTTGGTATTGCTGTGCCTTCCTGTACACCATTTGGCTCCATTGGTTCTAACCCTTTTGAGTGAAGGTCCACAGACTCTATCCCTTTTGTCCTCTCTCTTGCAGCTTGCAGAGAAGCAGTCCTGGCAGATATTGTCTTTCTGGTAGACAGCTCAACCAGCATCGGACCCCAGAACTTCCAGAAAGTGAAGAACTTCCTTCACTCTGTCATCCTGGGGCTTGACATTGGCAAGGACAAGGTCCGAGTGGGACTCGCTCAGTATAGTGACAACATCTACCCAGCCTTTCAGTTGAACCAATACTCTCAGAAGGGTGTGCTCCTCGATCGTATCCAGAATCTGCCCTACCGTACAGGAGGCACAAACACAGGGGCTGCCCTGGAGTTTATCAGGACCAAGTACTTGACCGAGGCAGCTGGCAGCCGGGCCAAGGAGCGGGTTCCTCAGATGGTTATCCTGGTGACAGATGGGGAGTCAAATGATGAAGTCCAGGAGGCAGCTGACAGGTTGAAAGAAGATGGAGTTGTTGTGTATGTGGTAGGCATCAACGTCCAGGATGCCCAGGAGCTGCAAAAAATAGCCAGTGAGCCCTTTGAGAAGTTTCTCTTTAACACTGAAAACTTCAATATCCTGCAGGATGTTGCAGGAGGCATTCTTCAGACACTGTGTTTAGCAGTGGAGGGTAAAATGAAAGGTAAGAATCTGTGTCAAGTCCAGCATTTCAACCAGGGTGCCTAATTGCAATGTGAGCCAGTGTACGCTGAGTGCAATGGATGGTAGGAGAAGGAGCTCTCCACCATCCCTGGGGAGAACCTGGGGAGGCTTCCTAGATGAAGGAACATCTGAGCTGGGGATGAAAGGATGGATGACGTTCTCATGGTTAGAAAAGAACACCCTGCCATGTTGGTAAGATGAAATAGCATGGGTTTTGAAGTCCGGAAGACATGTTTAATTTTTAAATCCTGCCTTTGCTACTTTCTAGTTCTGTGAGCATGGATAGGCAGTTAAACTTCACTTCAGTTTTCCTATCTGCACAATGAAGATAATAATACTTGCCTACCAGGATAGTTTATGAGAATTAAGTCAGATAAAGTATATGAAAATCTCTAGCACGAAGTAACTGCTCAGTATGTTAACTTCCCTTGTCTCCTCCATCAGTGGAAGAGGAATAATCAAAAGATACTTTAGTCTAATGAAGTAGACAATACAGGCAGTGGGGTATAAGAGGAGGAAAGCCTTGTAACTGTCTTATGTCCCCAACACTAAACTACCCTTGTATTCAATTTCCATGAGATCTTGATTTGATTTACTTTCTCCTCTGTGTCTTTTCCTCCCCATTTCTCTCTTCAGATCCAGAATTCACCCAGGCCTATGGAGACGTGGTCTTTCTTGCGGACACCTCACAGAACACATCACAGGCCAGTTTCCAGTTGATGCAGAATTTCATCTCCAGAGTGATTGGTACACTAGACATTGGCAGGAACAAGTACCAGGTTGGGCTGGCTCAGTATGGTGGTCAAGGCCACACTGAATTTTTGTTCAATGCCTACCAGAGCCAGGAGGAGATGATTGCTCATGTCCGTGAACACTTTGTGCTCCGGGGTGGCTCCAGGAGGACGGGCAAAGCTCTACAATACCTCTACCAGACCTTCTTCCAGGAGGCAGCGGGAAGCCGGTTTCTCCAGGGCATCCCCCAGTATGCAGTGGTCATTACTTCTGGCCAATCTGAGGATGAGGTCCTGGAAACCGCACAGATGTTGAAGAGGAAAGGCGTGAAAGTCATATCTGTGGGTGTACAGGACTTTGACAGAAGAGAACTGGAGGAGATGGGGACCCCATCCCTTATATATGAGATACAAGGACAAGATGGAGTCAGACAGGAGACACAAAATGTGCATGAGGTGATCAATAGGATGGGGCGGTCTGAGTTCACGACAGTGCCCGTGGAAGAGACTACGGCAGGTAAGGTTTGGTTTCTAGGTGTGTGAGCCACTGAGGAGCCTCAGCATAACAAGAAAGTCTGGGGAAAGAGCAGAGAATGGGAGCATTCTGGATTCCTCAGTACTAGGACACTGGCACCGGTGGGTGGGGAAGAGACAGGGGTATGGAGTTGTTTCAGGTACAGACATTGTGTTAATTAACTACAGTCACAACGATGCTGCATAAAAAGTCATCCAAAAAGGCAGTGACTGAAGAGAATTATTTATTTTCACAGGTCTGCTGTGGGGTCAGCTGATTCTCTTTGGGTTCAACTGAATGGCTTTGCTAATCTTGTCTGGGCTCATTCACAGATTTGGGATTTGTCTGAGGGTTGCCTGATTTCCATTGGCTATGTTCTGTAGCTTTCTCTCATTTTCTGAGATCATTAGGCTAGTCTAGGCATATTCTTCCCATGGCAATTGTAGAGGTTCAGGAGAGAAATCCCAGCTGCATAAGCACTTTTCAGACCTCTGCTTCATCATCTGCTAACATTCCATTGACCAAAATAATTCATGTGGCCATGTCATCATCAATGGGGCAAGAAAGTATATTTCTACCATGGAAGTGAGGTGTAGGGAGTAAATATTTCTGAACAATAATCTATGTTACCATAGGCTTTTTTGAGAAGGAGCATTCAGGTTTCTTCCCAGAGATTAAATAAAGGCCTTTCATAGGCTATCATTCAAAACTCTCAAGGGAGATGCTTTAGCATGTTGGGTGAAACAATTCATAGTGTAGGATTGTCCTTTGCACTGCTAGAGGTTTAACAGCCCTCATCCCTCCTAGTAGCATCCCGGAATCTTATGACAATCCAAAACACCACTATATATTTCTAAATGTGCCCTGGGGTTGGGTACCACTGTTGGTTGAGAACCACTGAGCATTATCTCCTGCTAAGTTCTTTTATACATCTTAACCACTAGCCAGGTTGAACTACCCACCATTTGCTGTATATGTGTCATGCTTTCCCACCTTTGTCTCTGCCCTGAATACACTATACCATTAGCCTGGAATGTCCACAGTCAAAACTTCATCCTTCAGCTCTTAAGTTACCTTCCTGATAGAGCAGCCCGATGACTCAAAGCTTGGTGTAGCTTCTAGTTGATTCTCAAAACTAGAAACAATTAGTCCCTACTTTCTGTGAACTAACATAGTTCTGTTCAGACCTCTCAACATCTAGAGTTTGAGGGTCCTTGTAATTTTATAGGCAGAAAAGGCAAACGTATGTGAGACAGAAGAGGAAATCCAAGTAGTGATAATAAGGAACTAAGAAGCACCTTGTGGACACTATATTAAGTAGAAATAGAACAAAAGGAGGGCGTAGCAAAGAACCCTGGAAAAATTGTGTTGGTCCCTTAACAATGGGTGTGATTTTTGGAGGAGGGTCCTCATATTAAGGAGAAGATGTAAGTAAGGGGGTGAAAGTGGGAATGGGCTGGATGAAGAAGGTGGGGAAAAAAAGGAGCCAACCGGGATTGGGGGAGGATTTAGAAGTAGTGAGGGATGAGATTTGATTAGGTAGGATGAACCCTGATTATGGGGTGACAAAGACACTGGGAAGTAACAGTAGGCTTTTAAGCAGGAAAAGTGATATGATCGAAATGGTCTTTAAGGAAACCTTCAGTGTGCAGGCTAGATTCCACATGACACCGCTGACTCAGAAGGACTTTAAAGCTGAGCTGTCATTGGTCTGTATAGGGAGGATGCTTAGGTCTAGCCAATGGTGGCTCTGATAATGAGGGAAGGGCATTAATCCTGATGGCAACTTGAAGAGAGAGTAATAGCACTTGGCACCAGCAGGTGAAGGAAGGGGAAGCCACAGATGCTTGGGGTTTCTACAGAAGGTATTTTAGACTTGGCAAAATCAGGGCAATATCCTTTTTTTAAAATCTAGGATCGATTTTTGGTTTTTATTATAAAGGAACAAGGGGGAAATTTTAGGATACCAAAAAAAAAAAAAACCCACAAAACCAAACCAAAGATAAGTCAAAAGATTATTCTGATGTCCCTGTAGTGTCTTCTCCAAACTTTGTTTCACAGTATTTTGTTGTTCACACACTGCTGCACACTGATTTCAGCCCGCCCCCCTCCCCCGGTCTACGTGGTTTTGGCTGGGAGAGTTTTATTTTTTTTCTACATTAAAGCAGATTTGTATCTCTTTTGGTATGTGGACAGAGTTGGTTTTTTCACAGTGAGGACTGCTTTAAATTGTGAGAGTGGTGTTTAGACTCCTCTTAGGAGGGAATTTAATGCAGTTACAATTCCAATAGCCCATTTAAGGCAAGTTAAAGGGAAGATTCTTTCATAGCAAAATAAAACAGGCAGTAAGCCCAACATCTGGACAAAGATTTTTGATGGGAATTTGTAGTATTTCATGTTGCCTCTGTTGAAATAATATGAAACTTATAGAAAAAGGCACACAAGATAATACTTACAATTTATTATTTGTGTCTTTTATCAGGGCAGAAGGAAAGTTATTAAATCCAGGTTTCAGGCCTATAAAGAGAGAATTTGACACAGGGTTTCCTGAAACTAGAAAAATAAAGAAAAAACTAGTTAAGCAAGGCTCAGATGTTTCTAATAGACTGATGAATTGAAAAATTACCTTAAAGTACTTCCTTGTGGATATACATGTATTTACATGTTTTATAAGTGATGTGAATACTCTTCATGTAAAAAATTTTGGGATAGGTATGAACCCTGTGATGATCTTTGACCATCATGCTAAATGATGGTCATAAAGACTTCTACTAAGTTCTAAAATATATAAATATACATTAGTATAACATTATTGTAATTTGTAATACTAAATATTGTACTACATAAAAATAAATAAATATGTAATTATTATGGTATATTAAAATATAGCATAACCTTTTTATACAAAATGAGTGTTGTCTTTTTATTCTGTTCTCATGCTAAAATAAAGCTCTTTCTTTTGTTTTTGTTTATAGCATGTCCAACTGCAATCCCTGCTGACTTAGTATTCCTCATTGAGGAGTTTAGCAGGGCCAGGGAACTGAATTTCCATCAAGTTATCAATTTCTTGAAGACTACCATTAGCTCTCTAAGCATTCATCCTGATCTTGTGAGAGTCAGCTTGGTTTTTTACCATGAGGAACCACGACTTGAGTTTGCACTGGATGCATTTCAGACTCCAGCCAAAATCTTGGAGCATTTGAACAAATTAACCTACCAGGAAAAAAGAGGAAGGGCCAAGACTGGTGCTGCTTTGGATTTCCTAAGGAATGAGGTTTTCGTGCAGGAGAAGGGTGGCCGGGCCAAGACAGGTGTGCAGCAGATAGCTGTGGTCATCACGGAAGGCTTCTCTCAAGATAATGTGTCCAGACCAGCTTCCCTCCTCCGTAGGACAGGGGTTACCATCTATGCAGTGGGCACCGAGCTTGCCTCAGAGAGTGGGAACCTGGAGAGGATAGCATCATATCCTCCTGGGAAGCATGCCATTTCTCTGGAATCCTTTTTGCATCTCTCCACTGTGGGAAGCATGATTAAGAACCAGCTCTGCCCTGAGACTAGTGGCAAAACATTTTCCATTACTGAGATGGACAATGTTCTACAGACAGGTAGGAGGATCTTTCCCAAATTTGTTCTGGGTTTTTTGTTTTTGTTTTTTTTTTAATCTTTACTCTGCTTTCTTCTTACATCCATTCACCTTATCTGCCTTTCCCTTGCCCCATCTAAGAAAAGATTTTGGAGTCAATTTATTAAGAAACTGAAACACAAAACTTATAAATTAAAATTATTTTGTCTTGATTCTAAACAGAGAGGAGGAATGTGAAATAGTGAACATTACTCCCTCTTTCTATCTTACCCCTCATTCATTTTAACAATTCGATGAAAATATATGTATATTTACAGTAGAAGTCCTAGGGATCTGAATATAGCTTGACCAAATCTTAGTCATATAAAGCAGGAAATCATTTTTAGAAAGATATAAACATTCTTGAAATTAAAACTTTTTGACTTAATAAATGAACATCAGTTTTTTAATCTTTCATGTAGGGCCAATGCTTCTTTGAATATGAGCTTTCCTGATTGGAATTTTGTGTATTTTATCAATCACGCAGTAGTGTATGTTCTATAGTTTCCAGTTTCTTTGAAATGGGAAGATAACCACTTTTGAAATAATCTGAGTATAGAAATCCTTATTGATTTTTATGATCTCAAAAATTCAATCTTTTACAGTGCTATCCAGTACACCAGTAATTTCTCTGATAACAACTTGCCTTTACTGGCCTCTCTAAGCAGTTAACCTGGTTTTCATAGATGTCAGAAACCTCTCCTATTCATACCCATATCCTGCTGATTTTGCACCATGTTTGATTTGTTGTGTAATTATAATAACAAATCTGCCATGAACAGGCTGAGGATAAACACGCATTGCTCCTGGTAAGCTTATTCTTCTGCTAAGCAAAGTAGAACTATGCAGCGTTCACCTGGGAAGCCTCCGGCTGAAGGCACGCAGTGCATTATGCAAATATTGCTCAGTGTTACAGAGGGAAGGGAGAACTCAGTCAAGGAGGCGCTTATCTGGGGAGCCACTTGCAGGAGATTGGCTCCCCAGACAATCTCCCCAGGAGATTAACTACTCTGTATGTGTAGTTAAAAAACAAAACAAAACATAAAAAAACAAAACAAAACATAGCAGTAAAGTATGTGCACATTGGGGTCAAATTACCTGAATTTTAAATCCAAAGTTTGCCACTGACGGGTTATTATAATTATCTTTGTGTCTGTCAGTCTACTTGTCTATTTTTGTCCACCCATGCTAGTATTTCTTAGATTCAAATCAGAATTGTAGAAAGAAGATAACTTGAAATATTGATAATGGACTTAAAACTTCAAGGCTTGTGATTACTGTATTTTTCAGACCATAAGACACACCTAGGTTTTAGAAGAGGAGAATAGGAAAAAAATTTTGAAGCAAAAAATGGTACAATATTTAATAACATAAATAACATAATATTTCACTAATGTAAATGTAAACAGAACTCAACAGCAGCATTAACAACCATTATTCCTCCCAAATTTGTGGGTGGAAAGGCGTGTCTTATAGTTCAAAAAATACAGTATATATTCAGGGCAAAATGACTACACTTTTATTTTTTTTAAACAATCACTACATGTCCTGGTGATTTTTTGTTTACTTTGTGCTGAGGTCTAGGGATTTAAAATAAATAAATTCCCATCTTTTTCTTTGGTCCCTTTCTCTGTCCTAGAAATGAGGAACAAAATCATTAAATATGAATTTCATTTCCCTGTGCACTCCTCGCTTCTGATCTGCAGGAAAGAAGAGAAGGCTCCTTTTGTCTCCTAATTCACAAATAGCATCAAAACTTGAGAGTTGTTTTCTTTCTCAGACAGCATAGCAGCTAAAACAAAACCTGAAGTCAGGAAAATCAGTCCAAAGTATGAAGGAGTTGGGGTTGGGGGTAGCTTAGTGGTAAATAATCTGTCCTGGCTGATCCTAATGTTTATAATATCTACTGTTTATTGGTCACCTGCTATGCTGTCAGCCACTCTGCTAGGCACTCTGTGTATGTAACAGATGTGGATGCTTAGCAGCAGCCAGAGTATAAGAAATATCTTTCTGCTTTCATTCCCCAACCATGGCCTCCAAACCTTCACCTGCCAAGATATGCAAGAATGTGTAGTACCAGGCAGTATTTAGGTCTCTGGGCTCCTCTGGACTGTGCAAAGGCCCTGGGTGACCATGGCCCTTTTCTCAGATTTGGGCTAGCTATCTACCTGTCACCAGCGTAGTTTGCTGGGTTCCAGCAAAGTCCAAGTTTCTGCCTCTTTTTATCATTTTCCCTTCAGTCTCTAAGCATTCAGCAAACACTGCAGTGGCAGATGACTACTCCCTATACCCCTCTAAGCCACACCCCTTGCAATGCCTGCTCCTCTAGGGTAAAGATGCCCACTGAAATCTGTAATCCATTCAGATAAACAGGACATACTTTTTTTTGGTACATGTGTCTCACATATTGGCTGGACCAAGGTCCTCCCAAATGAAGGTAACTCCCTTCCCAGACAACTTCCCTTTCGCCCAGGAAACATTAAGAAGCTCTTGGTTCTTCCCTGGGTCAAGGGAACCCAGGCAGGAATAACCCCAGGCTCAGCTGCCCTTCCTGAAAGGTGTGAGGAGGAAGTTATGTTTCATTCTTTCTTAGGAATCTGCTGGGTGACACACACAAAACACTGGGTGACCTTCACCATGAATTTTTAATACTCGCCTCTTCTATGTTTCCATAATCTTATTTGGTCCTTACAATAAACTTATGGAGCAGATGTTAAGATTCTTGTTTGACAGATTAGGAAACTGAGATGCAAAGGGGCAAGCCTGCTACTGAGTGGTGGAGACAGAGTCTGAAACAAAAAGTTTAAAATTCATTTAAATCAATTAAATTAAATTCTAGAAAGTGCCCATATGTTTAAAAAAGTATGACTTTCATGGGAAGCAGGAATATTGGATATTGAGACAATTCACCTGTTCGAATATGCTCTGATATTTTATTTTTAGCTTTTCTCAACTTCCCCATTTGACGACTGCCAAGTAATGTGTACTTCATTTCTTGAGCGGGGTTCACCAGAAACAGACTCTGAGACAAGGATCTAGTTGCAAGTGGTTTATCTGGGAGTGGTTTATCTGACTCCAGCACACACTGGTAAGGGGAGTCGAGATGGAAGAGAGGAAGAGGAGGCAGCCAGTCCAGGCTGAGTTGCTGAGCAGCTGAGTGGGCAGCTGGGGCTCAGCTCTGTTGGGACCACATGCCATCTCGCCTCTCTTCTAATGAGTTGCTCCTTCTTCCCGTTGCCTAGGCTGTGTGCACATCGAGGAGGCTGATATTTACTTCCTTATTGATGGGTCTAGCAGCATCAGACAAGATGATTTTCTTCAAATGAAGGCGTTCATGAAGGCGGTGATAAAGATGTTCCATATTGGGCCTGACAAAGTACAGTTTGGAGTCGTTCAGTACTCAGACCGAATTAACAGTGAATTCATCCTCAGCCAGTATCCCAGTGTGGCACAGCTGAATGTGGCCATTGATGGTATCCAGCAGAGCGGAGGTGCCACCAGTACAGGTCAGGCCTTGAGAACCATGGCTCAGGTCTTTGCAGACACTGCTCGCAGCAACACACCTCGGTATCTCATAGTCATCACCCATGGTCAGTCTCAGGACGAGGTGGCCGTGCCTGCAAAGGCATTGAGGAACAACAGAGTCAACATTTATGCCATTGGGGTCAGAGACGCTAACACTGCTGACCTTAAGGAGATAGCTGAAGACAGGATGTTTTTCGTGTATGAGTTTGATTCTTTGAAGGCCATCCAACAGGAAGTGGTAAAAGACATCTGCTCCTCAGAGAGTAAGATTTTTTCTTCTCTCTCTCTCTTTCTCTCTCTCCCTTCCCCCTACCACAATATATGTGTCTAATTTATGCAAATAGGTTTCATTCTCAAAATGTGGATTCCCTAGTCCAGAAGAGAGTATTAGACACAGAATGACCATGATCTAGAATGAACAAAACTGGCCAAATTTTATGTCTTTATTATATAGCTGTGTCTATTTTGAGACTGGTTTGTGCTGGGTCATAGAAAATTTATTTCATTGACTTCCTCTTCCCCCGCCCCTTTAAAAATATTTTCATGTTGTGTATATGCCACCTCAGACTGTCTCTGAGGGCTCATAATTAATTTCAGGCTCTAAGTGAATGTTCTGTTCTGCTCCTCCCCACCCCTACCAGTCTGTAAGAAGAGGAAAGCTGACATTATCTTTCTGATAGATGGTTCAGAATCCATCTCCCCAAAAGACTTTGAAAAAATGAAGGGATTCATGAAGAGGATGGTGAATCAATCTAATATCGGTGCTGATGAAATTCGGATTGGCCTTTTGCAGTTCAGCTCGGACCCCCAGGAAGAATTCAGGCTCGACCACTTCTTCCTCAAGGAGGAAATTCGTGAAGCCATCTCAAAAGTTCAGCAGATGAACGATGGCACCCGAACTGGGAAAGCCCTGAATTTCACTCTGCCTTTTTTTGACAGTTCAAGAGGAGGGAGACCCAGTCTTCTTCAGTATTTGATTGTGATCACTGATGGGGTGGCCCAGGACGATGTAGACATGCCAGCCAAGGCCCTCAGGGACAGAAACATAATTATTTTTGCCATTGGTGTAGGAGGGGCTGAAAAGTCCCAGCTTTTGCAGATTACTAATGACCCTGACAAAGTGTACTATCAAGACAATTTTGAGTCCCTGCAGAACCTGGAGAAGGAAATTCTTTACAAGGTCTGCATTCCACAAGGTGAGTGCCAGAGGGTTTGCCATTTGATCCATAAGCCCATCATAAGTGTCAGGGACCCTGTTGGCTCCCTTAATAAAACTGATCCTTCTAGCTGAGGGAGGGAGGGAGGAAAGATCGCCCTGTGGGAAGGGCAACTGGACTGCACTCCCACCGCTGTTATTCGCCTTTCCGTGGGGATTCTTTAAATCATTCCCTCGCTGTCACTCCTCTGGCCTCCAGAGGCCTGAGCTTTCTCGGAACTCTATCTCTGGAAAGTCCTCACAACTCTTCCCTTTATCCCTTGTAGATAGATGAAACCAGACTGGAATGTGTAAACACAACTCACTGAAGATTGGGGCATATCGAAAGAGAAATAGGAGCAGAGAATAATACCGTATTTTCAGACTATAAGATGCACCCCAACCCCCCAATTTGGGAGGAGTAATGGCTGGTAATGCTGCTGTTGAGTTCTGTTTACATTTACATTGGTGAAATATTATGTTATTTATGTTATTAAATATTTTACCACATTTTTTGCTCCAACATTTTTTTTCTTATTTTCCTCTAAAACCTAGGCGCATCTTACGGTCCAAAACATACGGTAATACCAGTTAGATAGTGGTTCATATGAAATAGAACACACTCTTTTCTAGAGTCTCTGGATGGGAGTCTCTCTGCTTTGTTGCTAATCTGCTTCCACGTGGCCAAGGTCATCCTCCATTCCATTTTATCTCCTTAAGCTTTTATCCAAAACAGCAGGGTCCAGAGACTAAGGTTCCTCTTCCCAACAGTCTGGGTCTGTTCTTGTGATATTTTCCCAAGATTTGCCTTTCAGTGGGTGATTGACCCAGAGAATGTCTTTATGGATGACTCTACCTCCTTCCCACAGGAAGTGAGATTCTGCAGCACAACCACATCATCATTAGGAGAGCTAAGCTTCAGGTGGTACTTTATGTTTGTGCCAGGGGCTCTTCCAAAGGCTTCCCTATATTAAACTATTAAATCTTCACATAAACCTATTGAATAGATACAGTTTTACCAATGCAGAAACCAAGACACAGAAAAATTAGGTTATTTGGCCCCAATAAACAGCGAAGCTGAGATTTGAACTTGAGTAAGTCTAGTTCTAGAGTTTGTGTACTAAATGCTGTTTTATATTGCTTTTTGGTATATGTAGTAGAGCAGAGGCCTCTCAAACTTCAACATACATTTGAATCAAGTTCTGGATAGGATTCTGTTACTAACAAGCTCCCAGGTGATGCTGATTCTGCTGTTTCTCAAATCACACTTTACAAGGCTAGTACAGCATGGCATAATGAAACATAGTATAATGTAGAAGAGTATTACATAGTATGATAGACAGTCATGTGTCACTTAACTATGAGCTGTTTAAAAAAATCTCTCTCCCTCTTTTAAAAAAATCTTTTTTAAATTTTTTAATTACAGTTGACATACATTATATTAGTTTCAGGTGTATACCTTGGTGATTAGACATTATATAACTTATTATGTGATTATCCTGGTAAGTCTCATACCCATCTGACACCATACATAGTTATTAGAATATCATTCCCTGTGCTGTACTTTACATCCCCGGGACTATTCTGTAACAACCAATTTGTACCATGAGGATACCTTTTGAGAAAGGTGTCCTTAGGTGATTTCATCGTTCTGTGGGCATCACAGAGTGCACTTACACAGACACAGATGGCACATCCTGCTACTGTAATTGTAGGTGCTGTACTTTCACAGGACTGTTGGCACTGTAGGGTTGTTTACACCAGTGTCACCACAAACACGTGAGTGATTGTAGTGTAAGCCCTGAGTGTGGGCTTCTCTTTTTGTAAATGAAGTGCCTGATTTGAGCTTTCATTGCCAAGACATCCATCTCAAAGGGACATCTACTTCAGAGAAGTCTGTAACAAACACAGTGCCTGCCTCAATAGATGAAGAGTCAGGCCACCTCCCCGACTGAGGCTCCTTTGTTTGAGAAATCTTGGTTGATTTTGATAACTGACCACTTGGATCACTTGTTTTTATTGTGCTTTAAATTCACCCTTATATGTTTTAAATTAACCAATAACAAGTGAACTGTGAAACAGCCCCTCCTTCCTGATGTTTGACTCCAATAAAAGCAGGACCCCAGTCCTCTGTACTCTCTCTCTCCACCTGTAATCTTGCTGTGTTCCCCCTGGAGTGCCTGTATACCCCAGGGCCTGTAAGTAATCAACTTTTTGTTTCAAAGTTTTCTAATGGTTATTGCTGAAGGGTGTCTTGCATGTAATAAGAACCAAAGCTTTGGTCCTGTTGCAATATAGGTTTCGAAAGAGATGTCTGTGGAAAGCTCACTGCAGCCCAGGCAAATGCCCCTGGCATTTCTAGGAATCACGTTACTATCCACAAACTGAGGCAGCCACAAACAATAATACATTGCACTACGACCTACATGGCTACAGCATCACTTGGCAACAGGAATTTTTGGCTCCATCATAATCTGGGACCATAGATGTATATATGTCTGTCATTGACTAAAATGCCATTATTAGGCTCATGATAGTAGTGTAGTATAGAATAGCACAGAATGTTGGCGAATGGTATGATGTGGTATAGTGATGTATAGGACGGTATAGTGAAGTACAGTGTAGTGTGGAATCATAGAGAAGAGTATATGATGGAACCCATAAGTCCAATATTCCTACATCAACCCCATGTGAAGCAGATGCTGTTATTATGATACCCAGTTTCCAGTATCAACATGAGAAAAACAAGACAGGTTAAGAAGCGCAAATGGGAAAATAATGGAGTCAGGATTGGACTTCCCAGCAGCTGGTGTCAAAAGCTGAAGCCAGTTTTCCAGAATATTAAGTTAATATTTTTGTTTACGGTGTCTAAAGAATATCATTACTTTGTAGTGTCCTTTGCAAACTCAGAAATCAACTGAAAAGAGTGCATGTGTAAACGTGTTCTAGTAAGCATGGACTATGGGCCGTCCTGCATTAAGCAGTTCAGATTCTTCAGAAAATAAAGTTCTGTTTTTGTGTTCATAAGCACCTGGGTATTATCCAGGAGAGGAAAAGAAATATAGGATTCTGGTTTCTCTTTTCAGTTCATTTTGCACCATGCAGTAAATTAGGATTTATATTTATCTTCAGCTTTGTCTTTCAACTTTTTGGATACAATTAGCTGGATACTTTAATAATAGCTGGATTCTAATTAATTCTAGATTTCTAGGGTCATAAAGCTAAATCATAAAGACCCTGGAGGTTATCTGATGAGATTCAAACCCTCTCTATTAACAGTGAAAGGAAATGCTCCTTGTGTTACAGAATAAAGCCAGCAGAAATGTCCCTGGGGAAAATGTAAATTAGAAATGTTGAAATAATATACCATACTGCAAAAGGGAAATTTCTTTTTTTTTCTGAAAACAGATCCGATATAAAAATGGGATTTATATCTGTGGAACTCCTTTTGGTGAATTTCAATGAGAGATTTAAAAATTAAAACAAAGCCAAGATGTTTTATGTGAGTGTCGCAGTTCCTTATATAGGAAATGAAGGGGGGAAGTCATTTTCTATCTTGGCAACTCCAGAAATGTGCTAGGCCAGGTAGCCTGGAGTATAATATTTAGGGGATGGAGAACTCAGGGCTCACCCCTTGATCTTAGGCCCCTGAGAAATTTTAAGCCACTGTTTGTAACCATTTTCACTGCTGAAGGGTCTGGTATTTATTTATTTTTCTCAAAATTGCCCCTGCAACCATGTTCAGTTTGTTTTTATTGATTCTGAGCAAGGTTCTCCAATGTGTGCTGGTTCAAGGAGGAGATGTCCACATGTCCTGCCTTGCCCCAGGCAGTGCCAAGTTTTGTCCGTTGTCCGGAAGTAATTAATGATAGTGACCCTTTTATGGCCAATAAGTTACATATCGACATTCATTCAGATTCTAATCAAGGTGTGTCTGTGGCCATCAACTCTTACCTCTTCAGTAGAATTTTGCGGATGATTTCATTTACCTGTGAGTGTGGGGCGGGGGGGGGGGGGTGTGCTTAGACCGAAAGTGAAACTGGAAAAGTCGGTATTCATGCTGCCTGTCACTACCAGAACCAATAAGCACAGACAGGGATTGAATCGTTAGGGGCGCTTTATTCAGATGGCTGGCGATCTGAGAAGATGGTGGGTTATATACACTAACAGACGGTCTTACATTGCCTTTCAAGCCAGCCTCTTTTATAAGGAGGAAAAGGTATAGGTAAGGGATTTGGACTTCAGGAAAGAGGTTAATCAGATAAAAGCTGCAGTCTGGTAATTTCCCTATCATCTTTTCATCTGTTGACTGGTGATTTTCTATCTGAGTCCTGTTTCCTGTGTCCTGTGTCTGGGGTGATTTTCTTTATCTCTGTCCTGGGTGGTGGGGTGTCTCTCCCTGGAACATGAGGGCTCAGATACCAGCTTGATTGTTATTCTTCTGGGGCACAAAGGTTGACTTGCTTGTGGTCTCCTGGAGTCAGGGTGGGCCATGTCTTCAGTTCTGAAAAAATAGCTTTTTTGCATACATTACCTATTAAACTTATTAACTATTACCTAAATCTAAAAATTTCCAACTCTTGAGGTCCCCCCTCAAAAGATCAATGGACCTTCAAATTCTAGTTATACTCTTCTGGAAGGGCTTAAAAATTTTCAGGTAGAAGTAACAGAAAATTGGGAATGATTGTCAGGCCTGATCTTTTGTAACATGCTCCCCTGAAACAAGGTATATGCATGGGTGGTGAATGAGGAAGAAAACTTCCAGGGGAAAAGGAAGTAGTATAGCTTGTGCTGGAAGAAACTCAAGGCTCATTTATATTCCTGTGTTCATTTGTCAAACATTTAATGAGCATCTGTCTGTATTGGGCACTGGGAAAGTAAGATGACACGGTCCTGCTGGCAAGGAATCCTTGTCGAGTGGTAGAGAAGGTCCGGTAAAGTAAATCGAGGGAATCTGATAATTCAACACGAAGAGCTGGGGACAGGAGTCAAAAAGAACTTTAGGGAGGTGGCTGTTTAAACTGCTATTTGAGAGGTTACTTAAACTGCTACTTGAAAGATGTGAATGAGTTAACAAGACCTAGACTGAGGGGATAGGAAAGGATACCAGGTAAAGGGAGTAGAAGGTGTAGAGGTATAAAACAGTATACTGTATTTTGCCATGTAAAGTGTGTATGTTTTTTGCCCAAATTTTTGAGGGAAAAATAAGGATGTGTGTTATACATGGGTATAATGATTATATACCATGGATGTAATAATCCCCTGTATAATGCAAACAAAAATGTGGGTGTGCATTATGCACAGCAAAATAAGGTGTATCGGTGAGCTTTTGCTGTGTAACAAACTATTCCCTAAATTAAACAACAACCTTATACTTCTATGGGTGGTCTGGGATTTTTTTTCAAGGGCAGTCTTGGCTGATATCTTCTGGACTTGGTTATGCATCTAATTTGATTTTTTTCTCCTCTACCTTCAAAGAATGCAACATAGATTTGTCTGTAGGAATTGACCTCTCCACTTCCACAAGGCAAAATTGGGAGAAGCTTCAAGAGTTACTGCCAGAGCTGATGCAACAGTTGGCTGTGCTTTCTAACATCAGCTGTAGCACTTCCGGTCAGATCAACACAAACTTTCGCTACTTGGTTCCTGACTTAGAAGGCCGGCTTGCCTTTGACTCAGGCTTTGGCAAATACAGTAATGAAATTATTCAGAAGTTCTTGGTTCATCAGGCTGCCAAGATCAACCATATGGATGTGGACTTTTTGCTATCCTTGGGAGATAATGCTATCCTCTCCTCTTCTGCTAAAGTGAAGGTAATAAGTGCTGAGGACACATGTTACGGAGCCATCAGGCAGGGCCTGGGGTGGGAGGAAGTCGGGCTAAGGTTTTGTAACTGAGGCCAACAAACCTGTTGCTCCCTGGAGATCCTGCATAAAGGAACACCATAGTCTTACCCAGTAAAAACCAACAGGAGATGCACTTTGACCAGTCAACAATTTACTAAGCCCTGGAGGCTCTAGTTGAATAATCACAGTGGGGATGAAAGGATAAAGTCTCTTCCCTCAAGTTGTCCACACTTTAGTGATCTAGATTCTTCTATGGAATAATCCATTCCAAAGATCACTGGGCGATATTTTGAGACTCCCTCGCTCCTGAAGGTCACTGGTTGCCAGGTAGAATAGGGCCCATCACTTCTGCAGTGCGCACGCCGTGCTGTCTTCAGTGACAGCTAGTGGCTCTCCAGTGTGGCCTGACTCTCCCTTCTCAGTGCCCTGACACTTTACGCCCACAGAAGTCCCCAGGGACTGCAAGACCCCATGTGACATTTATTAAGAATAAATAAATTTGACATCTCCAAGCTTTAAAAGTTACATTTATTTTTCCCTTCAGTCATGCATCCAATGAATTTATTTCTTGACTGGTATAATTCATATTTTAAAATTAAAAATTTCTATGAGTAAAGGTAACATGTTTTAATTGTAGAAAATGCCATATTTTTTGTATCTTTTACATTGATAAATAATGATAAATATTGTAAGATGATTTTTTGGAAGGTATTTTTAAGTGAACATTTTAAGCTGGTCCAAAATTTTTTTTTGGTAGGGGAAGCTTGGGAGAAATTGAAGTAAAAATGAATGCGTGATAAAATGAATAATAAGTGGGTAAAAAGGAGTGGGGTGAAAGTCTGGACACAACCAGAAAAGCTAACCTTAGTCTTGCATTTTAAAGTAATGTGCAGTTTATAGCATCCATCTTCTCCATTCCCTTTCCCTTCTCTTCTCCCCCTCCTTCCCCTTCTCCTTTGTTCTCTCTTCTTCTCTCCCTCCCCACTTCTTCCAACCCCCCCATCCCCCACCAAACAACAGGTCCTTTTAGTGTTTACAGACGGACTGGATGGTGACTTACAGAGACTGAAGGAAACATCCATGCTTCTCCGTGGCAAAGGCAAGTGCGCAGAGTTGCCCCGCCTGGGCCTCACTCCTCTCACAGGGCCGGAGATGCACTGGACCCTGTGAAGCCTCCTGTATACTGACCCAGGCAATAGGAGCTCAGTACCCACCAGGCTGTTACCATCTCCCTCTTCGTAAGAAGCAGGGGGCTGTTCAGGGCTGAGAGACCCTGCGGTGCCCCCATCCCTGACCCTGACCAAGGGCCTCTCTGAGACAAGACTCACCAGTTATCAGCCTGGCATCTGCTTTTGAGGGCGGGGGCAGGGGTGAAGGTGCAACTCCTCCACGCTGAGTGGGAACCGATTGCTCTGTTAGGCTACCTCAGGGCACATAGGTCTCTTTTTCCTAAACCCTGGAATCAGCCTGAATCTGGGCTTTACTCTTTCCACTCCCCTTTCTCCCTTGTGTGCCCCCTACTTCTCCCTCCTTCTCCATTTCCAAGGGCTACTGCTAGTCTATATGGCATCTTTGTGAAATTGGAAAAAGATGCCCAGTGCCCCGGTGGGTGCCATCCTGTGCCTGGCCACCTGGCTTGGTGAGTGGTGTCCTGGCTGCATTTCAGCACCCACCAGCCCCCTAGCTGTGTGTCCCTGGGCAGTACCTTCTGTACAACTGTGCCTGTTTACTCTGGCTATTCCCCGTTTGTGCCACATAAAGGCACAAGGCAACTTGGAGTGAACGACCAGCAACATGATTTGTTCAAACTCCCTTCATCCCTCTCCCTCCTAGTGGGGTGTGTCCAACATGTTCTGGGAATGATGTTTTCCCTTGGTTAACAGTGTGTTGGAATATTTTTTATGACAGTTTGTTCCCAACTAAATTTACCAAATACATTGCTACTGGAAGTTTAAATTGTTGCAACTTTTCTGGAAGAAATTTGGGACGCTATGACAGAAGACTGCAATCTTTGCCTACATGCTAGGCCCAGGAATTTATTTTCAGAAATAATGAAGACTATGTGTAACAACCTTTAACCAAAGGTTGTTAAGCAGCTTTTTTCTTTTCAATAGCAGGAAGCTGATGTGTGTGTGACTTTAGTGTTCAACATATCAACACTAATGGTTGTTCTGAAATTCTAGAAACAGCAATTCCTTGCCAACTATGAGGTGTCCTTGTTCATATTTGTTCTCTGTGTGGACAAATCCAGGTGATCCGATAGTTCCAAATTCAGTAGAATTGTCTAGGTTAGACTGCAGTCACAAACTATCTCCAAATCTCAGTGCTTTACAGAAGCAAGACTGTATTATTCATTTATGCCCCATGCCCACACGTATATGTTGCCTGCTCATCACTCAAGGACCCAGGCTGAAAGAGGGGTCTATGCCTGTGGCAGGGGAAAAGAAATTAGGCAGATTGTTCTCTATTCTTAAAATTTCTCTCAGGGGGAGACACATATCATGCTGTACACATTTTGTTGGTCAGAGCAAACCAGGTGGACAGCTCTAACTTCCATGAGATAGGTAATATTTTCATTGGGAAGGCACTGAGGCTTAAGGAGAGTTTATAACTTTTCCAAAGAAGCAAAATCTTATCATGTGCCCTTTTGGGGAGCAACCAGAGTATTTGTGAGCAGTTCCAATGATGCCACAGTTTCTAAGAGCAAAACCAGAAATCTCCATCACGAATGGGTTTAAAAGGATGTAACAACACAACAATGGGTGAAAACCATTTATGAACTAAAAAAGTAGGGACTGCAAAAGAATTATGAGAGTCCTTTTTGGTTCTGCCTAACTGCTTAACTTCCAGCTGGTGGCATTGAAGTTCCCACTTCTTCAAGAAGGAATGCCATGAGCTAGTTTGGCTTTGAACAAAAATAGGAAGGGTGGGGTGGTGGTCGAATATCTGGCATCAAAACAAAGACCAAACAAAAGACATACAAGTAAGTTGCCCACCTGCTGGTATCTTGAAGGATTCTCTGCGCTCCTCATTGTTGGCCTGGAAAGTGTACATAAACTGGAAGAGCTTCAGGAGCTGGAATTTGGCAGAGGATTTGCATATAATCAGCCTCTGAGCATCACACTGCAGTCCCTCCCAAGCATCTTACTGAAGCAACTTGTAAGTATATTTTTAAATACCATCCACAGGGTTTGAAAAACCTGAGGGAATGAATTTTGTCTCCTTAGTGTGTAATGGGATATAGGTTAACTGATGAAAAAAGTCATTATGTGACATGGGTTCTGTCTTTCAGGACACAATCATGGAAAGGACATGCTGCAATACATATGCAAAGTGTTTTGGAGAAAAGGGGCAAAGAGGTGATTCTGGGAACCCAGGGAGGAAGGTGAGAATTTCCTGGGTGTGGATGGGAGAGGGAAAGAGATGACATTTTAAGTAGGTGAGTGTCGGTGACTATATACCAGACTCTGTGTTATATCTTTAACGCAGTTTTTCTAATTCTAGAAAAATTCTAGAAAAATTCTAGAAAAATTCTACCCTCTTAATAAACCTTGGAAGTAACTGCTACTTAATGGGTCTGAAACTGATGCTCACAGATGGAACATCACTTTCCAAAAGCTGCACCATTACGGAGAGGCATTTTAGAATTTAAACCCCGGCTACCTGACTCCCATTCTTTCCACTCTATGATGCTGCCTACTGACATTTATTTGACAAATACTTTCACAGATTCCCTCACTACACAGAAGTTTTTACTTGTCTCCAAAATTTTCACTTATCCACCATCAGCTTTCTTTACTAAGTAGTCAACGCCCCTCTCCCTCCTGCTAACCTCTCATTCGACAGCATGAATTGCTGAAGAAGGAAGCAATCACTGTTCACACGTGCTAACTCTTGAGTTACGTGATAGGGAATTACTGCTGCACACTTTTAAGGGAGAATATCCCCTTAGAAATGGCCCTCAGGCACCCAGGGAAACAAGGCTCCATGATCATAGGGACTAAAGCTTCATGGTGGGGGAAGAGTCACAAATCCACGTGTGAGGGTGAGTCAGACCCCTTGGCTTTGTCCATCTTTTTACCTACTCTCTTTGTGAGGTCTCCCATGAGGTGGTTGCAATGAGCTCTTGCTGACTCTGGGGATCCATTTTAGTTTAGAATAGTATAAAGTGTGTACTTATTTTTTGAAAAATAAATTGTAGTTACAACTTAGTGCTATAGTATCCCTGCCCCCATCATATTCTTAAACATCAGATGGGAGAATCAGAAAATCAAGCTTGGGAACCTCTTGACATGTTTTGTTTTGTTTTCAACTGCCACAGAGGTCACGGATGAGAGTGTTTTGAACTTTTGACTTCTCTGCTCCTTCTGTTTGTTAAAATCCAATGGTTGGTTGAATTGACTTTCGTTATCTTTGTTGATCACCAATACACTATGGCTCCCATGTTTTATCGACCGGGTTTTAGACTAAATGAGCACATCTGGCTATAAAATGGAAAGCCAAATTCTCTTGAGAAGAAATAGTTTGTGTTTTTAGGTATCTAAGAAGAAGTAAAAAAAAAAAAAGGAAGGCTATATAGCTGAGTCACACAGAAATAAGTAATATGGTGGTAACATTTTTGCTTATTGAGTTTTGTCAAACAAGGTCAAAGGCCTCTTTAAAAATAACAGTTTTCCATAAACATTTAACTGGAACTAGTTTTGGCTTGGATTTTCATAACATAATGGCTTAAAAAGTTATTTTAGAAGAATAAAAATAGGTTGCTGTACCAATTATATTAAACCAAACAGGTATTGATGTTTGCACTGTGAGATTGATCAGGAGTGTCTGTTTCTACAGGTCCCTGCACATCGTGCTCAATGTTTAGTAGATTCTCAATAAAATGTCAACTCAATGACACATCACTCAGTTAATAACAACTTTTATTTCCTGTAGATTTGAGAAATGAAGACTTTAGAGTCCAAGTGATTTATTTTGATTTCTTTTCCTCTCAGGGAGAGAAGGGGCCTGACGGATTACCTGGCTATCCTGGTGACGAAGGTGAACATGTTAGTATTGAGTCTTATTTTTTTCTTTGATGGGATATTGTAAAATGAGTCAAATATTAGCAATACTTAATTGCACTTATGTCATGAAAGTTTTTCTCATTTGTGCTATTTAAAATGGGTTTAGAAAATAAAACAGATTTAAAATACGTAAAAATAACCATTTAGTATAACAAATGTCAGGTGGACACATTGTATGAAGATAGTCTCTGGAAGGTGTTTAGTGAGGAAGTGTGGTCATTTTGGATTTTGTTAATGAGAGAATTTGCGATAACTGAAAATGTGACCTCTACTTAATGTGCATACGTGTAATAGGAGTTGTTAATCAAGAACTAATTTGCAGGTTGTCTGTTGCTATGAATGACGTAGCCACATTTGTAAGTGTTTTAACTAAATAAATTCGAGAGAATCAAAGTTGTTTTTATAACATGATCACTCAGATACCTTCCTGAGTGGCTGGGGATATGATGGGGTTTTAGTTACTCACTGATGGTTTGCAGAGAACCCTGGGTATGTTCCTGGGCAAGGAAAAATTATCTATCATGTGATTGGCTGACATGGAAAATGTATATCATACAGAGAATAGTTAGCTGAATTGTTAGAACTGAAATGTGGTAGGGATCATCTTTATTACATCATAGAAATACCAAAAGGACTTTAAAGCCCCACTGTTTTCAGTGAATTTTAAATTATGGAAACCCACTTTGCCACAGGTGTCTGTTTTAAAGTTAATTTGTATATGCCACTGGTTCTCAAGCTTTTTGGTCTCAGGATAAACCTCTACAATCCTAAAGGTTACCGAGGACCTCGAAGAGCTTTTGTTGATGTGGTTTCTATTGTTATTTACCACATCAGAAATTAAAACTGAATTTTAAATGATCAATTTTATTCCAAAATAACAAACGTAAAACCATTAACATACATGACTTATTTCATTATGATAAATGATATTGTCCAAAACAAAATATATTGGTGAGGAGAGTGGGATTTTTAAAATATATTTTCAAATGTCATTAAGGTCTAGTTTATTCAGCTAGATTCATGTATTTGCTTCTTTATTCAGTCTGTTGTTATATCACTTGCTATGTGGCTCCTTAAAACCTCTACTGTATGCTTGAGAGACCATAGGAATAAAAAAAGAAAATAACATTTTAGTGTAATTGGGAAAATAATTTTAACTCTCTGAGCATCCCCTCCCAAAGGGTCTTAGGGACCTGAGGGGTCCTTGGACCGAACTTTTCAAACTGCTGGTATATATAAGCATCAGAATCCCCATTGCCCCACTTAGTAGCACATCTTTTTATTATTCTGAACATTTCGGTGGCCTGAATTTGGAAAATAAGCAGAAGTTAGAGAAAAATGTAGCTGCTGAGACCTATGTAGTGGATCCATTTCTTTGATCACCTTTATGGGAGAATTGCTCAACTTCTATTTTGCCTCAGTGTGCCTAGTCTTAGATGTTAGAATTACATTCAGAAATGTGAATTGTGGATTTTTTTTCTATTTTGTTTAGGAGTTGTAAAAATATCCTTAAGTGTTATTTTAGTTTTTTCTGCTTGGCCTGTGGTTCAGTGAACCTTGCCCAAGTTCAGAGAGTGTGCTAAGTTCTGACCAGTCCATTAAGATCACTGACGCCAATTTCAGACAAACGGGGTGAACAAGCCCTGTCTTTTGAGGGTTGGGGATGATTTTTGCCCCCCTCTCTTCTGTCTTAGTATCTTAAAACCAGGATATTTTATAAAAACCCGTTAGTACACAGCAAAGTATATGATGTGAATGACATACAGTGCCACCCTTTTGTCAGCCACCATGTCCCTTTCTGAGATTTCAGTTACATAGAGTCAATCACTGTTCCAAATATTACATGGAAGATTCCAGAAATAAACAATCAGTGTATTTTAAACCCTGCACTGTTCTTAGCAATGTGTTGAAATCTCATGCTGTCCCTTGCGAGAAGGGAATCGTCCTGTTGCCCAGCATCTCCATGTTGTGAGTGCTCCCTGCTGGTTAGTCCTTTAGTAGCCACCTGGGTTATCAGATTTTCTCAGTATTGTAGTGCTTGTGTTCTGATGACCCTTATTTTAGTTAGTCATGGCCCCCAGAGTTAAGAGTTGTGATGCTGGCGATTCAGATATGCCAAAAACAAGCCGTGAAGTGCTTCCTTTAAGTGAAAAAGCAGAAGTTCTTGACTTACTAAGGAAAGAAAAATATCGCATGCTGAAGTTGTTTAGATCTATGGTGAGAATGAGTCTTCCGTCTGTGAAATTGTGAAGAAGAAAATAGAAATTTGTGCTAGTTTTGCTGTCACACGTCAAACTGCAAATGTGTCTCATCTGGTAGGCTCTTCATCATCTCATGTCGTTGTAAGAAGACGGGTGAGTCTCACCCTTGAGAGAGAGACCACCCGCACTCATAGCTTTTATTATAGTGTACTGTTATCCTTGTTCTATTTTATTGTTAGTCATTATTAATCTCTTATTGTGCCTAATTTATAAATTGAACTTCATCGTAGGTATGAATGTATAGGCAATAACAGGATGTATATGGTTCAGTGTTCCCTGTGGTTTCAGGTATCCACTGGGGGCTTGGAACATACCTCCTGGGGGATGAGGGCTACTGTATATGATTTCATATAATTTAAAATTTTATTGTAGAACTCCAAAGAATGTAAAAAGAAACAGGTGAAGTTGGTTCTAATAATATATTTTATTTAACCCAATATATCCAAAATATAATTATTTAAACATGTAATTAATAATTAATACAAAAACTGATAAGATATCTTACTTTTTAAATATATTGTCTTTGCAGTCCAGTGTGTATTTTATAATTATAGCACATTTCAATGTGGACAAGCCACATGTGGCTTGTGGCCACTATATCCGACAGTACAGCTCTAGTAGGTCTTGTTTGCTTTTGCTGCATTTCTCACAAGAGAAGAGAACTTCAAAATGTGTTGTTTTCTGAGGTGCTTTTAATGTCACTTCCCCACAAAGCAGGTCAGATTGGGTTGTCCACGGTGGAGACATTGCTGCAGTGGACATGTTTTATAATGGGGCCCTTAATTTGTATTGGGTTGGTCAAAAAGTTTGTTTAGTTTTTCCCAAAAAATAAAAGACACATTTTTTACTTCCACCAATAACTTTATTGGTATGGCTATTTTGAGTATGCCAGCTATCTCCTGCATGGTAAGACATTGGTTGTTCTCCATGTCTCTATTTGATCGCTATCAAGTTCAACTAGTCTACCCGACCTTGGGGCATTGTCCATTAAGAAATCTCCAGCACAAAATTTGCAAACCACGTTTGACATGTTTGATCAGTCACAGCATCTTTTCCATGCACTGCACAAATCTTTTTTTTGCATTTTAATAGAGTTTTTACCTTTCTCGAAATAATAAAATGTAATATGCTGAAAGTTGCATATTTTCTTCTATCTTCAATATTAAAATAGCTACACAAAAATTCACCAATTTTGATACGTTTTTTTAAATGCATGCTGATATAAGTGTCACAACACAATCTAACAAAATTGTTTTGAATAAAATTAAAGACAACTAGGTGCTACTAGAGCCACATTACAGAAAAAACTACAAACATTGTGGCTAACTCAGTAGGTTCAGATTGAAAGTGTATAAGGACAAATAACTACTGCTCCCCCCCAAAAAAATCCTTAGTGGTGACAAATGACCATCACTTTTGTTAAGTTCTTGGACTCTGTGGGTGAGAGTGAAAAGAGAATAGCAGGGGCATTGTCAATGGGTGTCTGAGGCTGGGCTGACTAGGCCATCTGGGGCTAGAGAGCCCACTGTGAGAGTGGCTTCCTGTCTCATCTGTGGTCCTCTGCTGGGATGGCTGGCCTGGCTGACATCGCAGAACATTGAGGTGGAAGTATGTGGCATATAGTAGCGGGGTCTAAGAGGCAACATCCAATAGGGTGCGTCTGTCCTGCAAGTGAGCATTCCAGGAGATTGAGGCTGAAGCTGCGAAGCTTCCGAGCAGACCTCAGAATTTAGATAGTAACTTGTCTGTCACATTCTATTTAGTGACTTGTTTAGTTACTAAATCCAGACCAGAATCAAGAATTGGGTGGAGGCATTAGACTCCTCCTCTTGATGAGGGTGCGGCAGGGTCACAGAGTAGAAGAGCATGGATATTTTGTTGTGGGCATCTTTAGAAAATATAATCTGCCAGACTCATGAATTCTATATATTTTCAAAATTTACCTATTATGAGATGGTGGTTTAAATATGCATTGATCACATAGTTATACATTAAATTAATCAGATTATCTAAGGCCACAAAAATAGTTATAGAACTTCAGTAGTAGCAAAAATAGTTAATATTTGTTCATACCTTACTCTGTGCCAGATATACAACTAAATATTTTGCATGCATTTCATTTCATCTACAAAATAAGATATCACTATTGCTATTCTCATTTCTCATAAAGTAACTTGAACCAAGCTTGAGAAGCTGGTTCAAGTTGAGAAGCTGGATTTAGTAACTTGAGAAGCTGTTGGTGAGGTTCTTCTTTCCATTAAATCATGGCTGTAATGGATAGCTTTAAGCAATTTGTGAGCAAAGAGGAGACCAGTTTTTGAACATGACAGAGCTTGATATTTGAATGAGAATCACAGTAGGCCCAAATTTTGTTCTCAAAATAATCTAACATATGTGTTCATTCTAAGGCAATTCCCCTTTTCTCATGACAACATCCAAAAAATGCTTTTGCCCTCTTAGAATACATGGGCTCTTAGGAATATAGGTGAACTAGACAAATGTCTACTTATAATATTTAACTTATTTAGTTACACATAAACATTTAAATATCTTTTATGTAAAATGATATTTTAAGTTAGAAATTCTGCTTTTTTTTTCTCTAATATTGGAACAACCATTTAATTACAAATGATTCCCACATAGTTTCTATATCAGTGTCTTCAGCATTATTGGAGCCACTTTTTGGAAACATCTCAATCAGTTTTCTGGAGCATATTGTGTCCACTTCTGTCTAAGTTGTTTAAAGGAAACCACTTTTGAGTCTGTTTATGAAAACTGTCATTACAAATTTTATTTCCAGCTTCCAAACTCATTGCTTCATTTTTCTTGTAAGAATATTTTTATGGTCTCCACAATATAATCACAAATTCTAGTGTTTATAAAAATGATTTTTGAAACTATTATTTACATACCATCTAACATTTGAAATTGTGAGGTCTCACCCTCAAATATAATAAATAATAATTAATTTATTTACTATCTGTTTTTTAATGGATTGGGTAGCTGACCTCCATAAACATCCCCAAAATATCTCAAATAAACAATGACTGTATGTCAGGATTATGTTGCTCAAAATTACATAAAGAGAGCAGTTAAGTAGAGAGAGAGAGTACTCTGAAATATGAGAAACTTTGTGAGGACTCAGATTTAAGAATACTTTTTTCCCCATGGACTAATTTGAGGAAAACACATACCCAATTATGGATATATGTTATAGCAACTGAAACTTTAAAAACTGGGAATAGAAGTCATAAGAGTGGGATTTTTTTTCTTCACAAATTTCTTTTTAATTAAATATTTTAAATTGTGGTAGAATACACGTAACATAAAACTTACTGTCTTAACCATTTGTAAGTGTACAGTTCAGTGGTTTTAAGGACATTCACGCTGTTGCACCACTATCACCATCATCCATCTCCAGAGTACCTTTCACCTTGCAAACCTGGAACTGTCCCCATTAAACACCAATTCCCCATGCTTCTCCCCCCAACCAGCAGCCACCACTTTACTTTCTGTCTCTGTGAATTTGATTTCTCTAGGTGCCGTATTAAGTAGAATCAAGCAGTACATGTCTTTTGGGTTATTTCACTTAGCATGATGTTCTCAAGGTTTATCCCTGTGGTGGTATGTCAGAATCTCCTTCCTTTTGAAGGCTGAATAAACCCATTGTGCATAGATGCCGCTTTTGTTTACCCATCCATCTATCCACTGGCACTCAGGTAGCTTCTACCTTTTGGTTGTTGCGAACACTGCTGCTGTGCTTGTGACTGTAAACACCTCTGTGAGCCCGAGCTTCCCTGGGGTCCACATCCAGAGTAGCTTGTTGGGTCATATGGTAATTCCATTTTCACTTTTTTGGGAAACTACCACACTGTCTTCAAGAGCAACTGCACTCTTGAACAGTCTCACTAAAAGTGTGTGAGGGTTCCAGTGTCTTCACATCCTCACCAATACTTTTTTTATGATAGCCCTTCTAAGAGTGGGTTTACCTTTAATGTTTTCTTAAACATAAAACTTTAAGAATTTTTCTTCATGTCTCTGCTTTATCAGGGACACTTGTTTTATATATAACAACTGTTTTCTAATTGAGACAATGACCAATTACTCAATGACCAATAGCACTGCACACATAGTGCAATGTAGTACAGTAACTATGTTAGTGTTGAATTTTCCAGATGAAGCTTAAACACCACACATTGAACCAACCTGAAAGTACATACAGACTAGGAAGACGGGGTGGGGGGGAGGGGAAAGACATTTATTTGACATCTACTGTATGTTAGGCCCTACATTAGGCATTTGAATGCATGATGACATTTAATCTTCAACCCTACTGATATGGGTTGATACTTTCATTTTATCAATGCAGAAGTAGAAACTCAGAGAAAGTCAGTGGTTTATGAAGGTCAGACAGAGAGGGTTGGAGATGTGCTCAAACCCACATCTGTCTGATGCCAGAACCTGTGCTTTTCTCATGATCTCTTGTTGTCTGCTCTGTATAAAACCCCTCATTTGTTCAAGTCATGTGATTTATGAAGTACTTTCAACACAGTATTGCATGCATTCAGTACAATGATCTTTGAATGGTTAGGATCAATATTATCCAGATCCACAGTTTATAAATGGAAGACATTGTAATTCAGAGTCATGTGCTTGTCCAAGCTTACAAAACAGGTTGGAAACTGAAGTTGGGCTCAAACCCAGGTCCATTCATTCTAGATCCAGAGTGCTTCTCGCTTCACCATGTTCCCTTTCACTGTCCAGGCCAGCTTATCTAGGGAAGTTGCCCAACATCATGAAGTAGAAGATAGATGCTACCTTGGCAGACCCTGTTTTGTTGAAAGCTCATGTTGTATATGGTATTTTCTAATTTATATCTGATCAGTTTGGCACAAGGCATGATACTAGATCAAAAGCTTATACTCAGTATAATTTAGGAAGTAATTCTTTATACCCCAATTGGATATCTGTTGTGTGCCAAACATTGTGCTTAGGGCTGGAAACCCACAGATAAATGAAACGTCCTTGTCGCCAAGAAGCTCATAACATGGCAGAAAACAGTGTAACACAAAAACAATAACACACAATGTATCTTCTCAGAGGAGGCGAAAAATGATCTATATCTCAGGAATGGTCAGGATTTCACCTAGAAGAGAAAAAGTTAAATAGTGGCTTATTCTTTGTCAGACTACAAGGAAACCACCTAGTGTTAGCTGCCTGAGGAAATGTTCAGACACACCTCTCTCTTGTTTCAACGCTGATGTTTTGCACATGGGGCTTGAGTGAATTGATAAAAAAATATAGATAATTTGGGTTTCTAAGATTTGGGACCATCAGTATTGGTAGCTGATGGGTGAACATTCTGATAGCCTTGCAGGTGATCCAATCAGGTCTCTGAGGATGTAGAAGGAATTGTAAGGACCGTGCCATAGTTTGGTCATTCTTGCTGGTTTGAGTCAGTTGGGTGCTGATAGAGAGAGTTGCTTGATTGTCTCCATGTGCCTCTTTATTTCACAGGGAGAAAGAGGTCCCCAAGGTCTTCCTGGACGCCGAGGTGAAGAAGGATGCCCAGGTGTGAGAGGACCCAAGGTGAGTGTGACCTCAAACTGTGGCATTCTTCCCATATCTCTGTTTAATCCCTTGAGTCTGTGGAAAACCTTAATTCTTCAACATAGGTATGGTATCTTGGTTCCTCCTGAGAAGGAGGGTTTCCCAGAAGTTGGGCCTGAGGAAAGGATTAAATGCAAATAGTTTACCGGGAGCAGATTTCAGTACACACGTGCAGGGAGTAGAGAAGTTAGACAAGGATGGAAGGTGGCCTAAAAAGGGTGCATTATCAATTAGATTACTACCATGGGTAGACCGCTTAATCCTGCTGAGGAACTCTGGAGGCCAGTGTTGAACATGCACCTTAATGTTATCCCACTCAAGGGGCGACGGAGCTGGGGTATTCACGCACCAGGTCCTATCAGTCATCAGGCTAGGGCTGCTCCTAGAAGGCAGTGATTCCCCAGCATTTCTGGACTGGTCCAGTACCAGGAAAAACCCTTAGGAGGAAAAGAGTCACAGTGCTGGCAGCTGGAAGGTAGGCTTGAGAACACTGAAATTTTAAAAACTAAAGGGGATAATTGGTGGGGCACCCTTTTTGAGTAGTAGCATTCAATGCCTTTTAATCTTCCAGGTTTAGAGAATTTCCTTTAGTAAGACCAGGGGGAAAAAAGTTCTACAACCTCAGAGTTCTATACATAGTTTTTCTGACCACAATGACCATATTCTGAGTATTTTAACAAGTTACTCTTTCAATTATTTTGTGCTGTTGTTCCTAGAAGCCCTTTCCTGCTTGCTAGTCAGTGTATTGTCATTTTTGTTTGAAAAATGATTGTTATAATAATGAGTGGTGGGTCGCTGCCATTTCCTGCTCACCCTACTATGTGAGGAGTTGCAAGGTTAAATTCCCCCCCAAGTCCCAAGCACGGGGAAGTGGTAGCAGGCAGAGTGCTGTGATGTCCATGACAGTCACTGGGGAAGAAATCTTTGTTTTGGTCTATTCATTGCATTTTCTTGAAACCAGAGAATGTATGGTTTCCTAAATGAAATGATATTTAAAAAATCTAATTCAAGCTCAACTATTTTTATTTTTTCTGAACTCTAGGGAGTACGAGGATTTTCAGGAGAGAAGGTAGGTGACTTTCCTTACTCTTCTTACAGTGAAGAGTAGCTTCTTCGGGAAAAAAAAATACTGAGTCCGGTTGCTTTTCCTTTGCTTGAGCGAGGTGAGGCTTAAAACTTTTAGGTGAAGGGATGTGTCAGATGGTATTAAGAGCAAAACTGAAAGAAAACATTAGTATGGAAATTAACTTCAAAGCAATAATCATGTAACCCGTGATCCTGTTGTCTCTAAATGCATTGTTTGCCCCACAGGGTGACGCTGGTGAGGATGGCGTTGATGGCTTGGATGGAGAACAGGTTCGGAAAGTTTCTCATTCTGTGTCCCCCCCTCTACTACTCTGGCATTTATACTCTCTAGTTATACATTTCACAATTAGTCTAGACACTTTCACATATGTGCTCAACAATGTCTAAAGTTAATTTAGGTATTTGCCCTTGTCTTTGAAATAGAAGGGCCCTAGAAACTTAGCTCTAACCAGCTGCCTCCTGTATTACATATTATTGTCCAATATTTTATTTCCATTTTTTGGTTAAATTCTACCAATTAGACACTGTTATTTTTCTGTTACGTAGTCAGTGCTTATCTAGCTTTATCCTTATGTTTATTACTATTACTGGGCCTTCAAAAGAACATGAAAAGGTCATGCTTCTTTTGCCTATGGTAGGACCTTTAGAATTTCCTTGGATGAAGTTCATAAATTCCCTTGGCTTTTGTTTTTCTGAAATTCTCTTTATTATATCCATTTTTCTTGAAAGATAGTTCTTGGGTAAACATTTGTTTTCAGCACTTTAAAATGTAATTTCATAGTTTTCTGGCTTCTGTTATCTCTTTCATTATTGCCGTTAAGAAGTTATCCATCAAACTAATTGTTATTCCTTGGTCGTCAATCTTAAAAAGATAATACATCAGGCTGCCTTAAGATTTCCCCTTTGTTTCTAGTTTTCTGCAGTTTCAATATGATATGTCCAGGTGTAGATTTGTTTTTCTTTATCCTGCTTGAGACTTATTAGACTTTTGAATCTGAGCGTTTGTGCCTTCTATTAGTTTTAGAAAATCCTTAGCAAATTATCATTTTGACATTTTTATCTTTTCCATTTTCTCTATTGTCTCCTTCTAGGAGTCTAATTAAAAATTTGCGAGAACTTTTCATTTCATTCTCAATGATTTTTAACCTCTTTCCTATTTCCTTGTCTTTCTGTGCTGGATTCTGAATAATTTATTCACTTTCTAATTCACTAATCCTTACATCACTTTGTTTAATATGCCTTTTCACCTGTCAGTTAGATTTTAAATTTTGATTAGCCTAATTTTCACTTCAAAAATTCTATTTGATTCTTTCTCAAATCTGCTTAGTCTTTTAAAAATAGTAGACTGTTATTTTATTTTTTTTTAAGATTGATTTATTTATTTTTAGAGAGGAAAGGGAGGGATAAAGAGAGAGAGAGAGAAACATGAATGTGTGGTTGCTGGGGGCCGTGGCCTGCAACCCTGGCATGTGCCCTGCCTGGGAATCGAACCTGCGATACTTTGGTTAGCAGCCTGCATTCAATCCACTGAGCTACGCCAGCCAGGGTTGACTGTTATTTTAAACAAATTATTTTTAAAATAAATTTACTAAATATACTTACTTTATATACAATATATGATAATTCCAATATCTATAGTCATTGCAAGTCTGATTTTGTTGTCTGCCATTTCTGCTGGTTCCCCTCTCCTGGTGTCCCTCATGTATGTTGTGACTTTGATTTAAACACATTTTTTAAATTTAAATTTATCTGTGGTAAATCATTAAGGCCTGAGCTGAAGGCTGTTTGCTTCTCCCAAATACTTGGTGGCACTACCTCCTAGGACCACTTAAAATAAATGTTCAGACTATATCCCCAGAAGTGGGATCAGTGGGTCAAATGGCAGTTCCTTTTGGACCTGGAAATTATTATGCTGAGTGAAATAAGCCAGTGAGAATGACAAGTACCATATGATCTCTCTCATATGTGGAATCTAGTAAATGAAATAAACTGATGAACAAAATAAAGCCTGAGGCATGGATACATGGAACAGACTTATAGATTTCAGAGGGGAGAGGGTGGAGGGGACTGGAAGAGAATATATGCGTAGCCCGTGGACATAGACAACAATGTGGTGAAGGGCAGGGGTGAGAGGGCGAGGTCTGGATGGAGGGAGAAAATGGGGGGCATCTCTAATAGTGTCAACAATAAAAAATCAAAAAGAAAAAAGTTAACAAAAATAAAATAAATGATCAGCTTGTGGGTTTTCACACTACAGTCACACACAGTGATCAGAGTTCTTTGGGCAGCCAGCGCCTATTACTTCTGTTGATTTTTGCTTTCTCTTTATTTTGAACTCTAAAGATTTCTCTTTTTCTTTATCAGCTCACTAATGTATGTAAAATGTTTTTAAGTTTTCAAAGGGATGATGGTTCAGGACATCTAGTCTGTCACATACTCAGAAAACAAATGGTAAAGAAACTTTCTACTGTCAGCTAGAATGTGAAACTATGTGAAAAAAATTTCTGGTGTGACTATTATAACAAAGATTCTTTGTATAATTTTTTTCAGGGTAATCATGGCATCCCAGGATCATTTGGAGAAAAAGGAGACAGGGGAAATCGGGTAAAATAAAAGGATATTTTTCTTTCATATTTCTACTGGTTACACAGACCTTGGCAGTTTATTTTTAAGTTTGAGAAAAGAATCATTCAGTGGCTTAACAACTAGATTGGGAGTTAAAGGGCAATAGTTAAATGACTATTTGGAACCTGTAACTTAAGGCCCAACTCTGCTGATAGCGAAATGAATAATGTAAATCTAGTTTTACATTTTTATTTCATTTTTTGTGCTTTAGAACTGTAATTGTCATTTCCCTACTTCACAGACTTTTATGTGTCCCTGTTGCCAATGATTTAGTCTTATATCCAAGGCCTTTTAACCACATTCTTCACTAATCTTGGTCAAGAAATGTCCTTCTCAGGATTAAGACATACAAATGGGCAGTTATAAAATAGTCACAGAGAGGTAAAGTATAGTAAAAGGAATATAGTCAATAATATTGCAGTAACTCTATATAGTATCAGGTGGATACTTGATTTATCAGGGTGATCATTTTATAAGTTATGTAAATGTCTAATCTCTCTATGTTGTACACCTGAAACTGATATAATATTGTATTTCAACTGTAGTTGAAAAATAATAAAAAGAGAAGTATTCTTCCCAGTCAAATTATACTACTTAATGTCCTCTGAAGATTCCTTATGCATGCCTACCTCTGCATCTTGGTTCATGCTAGGTACCCTATCCCTGAAATGCCTTTTCCCTGCCTCTGTCTTCAGTGCTTATTTGAATATCACTTTTTCTTCAATTTCCAGCTCCTGTCTTTCTTTCTCATGATGCCCTGGACCTCCTTGACCACGTTAGTCTGCCGAACTTTCCCCCTTCTGTATATCCTTCCAATGTACTTTGTACTATATGCTTGACAGTGACTATGTATTGCCTCATGCTGGGACTTATATTTCTATGTAAGGGAAGTCAAATATACTCAGTTCTCTCTTCATGTGCCATGACAGACATTACTAATCAATTATACAGCCCAAAGTATCTGTCTCAACACCGTGCTATAATCAGCTTTTGTTGATTGAATTAGGTAAGGGGATGAAATTTATTTATCTGTGTGTTTTTGTACCCCATGTAGAAGTAGAGCAATGCTTTACCACAAGGTGTGGATTGGTTTCCTGATAAGTGAAACAGGAAATCACAAGAAATGGCTCTTTACTGAGGTTTAATTTCCAACCTGGCGTTTGTGGATCAGATTTTGGAGAACCACACTTTCTTCAAGACTGGAAAGACTTCAGTTTCCATTGAACTTAGTGAAATTTGATAAACACCTGTCAAGTGTTTTCTACCTGTAGGGCATTTGCTAGACACAAAGAAGAGTTCAAAGATAAATAAGTCTCAGTTACAACCAAGAAAGAGCTTATTAACTGGTGCAGGAGATAAGATTTATATAGGAGGTACAATAATACAAGATAGGGTAAGATGAAAGGTGTAACAATGGTGCAAATAATGAATGGGAACACAGTAACTTGAAAAGGAATCTAAAATAGAGTGGTGTTTCTTCATCTGATCAATCATCAGGATTTATTGAGCATCTGTTGTAATTCAGGCATGACTGTAAAATAGGGAGCAAAACAGTCATGGGTTCTGTATCTCAGAACTGACCTCTCTAGGAAAGAGGTAGCTGTTAATGAAATAATCATGGAAAGAGATGTAAGAATACTGGTGAGATAAGGGCATGGAGAGGTAAATGACAAGGGGATCTGATCCAGCCTGTGTGGTGAGGAAGGCTTCACTGAGGGAGTAAAGATGGAATGAAATTTGAAGGATGAATAACAACCAGATGATGAGGCAGGAAAGAAGTGGGCAAGAGACCAACCTTCCACACTAAGGTCTGTGGCATTTGAGAATGCTGCTTGAAGGGTGGAGAAAACTGTGGCATTCCAGAGCACACAGGAAATCAAGACATCTCTTACCCAGACCTTCATGAGAGAGACATCTGTATTCCAGATGAAGAAAAAGAAAAAGCTTAGAGTTAGAAGAACTCAAAGTGGGTTCAGACAAACAAGGATTCCAAATCAACAGGAGCAGAAGGTGAGATAAAAAGTATAAAGAGTGGGAGGAAAGTCTGGAGTCAATTTAATGCCATATTCAGGGTTTTTTTCTACTGCATAATCAGGTTCTATCAAAAAATTCTAGGCAAGGAAGACATGTGCAAAGTCACAGGTTTGCAAGATTATTCTGGAAGCCAGTGTCTGGGTCAGAAAAAGAAGGGACTAAAAGTTGGACAAATCATAATAGGAATTGTATACCAGGCTCTGTACTTGGCATTTTAGTTTATCATTCCATTTAACCCCTGTAACAACTCTATAAAATAGGTATATCTGTTTCACAAATGAGAAAATTGTCTTAGAGAAGTCAAAGAAATTTGCCTAGATAGTAAATTAAGCGGCAGAAAAATAATTTAGAATCAACTAACTTCCTTTTACTATTATATTGGGCCAGGAAAGTAGTAAGGAGGAGTCTCAAGTCATTATGACTAGCTTCTTTTGGAACCTAGAAAACATTTTATTCCTTGTGTTTGAGAGTCAGATCTCAGAGAAGAATTCCACTTCATTATTTTCAGAGTGTGGCAAGTGAGGTGTACTCTCCAGAGCCACATACATATCATCTAAGGAAGGTTCTGTGGCTCTGTAGAACCTGCTACATAGAAATGGTACCACTAAGGGTAGGTTTTAAGAGAAGCAATCATTTCCTTATCATGTCATAGTCTTTTGGCAAGTTGCTTTGCCTCTCTGGTTCCCTGTCTACAATAGTCAGGAGCCCTGAGAGTGCTTTTCTCTCTTTTTTTCTATTTTTATGAGATCTTGCTCTACTAATGCTTTCCACATTCATGATGGCGAGAGCCTTTCTGTTTTTCTTACATGTGTTTCTGTGTGGGAGCATCATGGAAGAGTGGAAAGATCAAGGAATTCGGTAGTTGGGACACCTGGGTTCCACTTCCCTGAGCCTCAGCTCCTGAGTTGTGAAGGTTAAATGAGGCAATGCACACTTAGGGTCAAGGTCAAACATATCGAAGATTTCCAATAAAAGTATGTTCTTTTCTGTGTCTCAACCTCACCTCTTTGGCAGTAAATGCTTAAAAATTCAAGTACTAAATTGCTCTTCTAATTTGACTCTCATTTTTCCTTCTTAATGTTTTCTTTCCTTTAGGTAATAGATGATTTTAAACAGTGACATATTTTTTTTTATTTGTCATTCAAGGGCTTGCCAGGACTGCCTGGACAACCTGGAGAGCATGGAGAGACTGGGTTAAGGGGCGATCCTGTGAGTGGTAGTTGAGGAGTTTCCACTGTGGTAATCCAGGGACTTGTAAACTGTTTGAGCACAAAGGCACAGAACAATGAATTATTCATTAATCAGTCATCATTCAGCCTATCTTGGTATTGTAACAAATAAGAGATTTGTAAGGAAACCCATCTTATAGAACTTTTGGGTTCTTGAACAGTTTGGAATTTTAATTGCATTGCCTATTTGGGATTATTGAGTAGATCTAGCCAATGAAAATGAGTCTCCTTTAGTGTGTTTCTTTTTTTAAGAAAAGATCATGCTACCTACAATTTTCCCCTGTTTTTCCTATCCATTTGAGCTAAATAGCCTTTTATTTTCCCAGGGGGATCCTGGAATTCATAGTTACATCCAAGGCCCTAAGGGAGAAACAGGAAGGCGTGGACAGCAGGTAAGATTGTCTTTGTTTGCTCGGGGATACAGGTGGACACGGGAAAGGTTACTAGCTGGTGCAGAAGACTTGGCATTCTGGTTGAATCAGCACAGAAAACCAGAGAGCAAACCTGTAAGACTCTATTGTCCATGGAGACAGAGCTCTGAATGTTAATCCCTGCTTATATCCTTATCCTTGCACCATTGTCTCATAAGTGTGTGTGTGTGTATTTTTGGTAGAAATCTTATCACCCACCACACTAGTAATATATGCTTCTTTACTTCTTTTTTCTGGGTTTCTTCATATCCAAAATGGAAGCATCAGACTCAGTAATCTGTAAGATCTTTCCAGTTTTAAAATCTTCCAATTTTATAATGATGTGTTGATTTAAGCAAACAACTAGAACAGGAACAGAATCAGAGAAATGGGGATCACGTGGAGGGTTATCAGTGGGGAGGCAGAGGGGAAGAATGGGGGGAGAAGGTACAGGGAATAAGAAGCATAATAGGCACAAAATAGACAGGGGGAACTTACGAATAGTATAAGAAACAGAGAAACCAAAGAACTTACATGCACAACCCATGGACATGAACTAAGGGGATGGGAATGCTAGAGGTTGGGGGCAATGCAGGGTGGAGGGGGGATAAAGGGGTGAAAAAAATTGGGATGACTGGAATAGCATAATCAATAAAATATACTTTAAAAAAAAGATGCTCAGGCTCACTACACTGCTGGCTTGCTTTCCGTCACTGCCAATGTTGATTGATGTGAATTGAGTACGTACTAGCTGTTTTTAAAGATAGCACCCTGTTTAGTTCTGAAGACTAACAGCTTTGTGACAGAAGACATCACAGAAGGGAAAAGACTTGTTAACTTGTCAGGTGCTTACTTGTTGGAAGCCATTTTTAGATTTTTATGTCCTAGACGTTAAAACGCATGACTCTGAAAAATGACCAAAATAACCCAAGTGTCTAGTCCTCAGATCACATTATCCCTGATTTCCAGGAATGGGGTCTGCATACCAACATGTTTACAACTGTAGAGCAGCTTCTATTCACTTTAAATTCCAGCTTGTATCCTTTGACAAAACCTTAGGACACCAGCTCTCTTCCCTCGATTGTGGCTAGTTCCCACCCATTGTATATATGCCCAGGTCCCGAATAAAATCTAGTAGTTAACAAGATCATTATAATGTAGCTTTGTGAGAAAACTGTCACAACTCGCTGCAAGATTTTCTCATTCTGTTGTTAGTTATTTGGATAAACTCCACTGAGAGGGTTCTCTTGGGTGAATTGAGATTAGAGAGCCCTGTCCACTCAATAATAACCCATTTAGCTATGGGACTGAGCTAAAAGAATAGCAAAACAGCAATCCTTAAATCATCTGGGCCTCAGTTTTGTCATCTGCAAGGTGGGCAAATTGGAAACCATTTCAGCATTTCCATCTGTTAGTGGTTATCATGGGAAGAAAGGTCAGGATCTGTGCATAAATTGAGCTTTGGTTCCATGACTTGCTCATCGTTTTACAGCTGGGGAGGAACTCCATCTAGACTGCCATGGGAAGAGCCTCATGCACACAGTTTTCTGAGGTCTCCATCACTGACTTTAGCTAAGGGTTAACCTTGAACTTCAGATCCCTGAACTGTGCATGCAAATGAAAATTGTCACCCTCTGAGGTGGTGCCATGTCATTTTGCATTTGCATTCCTCATAGTTTCTACTACCCAGATGAACTTAAGGAAGGGTGCTCTAAGAACTTAAAGATAGCCCTCTAGGGGGCACTCTTTCATTAGTATTAGTTTTGAGTCCAACCCAAAATCCAATTAGAAGTCACAGTTCCTTTGGAGAATATGTCCCAAGGAAGCAGTCTTTCAAACCAAACTGAGAAACCTACTATTGGGAAAAGAGTGAAAACCCAGTCATGCTTTAGCACTTCTGGGGAGGAAGAAAACCAATTCAACCTTTTTGGAAGGTGATCAGGCAACATACATCAGTTAGGACTGCTGATTTTTGTTTGTTTTTCAATATACAAGTGACAGAAAACTGGACTGGCAGTGTTTACTTAACACTCACGTTTGATAATCCAGGGATAGGAGATTCCGGGTTTGGTGTACTAGCTCAGTGATGCCATCAAAACCGAGGGTTGTCATCAAGGCCTCTGGCCCTTTCTTTCCACAGTGCCATCCTCACTGTGTCCTTGGGCTTGGCAAACCAAGAATTTTACCTTCGCCTTTACATAAAATGCAGGAAGGAAAAAAGACTTTTCTTTCAATCATTTCCATGATTGGCTTAGCCTTGTCATAATTTATCCCTTGGAGCTGGTCAAGTCGTTGCTCTAAACAAAACTGAGATTTTCTTAGCAAGGAAGAAAGGCAAGGGAGTGTTGAATAGCCACCAACTGTGTCTTCCATGGTTTAACATGTGTGTCCTTTGATCCAGTCTTCCAGTTATAGAAGCTTATCCAGAAGTTAAACATGACTCAGTCTACAGATTCAGATCTGGGGATGATCAGTGTAATGAATTTTAATCACTATAATGCCTAAACGTCCAATGATAAGGGATCTTTTATAAAACAATGGCAAATCCACATAATAGTATATTTTAAGCCATGAAAAATAATTTAGAAGACTATTTCATAATAAGTAAAACATTCACAATATAGTATTAAAAGAAAAAAAACCAGATCATAAAACTCTGTAGTCAACGAGAGTCCTAACTGGTTGAACGTATCTGTATCTATATTTCCTGGGGATAAACACCCAGAAATTATGAATTTCAATTTCTTAACATTATTATCCAAATTGTTAAAAGATTCTATGTTGAGCCTGTATAACTTTAACCCTGGTTTTTATTTTGAAAAAATGTAAATCTATAGAAAATTTTGCAGTTGCAAGTATAATAGCACAATGAAAACTAATTGCTACTGTTTAGCCACATTTGCTTTGTCTCTCTATGCAAATACATAGTTAATATATGTATGTAATTTGCTGAGCCATTTGAGGATTAATTGAATGTATCATGACATTTTGCTTTTAAATATTCGATAAATATCTTTCAAAAACAAGAACCTTTTCCTATATAAGCACAATACAATCATCACACTCAAGAAATTTAATATTGATGCAAAATTATTTCTATTATACAGTCCATACTTAGATTTCCACAGTTGCATCAATAGTGCCCATTATGGTTATTTTTATCATTGTCATTGTTCTGGGTTCCAATCAAGGACTATGTAATGCATTTGTTTGTTTTGTCTCTCCTGTGTCTTCTAATCACAACTGTGTCCCTTTGTTCTTTTGTTTACATGACATTGATATTCTAGGCTAGTTTATTTTGCTAAACATCTCTCAATTAGGATTTGTTTGATTGTTTCTTCCTGACTAGATTCAAGTTAATCAATTCTAGTAGGAGATTAAGAAATGTACCCTTCTTAGTCACCAGGAGGGACTCTAGGTCAGTCTTTCTCATTATTGATACATTAATTTGGTCACTTGATTAATCTATTGTGAACATACTTTGGCCCATTTTCTAATGATTAAGTACTTCGGACAATAATAGTCTGAGATGGTAAAGTTTTTGTTTCCAAACATTTTTTTTTTTTACCCAGTGATACCTGTATTGGCTCAAATAATTCCTCTATTATGTTGGCTGCAAAAAATAAAAAATAAAAAAAAAGAAACCTCTTTACTATTAAAATGAGAAAATAATAAACATTTTAAGAAAGAATCTGTATTATATCTAGATCAATTATGAGAATGCTATATCTAAAGCCTTCTCCCTGATATGAACTACTTTAGTTAAACAATTCCCATTATAAAAGTAACATTTACAATAGATATTTGGGGATACAGAAAAGTAAAATGTAGAGAAAAAAATCAATACTTCCAGTAGCTAAGAAAACCATCCCTTTACTAACTTTCCTAATTTTTCGGTGGCAAAGTTACTCTCCCTGAGAAAGTCAGATGAGGATCTCAAGGACTTATTAAAAAATGTTCCAGTGTAACATAAGAAAATGAGGAATCATCATTTTGTCTTTCTTTGTATTTGGGTTAAATTATTCTTTCGCAGAATTTAGCATACTTGGAAAGAACAACATTATAGCACAATTTTTCGACTTAATGAACTTTTGATAGATATTTTTAATTATATTATTTCAATAAGCATTTCTACAATGATTTAATTAACACTTTCTTCATATTGTGGAATATATAAATTATTTCAGAATTTAGTCTGTTATAAATAACAGAAGAACACATGGCACAGAATGTTTTCATTTCCACATTTTACGTTCATTCCTAATTTATACATTCTCATTGACTTAGCATTTGACTTCACTGAATAATATTCTAAGATATCCCCATTTGCAATCAGGTGGTTTCCATTTCTCTTGAAAGATGAACTCATTCTTTCTTTGGATACTGCACATTTTCCCACTTCTGATCTTAAAGAACTTGGCAGCACGAGACAGTCTCCCCATTTATTGCAACTGCATATGACCTCTCCCTCCCTCATCGTCTGTATCTGTTGACCTCTCCATATGTGCAGAGACACTCTCTTCTACCTTCTGTTTCTAGTTGCCATTCTCTACAGGATGCAGGTAGAAAAGGAAGTGCTAGTGTTTTTCAAATATTAAGCATGGCTTGTTGGAGAATATCTATGACTACTGTTGAACCCCAACTTGTTGAAACCTAAGGGGTTGTCAAATGAACAATTTTGGGGGAAAGATGCCCACAACATGCATGTTTTAAAATACCAGAATTAAATCAGCACTCTAAAGGAGTACTGACCAATAGAATGTTCTGAGATCAAGGGAACATTCTCCATCTGTGATATTCAATGTGGTAGCCACTAGCCACATGGGGTTACTGAACACTTGAAATGTGCCTTGTATAACTGAGGAACTAAATTTTCAATTAAATTTACTTTAATTTAAACTTAATAGTCACATGTGGCTACAGCCTTCTGTATTGGATGGCCCATGCCTAGAGAAGAAATGCAAATGTATGTATGTAGATATCTAAACTGGTCTTCGCTGTACCTTTTACTTTTCAGGGAAGTTCTGGTTACAATGGACCTCAGGGGGTACCTGGAAATGTTGGCCCTCAGGTAGGTGTAACTGCTTATGGGGTGTACATTTCACCTGCTTTTGTGGAAGAGAGAAGTTGGGTGGGGTGAAAATTGGCTGTTTTTTTCTCTGAGGTCTACATTTCCCTTCTATTTTTAGGGGTCAAGAGGAAGACAAGGTCTGCCAGGATTGCAGGTCAGTGTTTTCTGCAAGAGATGCTCCTTGTTGCACATCTATGGCACTTTAAATAGTTCCATCTGAGGTTAAGGGCAGTGCTGGTTGGGCTGTCTGAGGTTGCCTGAGGATCACTGGGAAATTTCCCTGGGGATGTTTTTTTCATGAAGGAGGGAAGGTTTATATGGTCCCTCTCTGTACCCTGTCCAGCTGGCTATATATTACATTTCATTTAGATGGAAAAAAGGTTAATACCTTACAGAATAGCTTTACCTCCAAAATAATGATTTTTCTACTTAAAGAAGACTTCCTAAGGGTGCATAAGGGAATGTTGTAGTCACTAACTGAAGGGAAAATTTGACTTTTACTATTTCCAAAGGGGGAATGACATGATTCGAGGGCGGGATGGGGTGATATCTGTGGTGAAAATGGTATTTTACTGAGCATTTATCCAGCACCGGTCACCGTGTTAGACTTTTCTTACATCTCATGTAACCCTTTCGACAGCCCTAGTAGTTATGAGACCCCTGGGTTACTTTTTATGGATAGGAGAGGAAATAGAGGTTTAGCAAAATGAAGTTTCTTGTCAGAGGTCACACAGCTAATAATTGGTGGAGATAGGATTCAGATCCAAAGATCAGAATGCTCTTGGAAATAAGAGTTAAATTTATTGAGAAGACTTATCTCTAACATAGTCTGCTCACACTCTGCTGGTGTTATTTTGTCTAGTATTCTCATGATTTTAGGATGGAAGAGTCAGAGATCAACTTATGTCCTCTCTGAGCCTGGGGATGAGTGAATGGGAGTGTGTGTGTGTGTGTGTGTGTGTGTGTGTGTGTGTTTGTGTGTTTTGGCCCAGGAGCTATGTACAAGAAGAAAATGGGACTTTTATGTCTTCAAACCAACAATATTGAAAAAGCATAGATATTGAGAAATCCCAAATCTCAAAAATCCAGACAAGTTTTGTTGGTATCAAGTAAAATATTATTTCTTAAAACCGAAAAATGTTGAAAAATCATGGCTATGGAGAAATCCCAAGGTTCAAAAATCCAAAACAAGTTTTGCTGGCACCAAGTAAAATATCATTTCTTAAACAATGTTAGGGTTTGAAATAAATTCTTAGATAATTTTTGTGCTATTAATTCTTCACACCAGTAAAATAAATAATGTCTTGAAATATCATTTTACCTGCCTTTACCTGTGTGACTCAGTGGGTTGGGGGTTGTCCCACTGACTGATTCCCTGTCAGGGCAGAAGCCAGAGCTGGGGGCCAGGTCCCGAGTTGGGGGCGTGAGAGAGGCAAACAATCAATGTTCCTCTCATGTTGAGGTTTCTTTCCCTCTCTTTCTCCCTCCATTCCCCTCTCTCTCTCTAAAAAAAAATAACTACAATCTTTAAAAAAGAAATATCATTTTATCCCACTGTTTCTATCCCCTGAAAGGTAGAAAAGAATAAACTACAATTGACCAAACCAAGTTTTAGAGAAATTTAGTGGCTTTAGGCAGTGGAGTAAATTTTCTACTCTTGAATTATTTAATTCTTTTGTAATACTATGTGCAGTTTCTCTGCATGCCCATGAACAGTGGGCCCTCTGCTCAGTTGTTCTCGGGTTATTCCCTGTGTTACTCCATCTCCTACATCATTCTTTTTTCTTTAATTTACATCAGAGCCAAGCCTGTGCATAAGTTTAAAGGCCACTTGCACTCTCAAGCTAATAATGAAAAGTATTTCCTTGCCCATTCCTTGCCCTTGGTGTCCCTGAATCCCAGAACTTCAGGAAAACCTGCTTTCATGTCTGTGGGCTTTTCCTTACGGTATTACTGCCTTTTCCCTAAATGATGTGCTTACTTTGGTTTTTCTTGGTTTTCAGTTTTGGATGTTTTTCTATTTCTTTCTTCCTTTCTTTCTTTTCTCTCTTTTCTTTCTTTCTTTTCTTCTCTGTTGATCAGAGTTTAGACCTGGATTCACCCAGTGTGTTCTTGAATCAGAACACGTTCCCCTCCAGGCTCTTACTGTGCGCTCATTTGTGGTGTATAGTCTATCTTATTCTCACAGCTAGACCCTGAACAAGAATTCTGTAAGCCTTTAAAGTTTTATATTCAAGAGTAAAGAAAATTTTGTTTTTCTAACCTGCTTCCTCTAGTTCTCTATTTTAACTTAAATGAATGTACTGTTATGAAACATTTATTGTAGAATAAACACGTTGGGTTTGCAGTGTATGGCCATGGGCCAGTTCCTAGCCCAGATTCCTGTTCAGGCTGTGCTTTAGGTTATAATATATTGTGAATCCGTACTTTCTTGTTGATGGAGCCTTCTGAATATTTTTTTCCCTCCACTTTTATATGATAAAGCTTGCTTGGAACAAGATTAGTTCTAAAATGCTTTTCTCTTCTTTCATTCTTTTTAAATATTTTGCATCACCTTTTCCACCCATCTCCATACCCCCCACACCTCAGGCAACTGTCAGTTTGTTCTCAGTATCTAAAGGTCTGTTTCTGTTTTGTTTTGTTTGATTTCCTACTGTGGGGGATAAAGATTTTTCTTGACCTGTGCATCTCCTTGTCCATGCACTGTCCCCAAACTCCTGCTTGCAGTGACCTTACTTCATCTACTTTCAACTGGTTTCGTTCATTGTTCCTAGGATGACTAGGTAAGCGTTATTTACAGCTGTAAAACTGTTGTTGTCCTGAGTCGCCCTTTCTCCCCAAAGTCACCCTTGCTTTGTGTTCTATGAGTGTTATTATTAGTTAATCATGAAACTCTTTCACAAGACTGCTAACCTCCCAATATATGCAAACAGATCAGGTCTATTTTTCTTGGATGGCTTCTTCCTGGGCCCTCCCTGTGTCCTCCCACTCCAGTCCAGATGGCTTTCTCTCTGGACCCCTCTCCTGTTGTCTCACTGGGACCAACTGTAGAGCAGCAACCTCTCATTTTGGAAGCAGAGAAAAACTGTGTGCAAACTGCTGTTTCTGATAGGAAGCCTCTCCCTTTAATACATTGTAATCTCATTGAATCCCTGTAGTTGTTTGCTCTTTCCTATTAAAGCTTTGACTTTTCTTAACAAGAAGGAGTTGTAGACTCCAGGGTGAACTGGGTTTATTCAACATGTCAGTAGTTTTCTAGATAACCATGTGTCGGAGCATTGGTCAAGTAGACTTGTTTATGTTTTTGAGACTACAACCTGCTTAAGGTGAGCCAATACTAGTGGAAGAATGTAGCTTACAGAGATGCTGAACTCTAAATTACATTTCTCAGGCCTTGGAACATGTGGCTCATTACTGTCTATAAAATTAGATATTCTGGCTTTCGCAAGATGTCTAATAAAATAGAAATCTAAATGAGATTTTATTTATGGGAAAGATTGTATTATGGCAAAAAATCAATGCATGGATTATTTTGGCAATAATCTGTGTTTCCTTTACTTATATACTTAATTATCATAATGTATATACTATTTTATATTCTGCTTTTCTCTGTTTCCAAATCTTCCTGTTACCACTTTAATACATTGTGCCTTACTCTGTTAAAGAACAATGATTTACTAAACAATTTGGTAATTTCTGTTTTGTTACTTATCATGTTAGTGATGTAAAGAGAAACTGTATTTTAGGTGTTTTGTTTTGTTTTTGTTGCTTTGCTTAAATGATTTTCTAATATAAATGTATAGGCATGGAATTATAATGAAAGAGCCTGAGCTTTGCTGTATAAAGCCACGTGGTTTTCAGAAACGTTGCATTATAAATGTCACCAATGTAATGTGCAAGTTAGGCAACATTCCACAACCTGATTCAAAATTTCTAGCTCCATGTCTTTTAAAACATGGTTTATATTTATAAATCTAGAAATCAACTCCTGGAGAATAGAATAATAGAATAGTATGATTAGTAGAAGTGCTTCCCATTTATCAGAATAGTTTTAAAAACTTAAGAAGCACATGCAATTGATCCACATATTGATTCATTCTGAGTTTAAGATTTTTTTTCCTTTCTGTAACTCTGAATGATCAATCAGTAGCCTGGTCAACATGAAAAAGAAGACAGAATAATTCACAAAGTGGACATTAGCCTAAATCTTGGGAAAGGTACCTTCTCGGGAGAACTGAAAATATTAATTTGAGGGAGAATTAATTAGGTGAATCATTTTAAGAACTCACCCTTTGCCTAGGGAACTAAGTTAATGCTCTAAATACCTATAGGGTTTTAAAGCCAGTTTTCTGCTATTATATGTGTTTTTTTGGGCCTTTGTTCTAGAATGTCACAGTTGTTGCTGTGCTCAACCTCTGAGTTTCTTCACATGGGATAAGGGTCCCTAACAGCAGTAAGAATTGGGCCCACATTCCTTCAAAGGCATGGATGGGCTTTTAGTAACCTATGTTAAATGGGAGTGTGAGTAATTTAAATGAATTGTTTTGCTTCCATCATGAGCTGAGACATTGGAAGGAGATGCTCAAAGACTAGGAAAGACAGTAGAATCTGGTCTTACACTCCCCCACATGAATGGAACTCCCCCCCTGCTCCTCTACAGCTCCATGTCTTAAGAGGACTGAGCACAGACAGTGAAATGTTTTTTTTTTTTTTGTCTTTCTTTTGTGGCTTTCAGGCTACATCTTGTAGGGAAAACTGCCTTCAGTAGGAACACTAAAGATGCTCGGAGAACTCACTAAATCTTACTCATTTTGACAGGGTGTGCGTGGAGAATCTGGTGAACGTGGTTACCAAGGAGAACCCGGGTATCCAGGCTCACAGGTTGTATCAGCGAACTTGCTTCTAAGCTAAAGGATATTTGTTCAAAATTTCAACTTAAATTCTGTGATAGGGATTTAACATATATCAGAATGACCTTGGCTACCTCCCTTCCAGGGTCTCCCAAAGCAAATTATGTAACTCTCTTCTGGGCAGGTTAAATCCCAATAGCAATATTTATCGAACTCTTCCTATGTCCTAGATATGGCCCTAAGCACTTGTAATAACTCATTAAATTCTTGGGGGGGGGTTGTTATCCCCATTTTACAGGGGAGCAATGGGGTGATAGAGAAGTTATGTAAATTGGCCAAGCTTATTCAGCTAGTAAGTAAATGACAAAGATGGGATTCCGACTCAGGCAGCATAGTTACAAATCTATGCTCTTAGTTACTGCCCATTCAAGTTACTCAAATCATATTTACCTCATCAAAGTTGTATTCAGTTTGACAGGAAAAAATCAGCAGCCTCTTTATGAATTACCTATCATACACAGGGCATTTTGCCACTGGCCATTCAGACCATCAAGGCAAGGATCTTGCCCTCCATGAGTTCAGTCCAGTAGAGCATTGTAAGCTATTCTGTGATAACTGGACATTTAAACTTCTGGTTGGTTCTTTTGGAATCTTCTAAGTGTAACCCAAACCTGTCATTCTGGAATACATCCTACATCTTTCTTCTAAAAGCCAAATTGTTTCAGTGTTCTCAAATGGAAGAACTTTAAAACAACCAATTTTATTAACACATTGACTCACGCTCCTTAACTTTGAAGATCCTATGAGTGTCAGAAGATAATTCAAGAAGATTTCTGCTATTTTTCCACTTGACAAAGATCCTAAAGAAAGACATGGGTAATCAATGTGTAATAACAGATTTTATTTGCTTTGTGATAAAAAAAGAGTACCTGAACATAGGGGGAAAAACTGAGAGATGCAGTTTTGCCTTTTCTTTCAACCACTGGCTTAATTCAGATTCAGATGTCCCGCTGCTGTGGGGTCCTGGCCTTCTCCTTTATGTTTGCCTTGCTATACTGCTGAGTGCAAGGGGGGCAGGCTGTGTGGTGAGCCATGAGCAAAACAATCGATAAAACCTCTCCTTAATTTTCACTCCCCACTGGCATGTGGGTGTGATTCAATACCCACATAGATGATTCAATATCTCTCATGGGAGTCTAGAAGCTATAATCAATGCTTCTAATAGGAAAGCATTTCTCAGAAAAGCTGGAAAAAATTAAAGTGTCAGAAATCAGTAAAGTAAAATAGATTGGGGAGAAGACAAACAACTCTGAAGCAAAGTGCCCAGTGAGATGAGGCCCCATAAGTGTACCTTTGGTTCTTGATGAAGTCAGAACACAATTTCTTGTTTAGCCCTTGTATATATAAGGAAAAGGTTGATTTTTTTTTTCAGAAAAGATCACTCGCTATCTTTGCAGCTTCTCTATTCCCCTTTTAATATCTAAACTGCATTGGGTGAATTGAAATATAAAAGCAATGTTCTCAAATTTTAGTGCTCATCAGATTCAGCTGAAGAGATGATTAAAAAATATAGATGCTGAGGACTCACATCTTGTGCTTCAGATGGAAAGAGTTTGCAGTGAGTGTGCTGAGGGAGCTCAGTGTGCAGATGCTGCTTGATTGATGTGTAATAACTGAGACAGTGTTGGGCCAGACACCTTAATTTGGACTTCCATCAGCAACTAAGATGATTTTGTGGTTATGTGGAAAATACTATAATTATGTATCTCTATAAAAATTGGCTGGATTGTAATTTTATTTTTGGATCAGAGACCAAGAGGAAGGCAAGGACCACCAGGAACTCTTGGACCGAAGGGCTTACTGGGTGCTCAGGTAGGTATGGAAAACTAAAAGTTGCAACACAGCTACTCATTAACAATGGCCAGTTTATGCACCTGGGTGTTTCCAGACAAATAACATAAAGCTTCCCTGTTTTTTTCTGGGATCTGTGGGTGTCAGGAATTTCTAGAAATAGCTGATTTGACACAGTAGATAACAATCATCAAGTACATGCCCCCTTCTACACTAAGTATATTGTGGGACTAGAGCGATCAATGAGATTGGGGTGAGCCTCAGGGCTGTGTAACACAAGCTCATACTTAACCTGTGGAGCAAGGAAAAATAGTGTAAAAGGGGACTAAGTAGTTAATTTACTCCTCACAAACACATAAAGAAGAATTACTATCTTAATTTTATAGATGAGGAAACTGAGGCTCAAAGGGATTAAATCATTTGTCATCTGCAAAGTCAAGGCTGAACTGGCTTCTAACTTGGGTCTTTCTGCTGCCTGTTCTACAACTCATCCAATATCCTGGTGGTGCAGAGAAGGTTCAGACCAGATTGAGGCAAATGACTGGATGGACTTTCTAAGGAAAGGGGCATTTGCAATACCTTAAACCTGAGCAGCGTGATTTAAGTTGGGGATGAGAATATCTGGAGATTTAAGATAGCAGCCCCAGGATGGCCTAAGCCCTTGTTCTGTCCTCATTCTCTCATGGTCAGGAGATTTCTGGCCCTCAAGCCAATTGTATTATTTTTATTCTCATTTGATAATATTTTCTGTTTGGGAAGGGTGAAAGTTCAGTTGTTTGACTCCCTGACCTCTTACTCAAATCAAACTTCCTCCCTAATAGCCAGATGATTCCCTTAATTATTGGTGTGTGGGAGACATGGCCTCTTGCACAGAATACCTTACTCCCCCACCCCATCCCCCAGCCCAGATGTTAAATGTGTTTATTATGCATTTTCTATGTTGCAAGATAAAATTAATTGTATTAAAGGTGATTCATGAGCATTTCAATAATAAAAAGAGTCAGATGGTTAACTTTGTGGCCCTTTAGGTGATTTTGGGCATGGTCTTTTTGTAGGGGAATCCTGGGCCGCCAGGGCCAGGTGGTTCAAAAGGAAAAGCTGGACCAAGAGGAATGAAGGTAAATATCAGAGGATACACTCCTCCTTCATTGCAACTTGGGTTTTCCTATATGAACCTCTCCTTATGTGATCATTTCCAGCATGAGTTTCTGATACGGCTGTTGATGATGTTGACTGTCCATTAACTTATAGCTGGATAGCTGGATACAGAGAAGGAAAGACATATAGACAGACATATAGAAAGATGAATAGATGGTCACATGTATCAATATACAAAGATATATCCATAGATAGATAAACATATGCATTCACCATAAATGAGGATTCACACACTCACACCTAGAAAAAGTCATAGCAATATAAAATTCTGTAACTGGTGCTGCATACCTGGTTTTGATAATTTACAATACCAAAATTTAACATATATTTTCAGTTTTTTTATATTTAACAAAAGTCTAGAGTAAGATATTTATCTTAGATTGTAGGATGATGCCAATGGGACTTGAAAAGAGTGACTGTAAAATTTCTAAGAAAAATGACATAAAATTGTATGAACTCACAGGAGAAAATTAATTTCATCTTTATCCTTCATTATAAAAGGGAGAGCATGGTGTTGCAGGACAGAGAGGCCCACGGGGTCAACAAGGACCAAGAGGGCAACCTGTAAGTCTAGTTTCTCTGTTTTGGACTCCTGATTGAATTTCTTGTTTATTACTTGTTTTTATTTCACATAAAATTCTAATATTCACGATGAATATTTGGAGTAACAAAATGACATAATCACTAGAGCTGTTGTGACTTTCAAGAGTCAAAGATCCTTACACTTCTCATATCAATAAAGAATCCAAAGATGTCTCAGGGTTTATTTTGCCTTTTCATACGTTATTGAAGAGGGAAGTGCCAGTTAGCCTCTTGTGTTTGATGAAGCTGTTTTACAAGCATGTGAGTCTTTTAGGAATACAGAGATGCTCAATGAAACTTTTTTTTTTTAAGGAAAGCAAATAAGATGACCAATCAGGTGCACATTTTAAAAAAAGATTTTATATATGTATTTTTAGAGAGAAGGGAAGGGAGGGAGAAAGAAAGGGAAAGAAACATCAATGTGGGGTTGCCTCTCATGTGCCCTCAATCAGGAACCTGGCCTGAAACACAGGCATGTGCCCAGACTGTGAGTCAAACAGATGACCCTTTGGTTCACAAGCCAACGCTCAATCCACTGAGCCACACCAGCCAGGGCCCAGGTGCAAATTCTTAAGGGTATGGATTTGATTATCCAGAGAAAAGATATAATCTTTGAAGACCAAGGATCATAAAAGGTTTACTTCAATAGATAACACTTCCAAAGACAGGGTTATGCATTTTTACCTTGGTCATTGCTTTGAATACAAAAGCACGTCTGTTTTCTGTGACTATTTTCAATTCAACACCTTATTGGAATGAGCTTTATGATACAGAGTAATGTCTTTTCTTCCACTCATATTTCTGGGATTTCTCTCATCAGCAGTAGGAAGGACCTGTATCTGTTTTACACTCAGCACTGAAATTGCAGTTGTTTGCCGGGAGAGAAAATAAAAGCAGTCCTAAGAAGTTTAAATGTAAATGCAGCAAGGGAAAAACAGGACAAGATTACTGTCAAATGAAATGTAGGGCAAATAATGTTTTGCATCTACACTCAGTTCAGATGATGAAGTTAACACTGTTTGGCTTTATTAAAATATCCTGATTTAAAATAAGACAAAGCTTGTTCCTATTGACCTCTTTTTGGGAAAGACAGAGCTGGGGAGCAATGCCTTTCTTGAATGTGCTGCTATAGGAATGTTGGAGGGTGTAGGACATCTCCAAACTATACAGTGTGAGTCTCTGGGACTCCACATGCTGAAGGCTCTGCATGTCCTTCAGTGGAGAGAAGCTGGAGTGACAGCAAACGAACCTCACGTGCATCCTTTCCCCCCAAATAACTAATTTTTGGCAATCTTTTATTTTCTAATATTTTAACTTTACTGCTTAGCCATAAAAATGATCTTTGTGGCTTAAAATTTAAAATTTTCTTTTCAGATGATGTAATGGATTTAGGTGTAGTCTTTGTCTTCAGCACAAAGCACCTAAAAGGCTCTGAATTCATTCTTTATTATTGAAGCTCATTGTCTGTATGTATACATGCTGAGATCCCTGCAGTATCATCAACATTTTCACAGTTATTATCATCAGCACCACCTCCATTTCCACCACCACCACCTGTACCATCACCAACACCATTACCACAACCAGTATCACCACCACCATCATCACCATCACAACCACTCTCTTGACAACATCATCAGCATTACTGCCACTGTCAGCAGCAGAATAATGACCCCTTACCAAGTGCTTTCTCTGTGCCTGGCATTGTGCTAAGGACTTCCTATGCACAATCTCATTTACTCTCTCAACCATACTAGATAAATGATATTATTATCCTCATTTAACACATGAGGAAACTGAAACTTAGAGAAGTTGAGTAACTTGCCTAAGGTCACTCATACAACCAATGTTAAAGTGGAATAAAAATTCAGCTCTCTCTGGATTTACAGCCTATAAACTTATTTACTAAACTCCATTGCCTCTATCCTATTCTTTCCCCCCAAAGTCTGTCTAGAGATTTACCAATTCTGTAATTTCTTCCATTGTTCCTTTATCCTACAAGGAAAGCAAGTTTGCCCAAGGAAAACTTTGTACAGTGAGTGGGCTTCCTATACCCATGGTATCTTGCTGAGGTACAGAATCTTGCTGAAGAGGAGGCTAAAAATTAAGGAGAATACCAAAAACTTATTTGTATCATGGTCTTTAAAAACATTAAACCCTATTCCCTCCTTATCCTTTGAAGGTAGTCTAATGTTTATCCTATGAAGCTGGGATAAACCTCCATCAATCCCCCTTCTGCCTTTCCTCCTTCTTCCACTGTTGATTTTTCCAAGGGTTCAGATAATATTATCAGCCAAGTGATGATCTGGGTGACTCTACAATTCATCCTGTGTCATTTTTTTTAGGGTTTTTTTGGTCCCGATGGATATGGACGTCCAGGAAGAAAAGGAAGAAAGGTGCGGTTTACTTTACAGAGTATTCTGAACTCAAGACTATAGCTTTTATTTTATTTTACTAGAATGAGAGTTGCTGCCAAAGGGGCATGCCAGGAACAGTTTCTACACGCTGTTTATGACATGTTGTAGCTGTCAGAGTTCAGTCCTTAAAAAAAATAAAAGCTGATTTTGTCACTCCATTATTGAAAAATCGAACTCCTTACCTCACCTTCTTCTTACCCAGCTACTCCTACCCCAGCCCTGGGCATCCAGGCTGTTTTCCAACTCCTTGACTTTGCAAATGCTCTTGCCTCTATTTGGGATGTCCTTCCCATCTCCCTCCTTCAGACAATTTTTACTCATTTTCTACTAACTCAGATATCAACTTCTCCTTGTGGAAGGCAGAATTTGTTTTGTCCTGTATTCTGTATTCCCAAAGCACATTGTTCATATTTCTACAGTAGTCCCTTTCCATTGATGTTATATTTAATTTATTCCTGTGTATTTGTCTACCTCCAGTTTGTGAAGTTGATAGCAGGATTGCATCTTACTCCTTTGGTATTGCTGGAACACAACCTGGCACAGAGTAGGTTCTTAATAAGTATATTTAAGTATTTCCACTCCCATAGGTAGGTAGTATTTTAACATGCAGTTAATGGGTTACTGACAGAGGATTTGAAGTATAGAAGTCACATGAACCTTGTTGAGCTAATCAAATGTCAGTAGCTGCAGTTACTCTTGGTGCTTTAGCTTGCAAGTTACAGTTTTTGTTTCACAAAAGAAGAAATTACTGGGATGTTTGGTGATGCTCAGCTACTTAACTATGTCAGAACTCTGGGTTGGCTTCTCTGCAGTTCTCTCATTTCCCTTTGTGGCTCTAGACAACACTACTGTCATTTTATTGAGCAGGAAAGTGCCTAAAACACAGTGATCCCTTAGTAGATACCTGTGGAATGATGAACAGTGTGGACCCACGGTGATCATCTAGCTTAGCCTTGTTGATTTACAGATAAGAAAATGGAGACTCAGAGACATGCTGTAACTTGCCTGTGGTCACAGAGCTAGTTAGAGACAGAGCTGAGTGTGGAAACTAGTTCATGGGAGTCTCATCTGGCAAATTAAGTCTTTCTCCTCTAGAGGAGAGTTTGCATGGCAGAAAATTCTGGGTAGAATTCAAATGTGCATATTTTGAACTATGTTACCCAACTCCTCTGCCCTCCCCCTGCCCCCCCCCCCCCCCCCACTAAACACAAGGGCAGTCTCTTCTTATTGTGATGTACTTAGCGCTGTGGAACATACAGATTCACTCCACATTTGCATGAGTTTTTCCTAGCAAGTCATAATGGTCTCACTTTAAATGGCCTTTATTGCTGATAGGCCAGCAGACTACATTTTCCTAGTCTGTTCACCCTCCTCTTCTCTGAGTGCTCTGTTTCATGCTGTCTCCTCTCTGTAGATCATCTCCAGTGTAAAAAGAGGTAGGACTATCATCTAAAAAAAAAAAACCCAAACCAACAACAAAACCCTGACTTAACTACACACTTTCATTGCCCCATTTCTCTTTGGCAACTCTTGGAAGAAGTAGGCCCATACACATGGTTCTTATTCAGGGGTGATTTTACCCTCTAGGAGACATTTGGCAATGCCTGGAGGTGTTTTTGTTGTCACAGCTGGGGCGGGGGGGGGATGATGCAGTGTTTTTTTGTGTTGTTTTGTTTTTTAACATGTTCTCTCTGTGCCTGGAATGTTCTCCTCCCAGATATCTGCTTGCCTTGCTTCCTCAATTCATGCTGGACTTTGCCCAAATGCTACCTTTACCAAAAGGCTTTTTCTGACCACCTTCTGTAAAATATATGCCCACATCCACCCGTGTCATTCTTTATACCTTAATCCCCTCTCTGGAACAGCATTTATCTCTTCCTGACATATTACACATCTCTCCCTCACTAGCGAGTAAGTCCCATGATAGCATCGGTCTTTGTTCTGTTCACTGCTTAATTCCCAGTGCTTAGAAAAGCACCTAACACATAGTAAGTGCTAAATAAATGTTGAATGAATCATTGCTTTGTAGTGTGCCTTTGATCTGACCTTGATGACCTGCTTCCCAACAGTCAATTTGGTGCTTCTTCCCTTGGTTTCTATCGGATCAGACCTCTGATTATTTAAACTGATAGGTAAAAATGCTTAAGAAGGCAGTTTCATTACACAATATATTAAGGAGGGGTAGGAATTTGTAAAATCATTTGCAAGTTGTTTCACAATGAATTATAGAAATAAAAAATGGACACTTGGGAGTAGCTCAAAATAACTTTTGATATAGTTGGTTTTTTTCTGGCACCTGTTTTTAATCTTTTTTTTTTCAAGTTACTGTTTCTTCTTTTTTTCTGGGGAATGCCAAAAAAGAAAAGACTTAATCACATGGTGTTAAACAAGTTCTTCTCTCATTTCTGACACTAGGGTGAACCTGGATTTCCTGGCTATCCTGGCACAAAAGTAAGAAGATATCTTTCTGGGTCTGGCAACTGGTATGCACCCTGTGTCATTTGTTTGTACTTATTTTTCTTTACATTCAAGATTTTGCTTTTGATTCTCTTAAGGGAGAAGCTGGTGACCCAGGCCACCGAGGAGAGAAGGGGGCGAAGGGAATCAGAGGGAAGAGGGTAAGAATGAAAGGGATTTCCCAAGACCTATGAAGGCTTACATCATAACACTACTCATGGGGGCCTATTTGCATGGGGTTGATGGACTTCTTAGCAGGAAGCCCATGTCCTCCTCAGGCAGGCACTTACACATCCTCCTAAGACTACCTCATTTCCCACTAATTCCATTCTCATTCATCTTCTGAATGGAAACACAGCTCCCCAGACCATAACAGCAGAAAATCCAAGTTAGAGTTTGAGCTGAGCAATATTAACCTTTAAAAAAAAATAAGTTTGGAGGGACCGCTGTCTTTGGTAAGCCTATATATAATTTGGAAGGGTATTGTTTTAGCTGCAGAGAAAATATTGCTGTTTCTCCAAGCTTTTCCCGAGTCTTACCTTTCTCTTAGCTTTTACTACACACTCAAGAATGTGGTGTCATCTCAGTAGACTTTGAGTCCTATTTTCTGTGCTTTATGGAGTCTACCATTAAAAACTGATTTTTCCAGGTTCTGAAGATTCAATCTTGAAGGGCCACAATCACCAGAAGCTCTTTTTGGAAAGAGTAACCCCATGTATATCTAAAACATTGGTAGAGTTTAGCTGGTAGGGAGCAAGGCCTTCTGGGAAAAAGACATGAACCAGAGTTCAGTGAAAAAAAGAGGAAAGGAAAGTGAATGTATATTTTCTAGGAACTCCATAGTTGATATTTCCATACACTGGTGAGGACATAAAGAAAATTTTGATCTGTGCCTCACTTGGCTTCCTGCTGGCTGATATTGTCCTGCTCAGCTAAACTTATCTCTCTGGTTTCAAATTTAAAGAAAAGATAAAACATCAGTTACATGCAGATGATGGTGAGCAGTGAATCCATGATAGCATATACCTTTTCTCACATGCTGAAGACCAGACGAGGGTGGAGGAGCTTTACTTTTCTCTTGATGCCAGGTGCTCAATGCGCACTTTATGCATTCATTTAACCACGTGACTCGAGGGTCAACTGAATATGACATCCTTTAAGGCTGTTTGGAAGTGTGTGTGTGCGTGTATACATGTTGGCTGGAATTAGGTTTATGGTGGGTGGAGGATTTAGATGGTTCCCATAGAGAGAACCCTTGTCTTTCTAGTCTCTCTGTGTCATTCCACTGATCACAGTTCACAAACTAACCACTCTGAGGAAGACTCACTCTACCTTAGATATAATGACAACTTGGTATGTCAGAGTGATGGCTTTAACTGAGTTGTATTCAAGTGGGGAAGCTTATTTCTTTGGTCTGGTGATTTTTAGGGTAATGCTGGCCTTCCAGGATTTGTTGGAACTCCAGGTGAGCAAGGCCCACCAGGACCACAGGTAATATGGACTCTTCCTTTTTCTTATTTTCAACCTTTGTGTAAAAATGCATAAAGATCTGATAATAGGCATCTCTAAGAACACATGAACATTTGGGACACACAAGAGGATCTATATACAAAATAGGTCAAATTTGCTTCGCATTCACTTCACATCCTTACAGAGTATATTTCTTCAACATACATGTTTTACTTGAAGCTTCAGAGTGGATGAAGATGTATAATACATCTTCATACAGATGTATAAATACATCTGTCTAAATACATAAAATAATACATAATACTCCCTGGAGATTGAGTTTATCAACATAAACAAGGTAAGCAGCAACATTTATGCCAAAATTAGAAAGAAATCCTGACAAAATAGGACATTTATATCATCTTAACTGAATTAACAATGTTGAAAGCCCACATACATTTTTTAAGTTCTCTGGAAGGTTATTTGGTGTGAAAGGAAACACATGGGGTATTGTCACTTTGTCCCATGGCTTGTGCTAGGAGGCTAGCTGTCATTTCACGAGGGATGGCACAGTGGGTCAGCTGGGGGTTGAACCTGGTGGTTTCACTGCAGTGTTGGGCTTACTGGAGAAGTACAACAAAGTCAGAGAATCAAAAGCCCTAGAAGGACCACCCATGCTCATTTTGCAGGTTGAGAAGATTGAGAAGATTATAGTGACCTGCCAAAGGTCATAAATTACTGCCTTGTGGCGTCTAAATAAGGCATCTCTATTCTGAAGGATCCAGGGAAGATTTCTTCAGGTCTAGGGCAAATATAGGTAGGTCAGACATAGGTAGGGCAGATATAGGTCTAGGTGGTAGGTAGACAGAGGAGAAAGGAATGTGGAGGACTGGGTTCTCCTTTAGAACTGCCTACAAATGGCCCTGAGATTCTTGAATGGACTTTCCTGAATTTTATCTTAAACTATGGCTTTTTCTCAAAACGACTTGGCCTTCTTAAAGTTACATACCATCTACCTAGGTATCCTGGACTCCAAGGTCTGGCACACACTTCCTAGGCACTCTGACCTCCTTCCGTAAGGAGTCAGACAGAACTCCAGAGTCAGGAAGTAGTCCATGAGCTGTGGTGAACTTTATCAGAACTCCAACTCAGTATAATAATGTATTGGACCTCAGAATTTTGCATTTTAAACCTGTTTCTGCTCTTTGCAGGGCATCAAGGGCCCCAAAGGCTTGGCAGATATGATGGTAGGTGAAGGTTTGAATTCTAAACTTTATTCTTTTCAGAACACAGAGCTTTCCACTTGGACAACACAGAAATCTATAAAGATTCTTTAGTTTTGCCTCTTACAAATTTTGTTAGTACTTTAAGCTTATAGAATAAGCTTACTTTGAAAGGTTATAACCAAATCAAATAAAAAGAGTAGAATAATATTTTAGGTTGTGGAGGGCATCTGAATGTTTCTGAGCAGTACTAGTTGACATGAAAGGAAAGATTGAGACTATTCCCCTATGCATATGCCTTTTTCATAAAGTTCAAAAATATGCTTATAAAGTATTTATAAGCCAACACACAGGACACAGTCCAGGCCTTTGTGTTTCATGGCACACCTGAAAACAATCTCAAAAGTTATGATGGTTTTTCATCTTCCAAGTACAAAAATACTATTGTGGGTTGGGGGAAGGAAGTAGGGACAACTGAGGAGCAAGAAGTGGTGGGTGGAGGGAAAAACAGAACAGAGAAAGGGACAAAGCAGGATTCTAGAGGAGGTGTTAGGAGCACTGTCTTGGCAGCCATTCTAAAGAAGTGTACTAGGAATTGCTGGTACAGAGATCCAAAAAATGAAGGCACTTCTCTGCCTTCTGTGCCAAGATTCCTGGATTTAAACTTCTTCAAAATGATATTTGATTCCTTTGCTTTGTGAGGCAGATAAGAAAGGTAAAAGAATTCCCCTCATTTATCTAGCTCTAACAATATGGGCACTATATTGTATGTAAAATATATTAAATGTTTTAAAATAGCCACTGGATCCATAAATATAATTGCTGGATAGTTTTATTTACTATAACAATATTCATGTTTTATGTTATAGCTTCAAAAGTTTTGGATAGGCACTGATAATATCCATATGGCATTTCTAGGTCACCAGAGTGAGGAGGAATATACTTCAAATTAAGTATTTTTCTCTTTTTTCTATCTTTCTCCATCTTCCTAACAGCCTTGTGAAATCATCAATTTCACACGAAAAAACTGCCGTAAGTTGTTTGAAAAGGGCTCAGAAGGAGCCAGTGGTGTGAAAAGGGGATGCATCATGGATTGGGGACATAAGTCACCATGGATTTGACTGATGTTTGGGAGGGGCCATTGTCCATCATAAAAGGATCCTGTAAGTGAATATATTTAGTTCAGTCTCCCCTTGGGTAAGTAACCTTCCTCAAAGTGGTCTTAGAAATGAAATGGCCTCAGCATCTAAATGGTGGAGGAAAACTCCACTGTGTAATATGGTACGCCATGAAATGCAATGGTAATTGCACTCCTACACGTCTGCATCTTGTTCCTACCACAAAATAGGCAAAAAGAAGCTTTGTTTTTTTTTATCTCATCTATTTAAACAGGAGGGATCAACAGTGAGCTTTCAATAAGAAACATGCCCTATTTTATATACATTTAGGTTTTAAAAATGGAATTTTGAATCATCAAATTTTAAGTTATTACATTATCAGATTTTAATTTATTTACTGTCTTCAATGTATTCCAGGATATTTGCATCTTATAATAAACACATTTCTCCACTTACTGGCAACAGGGAGAGAACATTGATTTGGCAAATTACTTTATTTGGGACCATGGTTTTCTTCACAATCATCCCACCCCTCTCACTCTGTCTAACTCTTCCATATTCTGTTCATTCCCATCTAGTTGTTGCTCAGGGAGCGTGTAGAATCCTGCTTCTTAGAAATCATAAAGAATAATACCATCATCTTGACCACAAAAGCAAAGCATGTCAGAGTTGGCTTTATAAAAAGTGAAAATCCCTTTACATTAAAAAGCAAACAGAAAAATGAAAAAAAAAATACATGCAAGAAAAGCAATGGATCCAAGCAAAGGTTCTTGCTCTATCATGTCAAAATATATAAAATTGCTGCTACTCAATCATTTTCACCAAATTATTTATATAAATACAGATATTTTATATTTGCTAAACATAAATGTAAAAACTTCTTTTAGACTGAAAATGGGTGAAAGACATGAATGGAGGATTCAGAGAAGAAAACCTGCAAATGAACAACAAACCTGTGAAAATGTTTGACTTCACAAGAAGTCAAAGAATACAAATCTAAAAGAGATACTCTTTTTGTTTCTCGAATTGGAAATATATTTTTTTAAGTGACAAAAAAAATACCACACTCCAAATTGGGGAAATGTGCAAAAATACTCATTGCTGGGAGGATTGCTAATTGGTACAACCTGTCTGAAGTGCAATTAGACAATGAGTATCAAAAGCTTTAATGACAGAGATTGAGGTAGGATTACCACTGGACAAATATGCACAGAGACACATGTACAAATATGCTCATAATGGGATGCTGGAGGTGGAAGTCATGAGATGTCTGTGCAGTAGAATGGATGATATTGCTCTAAACAAATAGATGTCCATTATATACTAAGTGAGAAAACGATTCCAAACAGAACATATCCTATACTCTAAGTTATGGAATTAAGATGCATTAAGGGTAATTTAAATTTTTTGTGTTCTAATTTTTTCCATAAAAATATATTACTTGCATACACACTTACATATAATATATCCATAGTTTATTATATATATGGCTCCAGAATAGCTCAGTATTAATTTGATTTAAGTTTAATACATGTGACCTCAGTGCTCAATAGCAGTGACACAAACTTGTTTCTCAAATCAAAACCTGGAAGATGCCAGTCTAGGGTTAAAGTGGTGCTCCAAAGCGTTCAGAGATGCTCTTTATATTTTCTTGCTCTGCCATTGGAAAGAAAGTGCTCTGTTTCCCAAATTATTTCATAGTCTGAGATGTACATGATGCTTCAGTTGGCAAGCAGAAGCAAGGAAAGGACAAGTATACTTCTCTGAAGTTGTACCTGCCATTTTTCTTATTCTGTTATCTAGAACTTACTAATAGAGCCATTCCACTGGATAAGGCAGTCTGTTCCAGGAAGCCATGTGCCCAGCCAGAGACTGGAGCTCTCTTACTGTAGAAAACAGGGAGCATGAATAGAGGGGAGCAATTAGAGGTATCTGCCATAGGCAGGCAAGTGTTGGAGAAAGCCACTGATTAAATTTTCCAGGCAAGATGGTTTTTCATCCTGAAGCACTTGCATGGAAAACACACCACTGCTTATGTAAACTAACAAATGTCTCCTTTTCTCTCCAAAATAATCTTCCTTCCAGCTTGTTCAACAGGTAAATAATATTTCTTCTTATTCAAATCTTCACTTGTTAGAGGCATTGCAGAAAATCTTAAAGCTGTATATCCACGTTCCCAGGTGTTTCCAAATGCCCAGTGTTCCCCACTGAAGCGGTCTTTGCCTTGGACATGTCCAGTGACATCTCTGAGTTGGAGTTTGAGAGGATGAGAGACATTTTATTGTCTCTGTTGATGAAGATGGAAATAAGTGAGAGTAACTGCCCAAAGGGTGCCCGAGTGGCCATCATTGCATACAACAACAAAATAGATTACCTGATTCGCTTCTCAGACTACAAAAGGAAGCCTGCACTCCTTCAGGCAGTCCAGAAAATTCCCCTGAAGAGGTCATCTGGCAGCAGGAACCTTGGGGATGCCATGAGGTTTGTGGCCAGACACGTATTCAAACGTGTGCGCTCGGGCCTTCTCACGAGGAAAGTGGCTGTGTTCTTCCAGGCAGGCTGGGCCAATGATGCCGATTCCATCAACACTGCCACCCTGGAGCTCAGTGCGCTGGACATCATCCCTGCAGTCATCACCTTCACAGAGGACCACAACCTCCCAGACGCCCTGGTGGTATGTGGGGGAGCTCCTGGGGGACAGGGGCACTGGGGCGGTTAGTGCATGGTCCTTACCCCTCCATTGAGGACCACATGAGGTATGAGAGCTGTTCAGGGAAAGAATTTCCTAGGAATTAATGTGTATGCATGAGAAGGGGGGTGTCTCCTTATGGACTCTAATACTAGTGCTGACTGGCCTTCTTAATCACTTATTCTGTGCTATGTGCCTCATCAACATTACCTTATTTACTTATCCCCAAAACTCTGTAAGGTAGGTTTATTGTATATCTCCATTTCAGAAATAAGAAAACAGGCTTAGAGTGGTTAAGTCTATCATTGAAAGTCAAGTGGCAGCCTCATATTATCTGCCTTCAGAGCCTGTGCTTAATCACTATTCTAAATTGTATCATGGGGGTTCATAGAAGGTAATTTTCTTTTTTCACTTGGGGTGAAAATATATATCCATAGAGGAAAGCAGGTGATGTGCCCCAACTTTAAATGTAGAGCTGGTTGGCTTTTTATATATGATTAAAACCTCAAAACGTGTTTCAAGGTACTGAACATTTTTAGCATCCTGTAAGTTTTTCTTACGTCCCATCCCATACCATGTACTGCCAGAGTCACTGCTCTTCTGGCTTCTATCACAGTCAACTAGTCTGACCTGTTCTGTACTTTCATATGAATTGAATCCTATAGTATTACTCTTTTGTTACTGGGTTTTTTCACTCATCCATGTTGTATTATATAGGTAACTCTTTTTTACTTGAGCATCCTTATAACCATTTTTCTGAACGTTATGTCTAATAAATTGCTTGCCTCCATTTTATTAGCTCTTTTTCTGGAGATTTCTCCTGGTCTTTCATTTGAGGCATGCTTCTTTGCGTCCTCATTTTGGCTGCCTCTTTGTGTTTGTTTCTATGTATTAGGTAGATCTGCTATGGCTCCCAGTCTTGGTAGGATGGGTTTATGTAGTAGGTGTCCTGTGGGACCCAGTGGCACAGTCTCTTTCATCACCTGAGCCTGCTGCTCCAGGAATTTTCCTTGTGTGAGTTATACGAACCCTCTTGTTTTAATTGAGTATTGATTACAATTGGTCTGTTTGTGTGAGGGATTGACTCTCAGGTTGGCTAACTGTGAGGATCAACCTGGACTACCAGCTTCTGTGGTGGTGCTGGCTACATGAAGCAAGATTTACCTCTACAGAGTCTGGTGCCCGCCAAGATTTCCCTTTGGATATGCTGCTTGTGAGGCTAATTGGATCCTGCTCTGATGTCTGAAGTTGGCCCCTGGGTCGTGTTGGTTCTGGGGCCTTTTGGGAGGGACTCTGGTACAGACCAATATTAGATGCTACCTGTGACTGGCCCTTGGCAATTTCTTTGGAGTTATAAAGCTATCCACAGTATATGGCTTCCTCTGCTGGGTTTGGGCGTGCATGGGAAAGACTAAGCTGTATACCAAGGCCAGCTTTTACCACTATTGGGCCCACAGGCAGGTCAGCAAAAGTCCCAAGGCATCCCAAAGTTCAGTTCTACCTGCTTCTACTTGCTAAGCTCAGTCACTGAAAGAGCCTCTGGTAGTACTCAAGATATATGAGGTAGGTTCTCAGTGAGACACCAGGTGAGGGTGAGTGCTGTTCACCAGATGGATAGAGGTTCAAACTTGGTGCCAGTGCTGGGTCTGAGGCCACTCAGCAATTGTCCCATGGTATACTAAGTCTAGCTGCCACATGCTGGGTGCTTGCACACCTTTGTGGTGAGGCCAGGACTCAGGGAGTCATCAGGGTGAGGCCAGTAGAGTTTATCAGGCCCAAACAGACCAGGATTTGAACCTATGAAGAGAGTTCTGCACCAGTTGGGCATGCAAGGGAAAAATAGCCCTGTTCTAGAGCCGCAAAACTCAATCTGTCCCAGATTCAGACAGGAGCCTGATCTCAGTGAGGTGGAGCCACAGAGAGTCAGGAGGGTGGGGTTAAGGGATCTTCTGTGATGAGGAGGCGCTGGTCAGGCTTGGGGGATGGTAGGGGAAGTGGCCTCTTCTCCAGTGCCATAGAACTAAGTCTGCCCGGGATTCTTCCCAGACCACAGCAGGGCAGAGCCACTGGGAGTTGGGAGGGTGAGGCCTGCTGATTTCCCCTGAGGGAAAGGGCACCATTCAGGTTTGTAGGAAAGGGGGGGAAATCCTACCCACCTCAAAGCTACACAACTCAGTCACTGACACCCCCTGGGTTTGCCCAGATCTCTTACACCCTGTCCCAGGCAGCTGACTCCTCAGCAGGGCACAACCTCCACAGGGTGGGGCTATCGCATTCCCCCAGGCAGATGCCATATGGAGGGAAGTATTCCACCGAATAAAGATGGTGTTTATGGTGTGAGAGAGCAACTCAACACAGGGATCTTGGCCACTGTCCCGTTAGCGCTCTCATTAGAACCACAAACTGTAGTCTTTCTTTATGTGACTCTAGTCCGCCCTGCCCTCCCTCCCTCCAGAGCCCAGGGTGAGTGGCTGTAAACAAGATTTTGTGTGTTGGCTTTAACAGGGTGCCCATTTCTGTAGCTGACTCCTGTATCTCCCTGGCAGGCAGAGTCCCTGCTGATTTTCATAGCCAGATATAGTGTGGGCACCTCTGGTGCTCTGGGATGGGTAGCCCTGCTTGGAGTTAAGATCCCACACTTCTCAGAGGGAACATTTGCAGCTAATACATCCCTCTGAAATCTCAGCCACAGACCATGGGAATGAGGTCAGCCATTGTTGCATTTCTGCCCTTCCTACCAGTCTCAATGTGGCTTCTTCTATAAATTCTTGGTTATAAGACTTCTCTTCAGGTAATCCTCAGTTGGTTATTCAGGTTGATTGCTCTGTATCTGAGATGTAATTCCAATTTGGTTGTGGGAGGACATGAGTGTATCATCTACCTACTCATTGCCCACCCCAGGCCCCACCATTTTGGATTTAGATTGCTATTCTCTGTGTAAAATATTCCAGGATGCCTATGAGTGTCAGGTTGAACCATGTGACATTGCCAATATTCAACTCCTTTTTGACCAGCAAAAGTGGAATTGTCATATTGTTCACCCTAATATCTTATGATTTTAGCTGGGCTAGGCCACTTAATTTTCTTTGGATGTTGATGGTACAACAGAAGTGCTAGGTGAGAGATTTTGTTGACAGCTGTGAATGTGCTTCTAAGAATCAATAGATAAAACTGTGAGAGCTTGCAAACTGCTGGGAAGGATGGACAAAATATTTTGGGCTTTGAGAAACAAGATTAAAATGCAGAGGGTGAATTCCTTGTTCAGGTTACATCTGTCTTGGTTAGCAGGATGTCTGGATAAGGATGGGTTACTGGGTGTGGGGCAGCTCTCAATAACCTCCTGAATGGATTAATGAAGGCAGAGTATAAAAAAACAATGGTTTAAATTAGAGATGTAGCTTTTGTCTTTGGCTCTTCCATCAATAATGAGATGCCTTTTGAAAAGCCTCTGTATCTTCCTGAGTCTCATTTTTCTCAGCTCTAAAATGGAGAGGGTCACAACTAGACATCATCTAGGCTTCTTGCCAGGTGTAATTATCTAACAATTGGAGAGTGATACCCAGGGTACAGTTCCATTCCTCCAATGCTCATCTGTGCTGCTGTCTGGAGGGCGTCCTGGGCAGACCGTGTTTGAATCTGATGGGGAGGTGATGCTTTGCCAAGATGTTCTTGCCCTCTTTGTTGCTCTAGGTTCCTAGTAAAAGGATGTAAGGGTATGCGGGAAAAAAAAAACAACTTTCTAGCTTATCTCTACCTAAACCTCAGCTGTGTCATTTCTATCTGCTTTCCTCTCCATTTTTCAGATATATTCTTGCTCCAGGACTCTGGGAGATGACCCTGTTTCTTAAATTGAACAATTTAGAAAGGATGTTAAATGGTGCTTTCTGGCTCAAATGTAATAAATGACCTAATTTCTAGTGACATTAGCAAGGGGGAAAACTGTAAAAATGACAACCCCTTTCAGGGCCTTTCAGAAAAATCTTCATTTCTTCACAATTGGGCATATTGCAGCCTTTAACCTCCCCTACTCTGTTCTCTATCTTTAGGGGAATTCAGTTAGGAGAGTGTGAGTATCCTGTGATTTTTCTTCTGAATTATCTCCCTGTGGGCTTTCTTCCACTGTCTGTGGAGATTTTTGTCCTTTATCTCTATGTTATTTTATTTTTTAGAACAACACCTGGATGCTTCTGGCAAAATGATGGTTATTCAATTTGAAACAATTATATAAACAAATACCCTGACTTCTCTGTCCATTTAAACATGCTTGGAGGCTGTGGGCATATTGAAAAGATTTTTAAAGTCATCCATTGAGTCCTCTCAGCCCTAAATAAAATAGTATTATAGCATTTGGACTACTTATGACTAATCCCATTGTCAAGAACTGTCCTATTGCCTTGTGTCTCAAAACATGACTTCATTGACCCAATATTTTAAAAGTTAAAAACCACAGGATTACAGGAAAAATGCAATTTGTGTGCCAGATTTCAGATTTAATTTTTCTTTATCAAAAGTCTAGTATGTGTTCCCTTGAAACAGTACCTAAGAAAATAGCTCATGTTTATTGAGCCAGGCCCTGTTCTAAGGTCTTCCCATTTATTGATTCACAATCTTTACAACAACCCAATGAGATAACTCTTAATATGCCTTCATTTTTCAGGTGGTGAAACTGAGACAGAGAAGTTGAACAACTTGCTTAGGGTTTGGAATTCCCCTTAGCAATGGGATTTAATTCAGAAGTCAAAAACAGGAAGAGAGTTTAGAAGTTCAAAATTCTTCCCATGAATTAATTTGTATTATCTTTTCAATAATGCTATGAGATAAATCTATGAACTGGCCCTATTTTTATTTTTGTGTATTGCTCTTTAAAAAGAAATCCAAAGAATAGATTTGGACTTCTGACTATTATGAAGACAAAAAGTAAAATCAGCTTTAGAAGATGAAAATACAGGGGTGGGCAAAAATAAGTTTATAGTTGCGAGAGCATGAAACATTTATTCTTGTATTATTATGCATTAATTATTATATTATTTATTTGTATTACAACTATAAACCCAATGAATTAAGAAGAAGGCCAAAGAAATTTTTTAAAAGTTTTGATATAATTTCAGAATTCAGAAAAGTTGCAGGAGGACATTGGGTTTTTTTGTTGTTGTCATTTGCTTGCTTGTTTTGTCTTTTTAAAGAAAATATTGGGTTGCCCAGATAGGCCCTTGCAAAGGCCATGGATAGCACTGGGCTGAGACCTTGGGGCTGCTGTTTTCTGTTAGACTGTTATTCCCTTAAAGCCAGAATCAGCAACTGAAGATGGAATTAGGCAATGAGGCTTCAAACCCTGGCTTTGTCCCTTATGTCATCTGTATATGTTATTTGGCACTGGAATCTCAATTTATTCACCCAGTTCATAAAACAATTTCCCTCAATTTATAAAACAGGGATATACTCCCAGGTTTGTTGTGGGAATTATGAGAGATAGTGCCTGCAGGGACATCTGATACTTCGTATGTGCATGTTCATCTTCTAAGATTGCACTTTTGCCCAGTAACTGTTTTAAAATGTATAGTTTCCATATGGTACACACCTATGAAGTTCTAAGCACCATGCTACATGCTTGTCATGCCTTGTCACCCTGACTCCTCACCATTCCAAATGTGGTCCTGGGACTAGCCACATCATCAGCACCCAGGTTTGTCAGAAATGCCACATCTCACCCTGGCTGGTGTAGCTCAGTGGATTGAGCATGGGCAGCACACCAAAGGGTGGTTGGTTTGGTTTCAGAGCACATGCCTGGATTGCAGGCCAGATCCCCCAGTAGGGGGCATGCAAGAGGCAACTACATTTTGATATTTCTCTCCCTCTTTCTCCTTCCCTTCCCCTTCCCCTAAAAGTAAATGAATAAAATCTTTTTTTAGAAAAAGCAATGCCACATCTCAAGCTCCACCTTCAATCTCATCAGTCGGGTTCTGCATTTTTAATAATATCCCTGATGGTTTGCATGAATGTTAAAGTTTGAGGAGTGCTGGTATGATCTCAACTATCCCACAAGTTAGTAACAATAACCTGCCTTTCCAAAAAAGGTAAGGGAAGGTCAGAGGTGAAATGACTTGTTCTAAACCACATAGTCCTGGCATTGGCTTTTTCACATGTCTGGTTCCCTAGTCCTACTGTGTGATCCAACACCCTCAATCCAATGTCAACTCTTAATATTTGCAGGGGAGTTCAGGAAGAGTCTACTGCTTCACGGCAGTCTTGGTGGGATCATGCCAAATGGCAGGAGCCAAAACTGAACTCAAGCTCCTGGGGTCAGTCACAGGTTATGTGACTCTTCCCTATTTTCCCTCCTTGTTCCCTGAGCTCTTACCTCAGCTGGATGCCAGATTGTTTATAATTCTCCCTCTTTAGGGTCCAGATAGCTTTTCCTCTGTCCAGGGCATATCCTCCTCTACAGCACTTGCTTCCTATCCCTCTCCTCCCATCCGTCTAAGCCAAGAGCCTCCTCCAGCTCAGTTCCAGGAATGAACATTGTCCTGTGGCCCCTGGCAGCTTAATGCGGGAGCTGAGACCCTATGGGTCTCTCTAGCTCATGGCCCATGAAGAGATTTTTAATAGTGAGGGCAGAGGTATGAGGATTGTCTATATCCTTTCAGGAAATGTCTTTCTGTTTATTGATACAGATCCCTGTACTGTACCCCCATATACTTGTGTCTTCAGTATACAACTTGTCCCTAAGACTACAATTCGACATTTAGGAGTGAAATTGGTTGAGAGAATGACTATAGGTGCTGATTCAAAGTGTAGTACAGCTTTAAACCTCAAGTAGATCACTTGCTTTGTGTTTAAGGTACTCTGTTTTTTTTTTGAGATTTCCCTCTCTGGGGCTGATGGGAGTTTGCAGAAGGAATTGTAGAGCCCTTTTTCTCTTCTCACACTGGGATCCCTCTCAACACTGGATCTCTGCTTGAGGTTTCTCAGGAATTATCTTGTCTACTTTATCAGTGACAAGGATCATGCTGGCAACTCCAAAGTCCAAGTTACTAAATGTTAATTAATAACAACCATGTACAGATAAATCTATATTGAATTATAGTTCCCTGTGGACTTCATTGTGGGTTTTGTATACTTGTTCCCACAATTTTATTTTTGCAGGAGCAGGAAAAATGTTAAGCATGATCAGAAAATTAAGAGAAGTTTTTGCATATCCTCTCAGCTGCTCAGAGGTGAAAAGGTCACAGAGTGTCCTGAACAAGAGGCAAATACAGAAAACAATAAGTGAGAACCAGGCTGTGTTGAAACAGGGAGAAAGCTGAGCCATACTGATTCTGACCTACAACTCTATTGCTGGAGCAACTGAGGCCAGAGCTTGTCCCAGATCACATAGCCAATAATGGTAGATCATGGGCTAGGACCTGAGTTCATGACACGTAATCCATTTGTACTGCATACACTTTTTCCATGAGCCATTTCTTTCTACAAACTTGAGGAAATATCTGGATTTATTTGAAGTCTTTCATACAACCTTAAAAATTCATATAAATTCTGCATTTTATAGCACCCATTTCCTGTCATTTGAAAATAATGTGTCCTAACATTTTCTCATGACTCTTGGGGTAAAAATTGATGTTCCGAGGGTTAGCCTAGCCTCCTCATATCTCCTGAAACCCTGCCAGGGGTCCTAATTTCAGAAGCCTTCCAACTTGTCTCATGTGATTTCCAGTAAAGCTTTTAATTTGTCAAGTGCGTGGCTATGCTCTGTTTTCTGTAATCTTTGATATTAATTAGGTCCATTTGGTTTGGTCAGTACACAGAACTGATAATCATGTGGAATAGATCTGAATGAATGTTGAAAGTCAGCAACTCTGCACTCATCTTTCATGTCAGCCTCCTCCCTCTGGCAAGGAATTTCAGGCTTTCAGATGTGCTCTGTAGCTACCCATTGGAGGTGGGTGTTCTCTAATCTCTGGGGAGTGGGAGCATCGAGAAGAATTCTAAAGATAACCAGCCTCCCTCTGGGCCTTTGTACATGCCATTCCTCCACATTGTAATGCTTTTCCCTGTTTCTTTGCCAGGCAAACATCCTACTCATTCTTTCAAAAGGGCCAGATGCTATTATCTTTATCAGATTCTCTCTATCCCTTTCCCTTTAAATTTGTGTCCCCTTTTCTGTGTTCCTAAAACATAGATCACTTTCTTGAAAATAGGCTGTCTTTCCACTTAAACTCTTTGAAGGTGTGGCTATGTCATTTTTGTATCTCCACATGGCTTGTTAACACTTTTATGTCATAGCTGTTTAATCAGTCTTGGTTGATTTGAATTTCTAAGTCAGGAAAAACCAGAATTTAGGTTGCTTTTGCCATATAAAGAGCAAGAGAGGATGTATTTCACCTTTCTTTTCAGGAGACTTAGGAAAGTTCTCATGTTTGGGTGTCACATTAGCATAAACAAAAGTCTAACTCTTTATATTTCTTTCCCAACAAGGGCTTTTCCTTTAAGTAAGCTCACTCTGAGAGTATTTGGGATATGCTACAGTCCTAAACAGAAAAAGTAAAAAGCTCTTTATGGAGTATATGTTACAGAAAGTTCTTTTTCAAAGTAATCCCTGCCTGTCTACGTCTCTGAGGGCTAGCACGACATCTTTATATGCCTGGCACCTTGCTGCCAGAGGGGGGTCCAGAGCTTGCTTGGTCCAGGCCTCAGGTTGAAGGAGGACCTGACTTTCAGTGGAGCTCCATTCTATATGATTTGACAGAGAGTGGACAAAAACATTGGACAGGACTGGGCTTAGATATTCACCTCTTTGCAAACCACGCCTCAATTCCTGACAGACATAATCTGAAAGCATTCCTAATTTCATCATGAGGTGCAAATAATCTGTATTAGTCAGGGCAGGTTAACTGTGAAATCATTCATGCCCAAGTCTCAGTGGCTTAATACAATCAAGTATTATTTCTGCCATCTACCACAAATGCATGTGGGACCTTGGGTACATGTGTGGAGGGGAAGATCGAGTTTACTGCGTGTAGCCATTTCAGGACCTGGGCTCCTCCTGTCAGTGGCCCTCATTATACCCTTTGACCTCAAAGCCTTTTTCTGGATCCTCTACATATGGCTGGCAGATGAGGGCCAAGGGATCAATGGAGTATACTGTATACACTAGAAATGGCATATATCACTCCCACGTTCATGCCGTTGGTGAGACCCCAATCATATTGTCCCAATTAACTGCAGAGGAGGGTGGGAAATGTAGTGTCCTTGTGGCCCTAGGAAGAAGAGGGAATAGGTTTGTTGATTATCTAACCACTTGGCACATGGACCTTGTTGGATTTATTATTGTTATTATTAATATTTTGCTTTTCAACCTTGATATTGGTTATTAAATAATACTAATTGGAAAGGTTAAGTGAAGGAGATAAACAGATTTACCATCTCTACAGAGCCTTCCCTGATTTCTCCTCACTTCTGCCTTCTGGTTTTGATATGTTTCAACTCTGAATACCAGGAATACTCTGGAATGTCCTCCCTTAGGTCTCTGCCTCTTTCCAATCTAATGGTATATGACTCATATGACCACCTCCCTAAAGGGAGGCACCGTTCATGTCCATAACTCCCACCACAATGTGTCCTGCATACTGCGGGCAATCACTAAAGATTCATGGAATTTACAAATGATCAAACCCTGAACTCCCTTACCCTCATTCCAACACGACATGGCATTGGCCGAGTTTTACACACATTGGGAGTCTGAGGACCCACAGCTCATGTACCCACAGCAATGACAGTCCAACCTCCAGATTAGAACCAGAGAACTTAATGAATCTAAATGACTGTAATGGATAATGCCAAATTACATACACACAGAAGTTCATATAATTATATGTTCTTTTCAAAAAGTATCATATTAATGTTTTTCTCATCTGAATTGGAAAAAATCATGGCCTGAAATTTAATTCAGTAAGTGGAAAATTTTGTGTATGTGTTTGGATTAGATGGATGCAACCAACAGATTCCACCTGTTCGTCTGGGAGACGAAGAGCCAGCAGGATGTGGAGCACGTGGCCCGCTGCATTCTCTGCCATGGTACATGTGGACTACATTTCTGATCAGACTAATGGTTTTAGAATAGATAAATTATTTGGTGGCTACAGGTCAAATCTGTTCTGCAGATGTGTATTTTCTTGGTATGTGTAGAGTTTTAGAATCTGGGAATTTCCTACTAATTCTGGATGACCAGTTTTTCTTAGGAAGTCAGACTAGTCTAGAAGAGTCGCAGATGCTGGGTTCCCATGTGGCCACAGTCAGCCAGAGCTGAGTTTTGCCTACTCCCCTTTAGTGGGGCAAGTGTCTGTTAGTGACCCACATTTCCTTCCCCTCCCTATTGCTTTACCTCTGGCCTGCTCTGCTTACTTATCTGTCCTGTCAGGTTCCTGTAGATGGCTGGGCTCATGTTCCATCCTTAGTGGCACCTTAGTATGGAGGGTAGACCACTGAACCAAGAATCAAGAGTCCTATTTAGGCCTGGATTTATCATTGACCACCTGTGGGATATTAGCAAGTCATTCAATGTCTCTGTGTCTTCAGCCTTGACTGCTTTATCCCACACCTCATACTAGCCTGTGCCTGAGAGAACTTTGTGCTGAAACCCATACCTGCCCATGTGTGTAGGGCTCTCATCCATCCCCACCTCACACAGGGTTAGAGTGAGTCCTATTGGTGAAATCACAAGGGGATTTAATTATTCCCCTTCTTGATCCACACAAAGACCTAACACTACCCTGAGAGATTTGGTCCTGAGAACTCAGCCAAGTCACATGCAGTAAGTGCCATTTGCAGAATATATTATAATTGATGAACTGCTTTCACATCCATTATTTCATTTGACACATTGTCTCTCTGGGCCTCAGTTCCCTTTCCTATAGAAGCATAGACTGAGCTGGTATTTACTGAGCTTGAGCTTTTCTTGAACTGGTCATTATTCTGACCAGTTACATATATTCATTTTTTAAATTTAAACCTCACAAGGTAGGTGCTGTTATTATCATCATTGTCTCTGTTTGACAGATGAGGAAACTGAGGCAGTGGAAAGGCTGAGTAATTTTCCCAAGGTTAAATACCCGGTAAGAGGTAGGACGTGGACTGAACCAGGCAGATGTCTGTGAACCTAAAGATTAAGAACATTAAAAACATTAAGTGTAATGCCCTGGCTGGTCTGGCTCAATGGATTGAGTGCAGGCCTGCAAACCAAAGGGTCGCCAGTTCGATTCCCAGTCAGGGCACATGCCTGGGTTGCTGGCCAGGTCCCCAGCAGGGGGCATGAGAGAGGCAACCACACACTGATATTTCTCTTTCTCTCGTTCTCTCTCCCATCCTGTCTAAAAATAAATTAAATTAAATGAAATTTAAAAAATAAATCTTAAAAAAAACCCCAAACATTAAGTGTGAAATCAGATCACCTCAGTTCTTTCTTCTGAAAAACGGGCATTTACTTACAGCACACATCTGTTGGCTTTGTCAATACAATGCAAGTAGTGCTCAGCAGAGGCTATCCTTATTGAGAGTCTGGAAATGTGTTTGCATTGAAAGTCATGCCTGGTAACTCTGACCTCTCCCCACCCTTCCTTCCCAGACAATTGCCAACCAGCCCTGGAGTGCAGGTCGGGCATGCCCAGCCCCCTGGCAATGGACATGGATGTGGCATTCGTGGTGGATAGTTCCCACAGCGTTGGAGTCGATGTGTACCATGCCGCATTGAGTCTAGTGGATGCCATACTGAACAACCTGGAGGTGGCTGCTCAGCCGAATGCATCCCCCTATGGGGTGCGTGTGGCTCTGGTGATGCACACAACTCCAGGCTTCTGGCCAGGAACGGGACGCCCACCTGTACATGAGGGTTTTTTTCTGACCTCCTATGGCCACCGGGCACAGATGCAGAGGCACATCCATGAGGTTGTGGGCCACCCTCTGCAGGGACCCCCAGCTCTGGGTCACGCCCTTGAATGGACACTGGAGAAGGTGCTCTTGGCAGCCCCCCTGCCCAGGAAGGCACAGGTTCTCTTCGCCATCGTGGCCAGTGAGACCAGCAGCTGGGACCGGGAGAAGCTTAGAACTTTGTCCTTGGAGGCCAAGTGCAAGGGGATCACCCTATTTGTGCTTGCCTTGGGCCCTGGCGTGGGAACCCATGAGCTGGCTGAGCTGGCTCAAGTGGCCAGCACCCCCTCTGAGCAGCACCTGCTACGTCTGGAGGGGATCTCAAACCAAGAGATGAACTATGCCCAGGGCTTCACACGGGCCTTCCTGAACCTCCTAAAAAGTGAGCAGCAGTCCCTGAGCACTGGGGATGCCTGGTGTGGGCTAGGGTGGGGAGAAATACTTACATAGCCTGGCATTTGGGCAAATAGGTGCCCACTGAACCTTCATCCTTGCTGAGGTACATGCAGCCCCACGGCCTCTGGGGTGCCTCTAGGGAGCACCCTGTTTCCAGAAAACACTGAGCTATCATTGCTCTCACACTGTGCCAAGGCTGGTGCTGCTTTCTCATCAGTTGGTGGTAGGGAGGTCTCAGGTTTCCACCTAACCTCTCAATTTTCTCATTTACCAAAATGAGAATTACAGTCTCTTATTTGTGAAGCCTACATTCAAATATGTGGATGGAGGGCCTTTGAAAGCACCAATGATATGAAAATATGAGGTGTAGTTATTGCTATTACTATTTCCTGTAATCCAGACTTGAGAATCCAATAGTATATAACAGTGCTTCTCAAACATGCACACGCATCTCCTGGGGAATCTTGTTAAAATGTGGATTCTGTTTAAGTAGGTCTCAGCTGGGGCCTGAGATTCTGCATTTTTAACAAGCACCCAAGTGATGCTGATGCTGCTAGTTCATGGAGCACACCTTGAGTAGTAAGAGTTTATGACATTTATTTTTCAGGGACTTGCCAGGAAGTGAGATAGGGTCTCCCACGTCAGGCTGGGTGGATGAAGCCAGCAGTGGAGATTAAGAGGCACACTGATGGTCCAGTCTTGTCCTAGTGCCCTCACCTTCAATCAGAATTCCTGGGGAACCAGTACGAAAGCTGAATTCTCACATGATCATGGAGATTGTTGGGATTCAGGAGTGGGTATGGTCCTGGTTATATTTCCAGGAGTTTGTCTTGGGCTTTGTCCAAAACAAGTCATGTACGGGGCGCCTCATTGTGACCTGTGAGGCCTTCTTGCCCTCCTTGCTGGGAGACATGCGTTTCTCTGTTTGTAAGTGGGTGTGACATCCTGTCGGGAGCCTTGAGGGACATCTGACCCTTAATACTGAAGGAATAAAAGGGAGTCTGATGGACAGCTTGGAAGTCCTGACACAGCATTTGTGCTTTTCCATTTCCAGAGGTACAAAGATCAATGATTTGGTTCTCAATCTTGTTTGACTACTCCTGAACTATGTGATCCTAGAACTTTAGATTCCTTATTGTTGTAGCAGATGGAGGAGAGATTTGGAATGTAAGGCTGATGGCTTAGCAATTCTTTGAGGGAGAAGAAGTCTGAATGAATCACTTTTCTAGTCTGTTTTAATTTCATTTTACTTTATTTTTTGTTTTATTATGTTAGGTTGAGTTTTATGTTTTCTTATATTCTTTTATGTTGTGATTTTACTTATATAATAGAAGGCATTTTGTGCTTCTTATTTTCTATTTGCTTTTATTTTTGTATTTATGTTATGCTTTGCTTGAATTTATTTTACATCTTTTTGATCAATGGGTATTTTGTTTTATGTTTTGTTTTGTTTTTATTTTGTTTTGTTTGTTTTTGCTTTCTTGTATATTTAATTTTATGCTTTATTTGATTTTATGTCTTAAAGTTTTTTGTTTTAGTGGATAGTATTTTGTTTTTATGCCTTATTTTATTTTATGCTTACTCATATTTGCTTGACATTATTCTATTAGATTTGGTTTGATTTTTATATTTTATTTTTAGGTGAAACAAATAAGTACCCACCCCCAGAGCTCAGTGAAGAATGTGGGGGCCCCAGCCGAGGGGACACTCGGCAGCAACCACACAGGCTTATCGAGAGGTAGGCTGAGGGCAGAGCTGAGGTGGCTGCATAGCTCTGTCCCCTGCAGGAGGCTGTACTATCTCCCCAAAGAAAGGTCACAGGCAATGCCAGTCCTTGACTTTATCCAAACTATTGGGACTTGGATGCTCCTGTGTTTGACAACTTTGATATGGTTTGGTTTTTCTTTCCTTAAAGACCAATACAGGACCAATAGAAAACACTCAAAGCATACATGAATATATAAAAGCAGAATTAAAAAAATTTCCATTCCACCCCATCCCTCATTTTCTAATCCCGTGTCCAAAGAAGTAAAATCAATAATGGTAAACATGTTATTGTTACCTTTGTCCAAACACCTCTGCAAACCTAAGAAGGTAGCCAATGTGATCACAAAGTCATTGGAAAATGCCCAAACCTAAAGCTTACTGAGCCCAGATATATCAGTTGGAAATTGAACCTCTCAGTTCTCATTGTTCTGTTGTGCGGGGTTTGACGTGGATTGTTTCTATACAGGCAGCGCAAGCGCTGGAGCGGCATGTCTGGCTCTGCTGATGATTTGGCAGCACCTGAAGCAACAGACTTTGGTCTAGAGAACAGAACAGCCATGATGACATCTATAACTCTGAAAGAAGCACTTGAAAATTATGAGAAGAACGGATATGCCACTGAGGAAAATGAACAAGAAATGTCTGCAAAACAAAAGAAAAATGGTTGAGTTCACTTTTTAAAGTCTTTATCTTAAAAAAAATTCCTGTGTACTGTGTCAACAGGCAAATTTTAGCTCTATAAACTTTCCTTCCAAGTGCACAAATTCTTGTATGCCACTCAAGAAATTAAGAACACATGTAAAGGCTAGCTTTCACTTGAATGTAGAACTGGAGCTGAACAGAAGCTATTTTAAGGAGTATGAAGGGGGCACACCCCGTGAATTGCCTGTATTAAATTGTGGAGCTGCAATGATCTATTGCAGAGGTGGCAACATCCTCCCGACCTTGAGGGAAAACACACTGGCTTGTAGAAGGCTCCTTCATCTACGAGTGGCCACATAGGTTCTGACCAAGTTTCAGGAAGGTTTGGCTCCACCTAAAGCAACTGTAGCATTGATTTAGGGTTGTAGCATGTTGTAATACAAATGCGACATGACTTCTTACATGGGTTCAACAAATTGAGCAAAGCATTGACCACTTTAGAAACAGATTTGGAGGGATTGGACTCCGAAATTTTTTAAAATGCAGGGAAAAGGTAGCCAGAAGAGTTTCTAGTGAGTGATGTGGTCAGTCCTGCTTAGGTTAAATGAGAGATAATTGCCCAGAGGTATTTTATTTTTATTTTTAAAATTGATTTGAGAGAGAGAAAGAAAGAGATCGATATTTGTTATTTCACTTATTCATTCATTCATTGGTTGATTCTTGTATATGCCCTGACCAGGGATCAAGCCCATAATCAGGAGGCTTGGTGTATCAGGAGGATGCTCGAAGCAACTGAGTTACCTGGCCAGGGGCTTGCCCAGAGATTTCAATGTGCCTAGATGGTTCTCTATCTGGGGCTGCTAGTGAAGTGGCCATGGGAAAGTTATTTAACCCTGTGTGGCTCAGTTTTATGATCTGTAAAGTGGGGATTATGTGAATACCTCTCACATAGGGTTGTTTTGAGAATGAAGTTTATTAATCTGTGTTTTTGTCACAGAGTAAGCACACAATCCAAGCTAGCTATTATGATGCTGATATGTTCTACCTCTTCGATTCCAAAGCAAACAAATAATAAAACCAGGTAAAGGAATGGGCACTCTCAGTAGGGACACTAACATTTTTACTCTTTAGCCTAAAAATTAAGCATCAAAAAACTTATCTTGTTGATTGTTCTATTTTCAGTATAAAAGATTCTCAGATAATCTTACTAAGGCAGTGATTTTTAGTCTTGGCTGTAGATTAGAAACCCCTAGGAATATTTAAAAGTTCTCCGGGCCTTGGGCTCATCCCAGACCAATTCAATCAGCATCACTGGGTGGGGGACTTGCCCAGTAATTCCACTGAGCAACCAAGAGTGGGGACCACTGCTCTGAGGCATTCCTTCCCACACACTCAAGGTGAAAGAGGTGGAGGAGAGCTTACTGGTCATCCAATCCAGTTCTATTCACAGACAAAAACCGAGGCCTGGAGGTTCCCAAAATCTCTCACCTGCTCTGTAGCTTGGCCCTGACCAGTCCCTCTCCCATTGCACTCCAAGGCTATTCTAAATCTTCACCACCTCCTCCAGCTCCATCCTGCTTGTCTCTTTTCTCTAGGTGGTGTCCTTACTTTTTTGCTTTTAAAAGAAAGAAAGTGGCCAGGTGTAAGGTCCTGTGTTGGTGTATACCCTGTCTACCTGCCCTCCAGTCAGAGAAGACAGCGGTCCCTTGTCTTGAACCATTCCCATCTATCAAAAACCCCAAGGGGCTCTTTCAGAACTCAGGGACTTGAGCTCCTTGGGATGCAGCCAGTGTTGGCTGCTACATTCTTCTTTGGTCCCTCCCCTCTTTTGGCTTCGGAGGTATTCTTATCTTGTTCTACTGCTGATCACCCCATCTTTGTGGGGTCCTCTTTCCAGTCCGTCCCCACAGAGAGATCCAGGTTTCATGGAACCTGAGATTTATATTATTTAGGGGCCCTCCTTAAGAAAAGAATAGAAAATTATTAAAATTAAATTCAAAAGGGAATATTTATTTAGAAGAGATTTATGCAAACAAGGGGCCCTCAACCTGCAATGCCTTCCCCAAGGTTCTGTCTTCCATCCTCTAAGGCTGCTACGTGGACCATGGGGGCAGGCCTTCCTAGTGTGACTGCAACTGGCCCCTCTGTACTGATTCCAAATTCTTAGCTTCCATCCTTAACTCTCCTGAGCTGCAGACCAGTATATTCAGTCAACTACCTTCCAGATGGCACCAATGAACATGCCTGAAGTCATCTCAGGCAAACTCAGCTGAAGAACTGGACTCATCCTTCCCATTCAAACCTTCTCCAACTTTATTCTTTTACTGGAATGAACCCCCACTGACCCAGTATTGGAAAGCTAAAACCCAAACATCACTAGTTGTCTCCTCTCCTCACCTCCTGCCTCCAGCTGGTGACCACATCTTGGTGTGACTTCCTCCTCAGCATCTCTCAGATCTATCCCCTTTCCCACAACCTTCCCTCTTAATACCTTGGCTTTCACCTCAAGTGTACTTGCAGTGCTATCTAAAAGGTTTCATTTCTTCCAATTTGTCCTCCTTCCAGGTCCATTCTAAACACCAAATTAATTCTTCTACAATGGAAACCTGGTTATGTCATTTCTTTTCTTCTTTATTTTCCAATGGTTTATAAGATAATGTTCAGATGCCTGGATGAGGCACACAGGTCTCTGAGGTTAGTCCCTGCTGTGTTCCCTGTGGCCTACTGGCTTCCACTTCCCTGCATCTACCTTTTGTGCTATTTGCAATTGCCCCTTATGCCTTGTTCTTTGTTCCAAGTCTTCATGTCATTGCTCACACTCATCTGTCCATTCACATCCTCTGCACAGGTGTCCACCTGGATTACATCTACTCACCTTTTAATACTCAGGTCAAGTTTCACTTCTACTTAAGAATCCTTTCTGGCCCCCACATAATCTTAAATTTTCATGGTCTCCTTTGTGCCCCTGTATCTTAAATCAAATTCTGCTATAGAGCCTGCAACCTTTCATTGCACCTACTCGTGAAGAATTAAATGTCATTTCTTGTCATAGAAGCCAGGCTGATCCTGGTATACTTTTCATTTTCAGTGTTATTGCCAAAGCACACAGATCGATTTTTTTTTTTTTTTGCTTTTTCTTCCAAGTAGAGCTGCATCGTGAGACATATATATCAGGAGAGAGAACCAGCCCAGGCACATGGCGGTTTCATTGTAGCTGTTCTCCCTGCCTATCCAGCTCTCTTCTTTCTCCTCCCCTTTTTTTCATTCCTGAATTCCATGGGCTTGTTTGAGTAAAACTGATTACTGCTGCAGAATTCTTCCAAGAAGGCAAAAGTTAACACTCATGGCAAAAATAATGCAAATGTACAACTGGGGGCTAACAGTAATTACTTGGGTGAAAACTTGCTTATCCCCCAATGTCATATTATGCTGGTAAAAGAAAACTTAAGACTCTGAAGCTTCCTTAGGTTGCAAAGAATGCCTTAGAGATAAGTAGTTTAAAGCATTTAGGATTTACTTACCTCTAGCTCTGCTAACCAACTACTAGCCACATCAGCTATTTAAGTATAAAATAATTTGAAATTAAACAAAACTGCAAATTCAGTTCCTTTGTTGCAATAGCCGTATTTCAGATACCTGATAGGCATTGGCTAATGTATTGGACAGTGCAGATACGGGACATTTCCCTCACTGCAGAAGGTTCTGCTGGACAATGCTGCTCTAGAAAAATAATCCAGGAGAGGCAGCCCGGGTTTGATCATCTCCCTGATTAAAGGCAAGGGTAGAGCTTCTAAAGGCAAAAACCACAAAGTGTCACTGGGAAAAATAATGATCTATTTAAACAAGTCCTTGGCTTGTCAGTTTAGAATCAGTTTGTAACAACACAGGTGGGTGCCAGCTAATTGATGAGCCCCAAATTGCCTTGTTGAGGCTACAGAGTACTGTCAAAAGTTCACCAATGGAGTGTTTTTCTGTTGACTCACAAATTTTGGGAGCAGCATTTGCTCTGGCTCCTTCTCCTGGGCCCTCACTGCTTGCTCTCTTACCCCTGCCCCTCACCCCAGCATCAGAGTCACGCAGAAGACCAATTCGAATGGGCCTGTTTAAGGTGCAGGACCATTCTTTACCTCATTGAGTGTATCTCATCCTCTTGGACCCAGTGCATCTGGTTCTTCCTTCAAGAAAACTAGTCTGTGCTGATTATACTAATGGGAAGTGAGCAGGCAGCTTTCCAGGAACAGACCACAAGTGTCAACTCTTGCTTTCTGAAGGCAATGTCTTCCTTATTTGGAAGGGATTAGAAAGCCCAGGGGGAAGCTGTTTGGAGGCTAACACTATTCTGTGCTGCAGAGAGGGCCTGAAACAAGAACACTTGGAAAAATTAATGCCCTAATTTTAAATTAATTAAAGCGGGCTTGCCAACCGTTCTGGTATGGCAGCTGTGGGGGCAATGCCAACCGGTTTGAAACCAAGGAAGAATGCGAGGTTCAGTGTGCCACAACACCTCTGTAGAGCCAAGTAGAGCCTCGGGACTGTTGCCTCTGTGGTAATAGGTAATTTAAATTAATTTAAATTAATTAATTTAAAATTCCATGTGCCAGATTTTGCGCTGTTGTGACTTGTCGATTCTCTGCTTTTTTCATTTTCCAGGACCACAATGTTTTTCTTATAACAGTTATATTAACTTCTTGGGCAAGTGTCAAGATACAATAAATAATAAATAAACTGGATTTGCTCAGGCTATTAGAAGGCTTTGAGATTAGGCAAGGGATTGAGATGGTTTTAAAATAGAGGGAAATAGCATAATAGGCAAGTAAGGAGTTCTCAGTCTCAGAAAGATTTATTCATTCACTCGCTCACTCATTAATACATTGTTTGGTGTATCTGCCATGTATTAGGTACTCTGCAAAATAATAGCTGTAACTGTATTACACCTTTCACATCTGTTCTGTGACACCTTACAACAAATTTGTGATGAAGGTGTTTTTTAAATATTGCTTCAATGGTTTAGGAAACTGAGGCTCAGAAAGGTGAAGTTATTTGCTCAAGGTCACACAGCCAGTGAGTAGTGAGGCTTGGATTCATTTCCAAGTCTGTGACACTGAACCATTGCTCCTTTCCTGTTGTTCTCACACAGAAAATTCAACTCTCTGCATTTGTGTCATGGCAGGTCCTTGTTTTATGGATCCAATGGAAGGCGAGTGCCAGGACTACATCCTGAAATGGTACTATAACAAGAAGGAGCGGGCTTGCCAACCGTTCTGGTATGGCAGCTGTGGGGGCAATGCCAACCGGTTTGAAACCAAGGAAGAATGCGAGGTTCAGTGTGCCACAACACCTCTGTAGAGCCAAGTAGAGCCTCGGGACTGTTGCCTCTGTGGTAATAGGCGATGAAGCTGACATTGCCTTTCCTGAGACAGTGCCACACAGCTCATGAGTAACGAAGCCCACTCTTTACTCTCAGAGGTCAATTCCTAACCCCCTGAATTTTTTCCTGCCAGTGGGGGCTAGACCTGTGATTTGAGAAGGATGGTGTTCTAGTACTTTAAAAAGTGACCGAAACTTTCCTGAAAGTTATTTAAATGATTTAGAATTGAATGGAAAAGAAACTTGAACTTGACATAACATTATTTTTTTTGTCTACGTAACAAAAGAAAAATCAATGTAAGCAGTGAGTCCAAACTAATTTAAAAGTGAGTTGAAACTTTTTTTAACCACTAGAAGGCCTGGAAGTATTCATCAAAGCAGGGGTTTGGAAAAATGGACATTTATTGTGAAATTTCACCCTGACTACGTAGTGTGAAAATAAAGGCATTCTCAATAAATCATCTGATGTGACACTCTGTGTGATACCTGCTCACTGCAATCTGCTATACTTGTGACATAGTACTTGATGGAGAGGAAGCAGAAGTGACTTTGTCATGGGACCATTGCTTTGCAATCAACTGCAGTGACTCTTGCCCTTTAAAACTTGGTAACTCAATATTTAAGGCTGACATTGTCAATGCAAATGAAAGGGTCTACGTTCACCCTGCAGGAAACATTGTGCAGTATGGATACTGAGGATAATCGTGGTTATGTGAGATCTTCTTCTGGCTCACAGCTCGATATTCAGGCCTCTGACCTTGGGTCCAGGTTCAGGGCAGAACTAGGCACTGTCTGGAATTCTAGAGCTACTGGGTACTGAGGGTGCCTGGCACAGGGCCTCTGGATATTCCTCTATGAATTAGTCTGTTTGGGTTGCCATAATGAAATACAACAGGCTGGGGGGCTTAAATAACAGAAATTTACTTCTCACAGTTCTGAAGACTGGGAGTCCAAGACCAAGGTGCCCACTGATTTGGTTTCTGGTGAGAGTTCTCTTCCGGGCCAGAGCTCTCTTCCTGTCTTTCAGACAGCTGTCTTCTTGTTATGTCCTCATGTAGCCTTTTCTCTGTGGAGAGAGAAGAAAGAGGAAGGGAGAGTGAGGGTGAGAATGAGAGAGAAAGAGCAGGGAGGGAGAGACAGAGGAGAGAGTGTTCCCTGGTTTCTCTCCTTAATAAGGACACTAGCCTTTAGGATTAGGGCCCCATCCTTATGACCTTATTTAAACTTAGTTATCTCCAAAAGGTCATATCTCCAAATTCAGTCACATTAGGGGTTAAGGCTTCCACTTATGAATCTGGGGTCAGGTGACACACAAGCATTCAGTCTCTAACAGATTATAAGCAGCTGGTGGTTGTGCTCAGGGACCCAGAGTGGAGTTTACTCTCTGGCAAGTTTCTGTTCAATAATGAAAGTTGTGATTTCTAGAATTCTTTTTATTCTTCCGGTCAAGCCCCATAACACTGCAGATGGGATAGGAAGGCAGCTTTATATAAAATCATAGAAACATTAAAATTTTCATTCTATTTTATGACTATTTTTATGTGATCATAAAAGGATAAGTTTTCATGGTAGCAACTTTGAAGTTTAAATTTATGAATTTGTAAAAATGCACATAGAAAAAATAAAGCTCACTTATCTTCTTTTCTCCCAAAGATAACCATTTTGGTATAATCCAGGTGTTTTCCTAATGCCTGGAATACTGTGTTTTTCTCTCTTAACACACTACATTGTAACCAATTTTGGCTAAAAATGGGCATGAAGTGACAGATGCTCCACCCTGTGTGTCAGAGCTGCTCATTACACAGGTGTGTGTCTGCACATCTTTTTGAGGCATCACCTCAGCTGCCTGGGCATTTGGGGCCCAGCTTGTCTACACTGAGGATGGTATATGATTTGAGCTGTGATCCATTTTCCACTTCTTTTTTCCAATGCTGACCTTCCCACACCTACAAGTTGGGAGCACAAAGGCAAAGACAAGGTGGCAGTATAAACTTTCCATGGAGCAGCTCTGACCCTGGCAGAAAGTTTACTTCAAAAACCCCGAAGTACAGAGACAATCTGATCAAGGGGCAGAAACAGTATTATTGTTTTAGATAGCATCCATCCCCACTCTGTGTATGCAGTTTGTAAAGCACTTTCCCATGTTATCTCAGTATTTGCCCACTTCCTCTACTAAACCTCAAATGATGGCATTGTTCTTTCCAATTTTTCCCATTGCTCTTCCCATTCCCAGAGAAGTGAAGTGGCTTGACCCAGACACATAACAGAAACCGGCCTTGAACTCCTTTTGATTGCAACTCTAGGGCTCCTTTTGGTCTACTCTGTTGGTTCCAAAACATGAGCTGTCACCAGCAAGGAAGGAGGATGTGCAAAAATGGAAGAAAGGAATTTCCCGACTGATGTAAACAAGCTTAACCTTGATGTCTGCTTCAGATGCTTCCCTCTCCTTGCCAATTTCCCCAACCTCCTGCCTGGGTGGTGGTTCTGGTCTGGCCATAGGTCTGGGAAAAAACAGGAATGTAATTGAACTGTGATGTAGCACAATCCTAAAGACAGCCTTGGCCAACCCCACAGGGAGCTTTGGAACTAAAAGGGTTTGTCAAAGTTGCCCCAGGGTGGGCCAAAATGGCTGGGCCTGTATCCCCTGCCTTGGATGGGGTCTGCTCTGGGAAAGGCTGGCTCTTGGGTGAGGTAGCTTTCCAGCTGTGGCAGACCCTGAAGGAGCCCAGCTGAAGGATGTCTATCAACAGTGGTCCTAGCAGCTGGCTCAGTAAGTCCTTCACTGAGGTGGGGGATTGGATCTGGGGAGCACATCTCTCTGTCCATCATAGTGCCTTTACCTGGAATACCCTTTTGCATTGTTTCCGAACATCCATAGTTTCCCAAATCAAACAGGACACACACAAAAGCATTAGTATGGCAATCTGGACTTTGTATCCATCTCTAGCCTCACTAATTGTGGTAATTGTGCTGTCCCTCCAAGTTTTCACTGGAGTAATACTAAATATATCACTTATTGTTTTCTGGAAATTCCATATTCAATTCACTTATGCTGTTGTCCTTGGTGATACTTTTGTGGGTAATACCTTTTTAATTCATTTGTTTGAAAAATATTTAATAGGTATCTGCTATCTACCAGATCCATAATCTGTGTAAAATCCAGTTCAGCTCTCATTGTCTCTGTGAAAACTTCTCTGATCATCCCCTTTCAAGAAAGAATTGCTTCTAATCTCCTATAGGCCACCTTATGCAGACTTTGCTTTTTGCCCTTTTCCCATCATACAGGGTGGGGCAAAAGTAGGTTTACAGTTGTGAGTATGCAAAACACTGATTTTATTCTTGTATTATCATTTTAAATTATTGTATTATTTTCCATATGAACAATGGTAAACCTACTTTTGCCCACTCCCATATTTATAACAATTGCCCCTTATTCATGTCAGATTGTGAGTCTTTAACCTTCAGAATTGCCTGCCCTCCACAGGGCATGACACATTTCCTTTTGGTTCTGATTTTTTTTTTATTCTCTGCCTGTTTTCAAAGACTTAGAAATGTCCCCCCAGAATGGCTGATGCTTTTTCTCCTACCATATGCATCTCTTGCTCTAGGAAAACTTTGTTTTGTAGATACTCTGCATTGGTTTCAGACACCAGGGTGTCAGCCGAAAGGAAAAAAGTTTGTGTGATTTTAATTCCTCCCTTAGACCTGTTATCTCATTAATTATCACTATGTACTGCTCTGGGGAATATTAATTTTTCTGATGAAGGAATTAAGATGCAGAAAGGTCAAGTGACATAAAATCTCATACAACAAATCAATGGGTAGCCTAAAATTAGAATTAAAATGTATTTGGAACTGGTTTGATATCTGCTTGGTTCACTGCAAAGTTTGTGTTTTAATCATTGTGTGAATTGACTGCTTTGCACTTTTAAACATATAGTGGATTTCACTGATTCTAGAAAATTGGTGAGTTTGGGAATGCTAGGCTAAGAATTTGGCTCCTAGCCATCTATCAAAATGTGTCAATAAATCAATCCAAGGATTTGTCCTAGCTCTCCTGAGTGGAGCTCATGCTGACTGGGCACTTTCCTAGGGTTTCTCTTTTGTTTAATGCAGCTGGGGATTCACTGTTGGAGTATGGTATTATGGGAAATACCAAGCCTGGGGCACCTGAATTCAGCAATTCAGCATCTGGTTCCTTCCTTGACTTCCATGGTGACATTACTCAAGTTACCTCATTTCTCCTGGTTCTCTCTCTCTCTGTCTGTGTTTTTTTTGTTGTTGTTGTTTCTTTTCTTGTTTTTTTTTTTTTTTTTCCAGCTGAGAAGACTGGACATGACAGAAACATCTCTTGCCTATCTATATTCTCCCCAAAGTCTGCATGCAAACTAAATTGTTCTTTTTTTTTTTTTTTAAGCTTATTTCCTATCTTGGGCAGCTAAAAGGAACAAGCCAGCCAGGACAATAGAACCACCCAACTGAGTCCAACACAAACTGCTGACCCAGAGAATAATGAACCAAACAAATGGCTGTTTTGAACACTAAGTTCAGGGGTGATTATAATGTGACACAAGCTGTGGCTGGGCTGTCTCATGTGTCCACAGTCAGCTACCAGTCTGTTGGTCAGTTGGCTGGCCTAGAGTCACTTCATATTGGTTAAAAAAAGTATATACTTGTATGCGATTAACAATGTAGCTTCAAAATATATAAAATGCCAATGCAGTTGGGTTAGAGAACACATTTAGAAGCAGGAGAATTGGAAAGGAGGAAGTAATATAATCTCTATTTGTAGATGGCATTTATATGTATACATGAAAATGAAAAGTTCTAAGAGAACAGGAAGGTTTCAGATAGAGCCTGCTCCATCAGCCTGGATCCTGCAGTGATCAGGAAACAGCTTACTGGGGTGAACATGAAATTGAGAGATGCCCTTTGTTGCAACCCACTGAAATTTGGAGGTCTTCATTGTAGTGTTACCAAGCCTATTCCCAGTGATACAAACAGAGCAATGGAGGACTCTCAAATGTGGCTCTTGGGAAAGAAAATTAGAAAGCGTCTTGGTATTTTTTTTTTACTAAAATTGAAAATACAAATGCCCTGACCCAGCAATTTACTTCTAAGTGCATGCCCTGGAAACCTGTGTGCATGATCACCAGGGTACATACACACTCATGGACAGTGTTCACAGTGGCATTTTTAAAACCCCGAAGTCACCAGCAACCCTCATGCCCATTAGTAGTGAAATGGGTGAGTATGCTTTGGTACATTAAACCAATGTGTACCACAGTGGAAATGAATGAATTAAGCTGGATTAAGATTCAGTGGCATGGCTGAATCTTAAAAATATTTTTGAGAGAAAGGCAGAAAGATGCAGACAGTAGGATTCCATTCATGTAAGCTTCAAAAACAGACAATAATAAATTATATTGTTATCCTTATGCGGTAAAACTAGAAAAAAAAA